GGGAGGGTGATCATGAATATGGCTCTGCTCTGCCCTCCGCCGTCTGTGCCACCAGCCGGGCAGGAGCGGCTGGCAGGGCTGGGAGGAGAGGTCCCGCATCACACACTGCCTGGGCCCCAGCCTGTGGGCACGGCCTAACTTCAGCACCAAGGACAGCGCCATGCTGATCTGCCCAGAGGCCTTCACACCCCAGGTTTGGTCCCCAGCCTCCTGTAGATCTCTTTGGAGGGGGTTTAGGACCTGGGGCAGGCCCTCCAAGGGGATGGGGTCCCTGCTCTCTTGCTCTTTTCCTTTCCGGCTGGCATGAGATTCAGCAGAGGGCTTGGCTCCCAGCACTGCAGGCTGCTACACCATGGGTCCCAAAGCAACAGGGTGCTGTGGCCACAGAGATGTGGCCTTGGACGGAAGCCTCGGAGGCCACCGGCCATAATGAACCTTTCTGCTTTTCAGAGGGTTCACTCGAGCACGTTGTAGTAATGGGAAGCTGACTAACACAGGCAGCCTCCACCCCATGCCGTGGCCCCCCCCCCCCCCAGGGGCCCACGGGTGAGTGACACACACCTACACACAAAGCCAAATGACTACTTACGATAGTTAAAAACCCCAACAACCAGATTCCCAGGTCTGATGGCTGGAAGGTCACCATGGGCACAGGCTTCAGGGCCCCTCTCCAATGCTTAGACAAAGAGGCAATTTGAAATACAGGGTGGCAGGAGGGCCGTGCTCCAGGCTGCGTGGGGGCACCAACAGCAGGTGTGCAAGGCAGACAGGGCAAGTAGAGCTGGAGTTCAGACCCCAGTACCACCCTCGCCACCCCCAAAACACAAACAGCCACACTGTCCTGTGACCTGGCCTCCGGCATGTTCTGTGGGTCTGTGGTCTGACCCAGTGGCAGATAGCGGGCACACACTCCAGAGGGGCGAAGCACCAGCCATCCAGGAGGCTGGCAACACAGGCTCCAAGAATAAACAACTCATAGATGCCCTGCTGCTTCTAATGTAGAAGAAGATTTATATTCATTTTATTCCGTTGTAGGGTTTGGGGATAAATAAGTAAGGGGTGCATAGAAAATAAACCTCCTCTCCTCCAATGAGGTAATTATAAACCCGTGAAAAAACAAGAGATCGTACAGAAAAGAAATGTAATTACAATACATTCCTCAGCTGTGACTAGACTATGAAGAAATAACCATGCAGCCACTGAATTCTGAGTCTATTGGAATGAGATGGGTGGAGTGCGTGCACAAGCGTGCGTGTGTGAGCAGGTGCCATGTGTGGGTGTGTACATATCTGCACGCCTGTGTGCGTGTGTGTGTGTGCATGCATGTGCATGGGCTACAGAAAGGAACAAAGTCCCAGTCCTTGCAGAAGGAAGTCATCGGGAGATTTCAAAATCTGAAAAAAACAAAACCTCCAGAAACTTCAATGCTACTTAGAAAGGAAAAGCTGAAGGATCCGCTAGCAGGATGTACCCGTGAGGGGAGCCGGGAGTCAGGGTGGGCTGTGGCTCTGACCAGAGGACATAAATGACACCGAAGGACCGAAAACACCTGTGCTGCCCCTGCCCCGCAGTCCCACAGTTGCAGAGGCTGAGGTGCCGGCTCGGGAGGAGCCTGGACTCAGGGTCTCTCCTCCTCCTCCCTCCTGCTTGTAGGGGTCCCCAGGAACATGACGGGAGGGGAAGAGGGGCCGTGCCTTGGTGCTGCCTTGGCTCTGCCCTCGCTGCCCTTGGGGAGGGAGCAGGAGGCAGGGGGCCCCCCCACACCAGAGGGGGGGCTCCTCACCTGACACCCGCCTAATTATCCTGCGAGCGAGTCATTCATCTGCAGCTCAGCCCAATGTAGCCACCTTGTGCTTTGCCTTTAATGAATAATTTGGCTAAAATAAAAACGGTGCAAAGCCAGGCCGGGGCAGGGAGAGGGCTGCAGCGCGCTCGCAGCCTGGCGAGCCCAGCAAGCGCCAGTCCTCCGGAGCCTGGAGCCCACGGGCAGCGGTCAGGCGTCGGCAGCCTGGCGTGGCCTGGGGGACAGGGTGGCCCAGCCTGGGGTGGTGGTGTGGACGGTAACCCTACTATCCCACGATGGTGAAGAGGCGAGGAGACCAGGCCGGCTCACAGCACACGGTGTGGCACCACTCACAGCGGCCCGCGGGGACACAGCTGCTGCGCAGGTCCTTCGGGGACTCTCCTGACCAGAGCACGCAAGGGGGGCGCGCGCAGCCACCGGGGACACGGCGGGGGAGCTCCCGAGGCCTGGAGGAGACCCGTGGCCCCCCTGACAGGGACGTGGCCGGGCAGGGGTTTGGGCTTCTCCCACTTTAGTCCCACACTAAAGTGTGGGCTTTAGTCCCACACTAAAGAGCCACTGCTGGGGCTCCACCGTTCCCAACGGCCGCAGGACAGGGCACGGGGACCGGCCGGGGTCTGGAAGCAAGCCAGAGGCCAGGCCCCGGCCTTTGCCAGCCCCCGGCGGGAAGGCAGGCCCGCCCGGAAGGCGCGCAGAGGCTGCAGGTGGAGAGAAAAAGTTCTTTGGATAGAACTTCAATTATTCAGAGCTTCAAGAATATTCTTAGCTCCAGGGAGCCGTGGTCTGCTGATGGACACGGCCAGGGCCCTATTTTTAAAGTTCTGTGGCGAGGCACAGATGCCACCGCACTTTGGGCCTCCAGGGGCCCCCCAGGCTCCTGGGGGCCTGTGTCTGGCGCGTGTACCCGTGGCCCCCAGGCCCTGTACGCACCCTCCCGCCGCCAGGTGAGGAGGCAGCCCGGCGGTGCTGGGCTGTGTCACGGCAGTGCCCCGGTCAGGCCAGGGGCTCCGTGCACGCTCACTGCTCCATGGGGGCCCACAGCCTGCACCCCACCAAACCCAGACTTTTCCAAAGAACCCTGAGGGTCTGCGGCTCCTGTGCTGCCTCTCTGTGCTCCTGGGGCCCCGCCCGCAGCAGGCATCCTCTCAGAGGGCCTGGTGAGCCTGTGGCCCAGGGTAGTGGGGAGTCTGCATGGGGTCAGCCAAGAAGGGAAGGCTCGGTGGACACAGCCCGCCACTTCTGGCAGAGGACACAGGTGGGAACGTGAAGCGTCAGGCCACTGTGGGACCTTCCCAAGAGCCACTCCACAGCCAAGACCCAGGCGCCCGAAGCATGGCCAAGAGTGAGTGCGGCCGGCTCACGGCTGGCCTAGCTACTCAGGAAGGCTGAGATCTGAGGATCTCGGTTCAAAGCCAGCCTGGGCAGGAATGACTGTGAGACTCTTTTCTCCAACGAACCACCCAGAAAAGTGGAAGTGGTGCCATGGCTCAAGTGGTAGAGCGCTCGCCTTGTGCCGAAGAGCTGAGGAACAGCGCCCAGGGCCAGAGTTCAAGGCCCCACAACCACCACCACCAGCAGCAACCAGGCCGAGTTCAAGGCCCACAACCACCACCACCAGCAGCAACCAGGCCCAGAGTTCAAGGCCCACAACCACCACCACCAGCAGCAACCAGACCCAGAGTTCAAGGCCCACAACCACCACCACCACCAACAAAAGTGAAGTTGGGTGCGGCACAGGGCCTGAACCCAGCGCTAGCGAAGCGCTTGACCTCTCAGCCACGTGCCCTCCCCTTTTGTGCTGGTACTAGGGCTTGAACTCAGAGCCTCAAGCTCTTGCTGGGCTTTTTTGTTCTAGACTGGTATTCTACAGCTTGAACCACACCTGTTTCCAGCCTTTTGCTAGCTAATTAAGAGGCAAGTCTCCTAGACTTGTCTGTGCAGGCTGGCTTCACACCTGGATCCCCAGGTCTCGGCTTCCTGAGTATGAGGATTACGGTGCGAGCCACGGTTTTTGTTTGTATTTTGTCCAAGACCTTGTCTGGCCTGGAACTCCCCACCCTCCAGCCTCTCCCACCAAGCAGCTGTGATTTGTGCCTGTGAGCCTTACTGGGCCTCAAAGTGCAGATGTTTCTAAGGACCTCAGGACACAGAAAACAGCAAGAACACATGTGTGAGGACAGAGCAGATGCTGCCAGACACCAGCTCCACGCGCACAGCACACCGCACGCACCGGAACCCGTGCTGCTCTACAGCAGATAAAGAAAACTTTTTTCTTTGTCAGTTGTGGGCCTGAACTCTGGGCCTGGGCGCTGTCCCTCAGCTCTTCAGCTCAAGGCGAGCGCTCTACCACTTGAGCCACAGCGCCACTTCTGATTTTCTGGGTGGTGTATTGGAGATGAGTCTCATGGGTTTTCCTGCTTGGGCTGGCTTTGAACCGAGGTCCTTGGCCTCCTGAGTGGCTAGGATCATAGGTGTGAGCCTCTAGTGCTTGGCTAGGAAACCCATTGTTAAAAGATGGGAGGACTTGAATTAAAGTTTCTACTGAGAAGAAACACAAAAGGCCAGCGAGCAGAGAGGCGACGGACAGCACTAGTCCCTGGTGAGATGCAAATGAATGGCAGTGAGCGCGCTCTCCACCCATGAGGTGCGCGGTCCCCAGCCACGAGCGTGGTGGACACACGAAGAACTGGGCCTGATATGCAGCTCCTCCCCTATGTGTGCACCCTCGGAGATGGAGGCCTTGTGCGCTCACGTGTGGAGCACACAGCCCTTGGACAAACAGTCCAGACACACGGCAACTTACAGCTGCACGCAAGGTAGACGTCCGCCGGCAGCGCATCTGTCAGTCTGGAAAAGGACGGATGTGCCGAGCCAGGCAGACCACAAACACCCCAAGGCAGCGTGGATGTGGAGGTGGCCAGACGCCTTGGGCTGGGCAGCACAGGGAGAGCTGGCTGGCGGTGGTCAGACCCGGGGGCAGGGGGGCAGGGGAGACACCCCACAGCTAGGGTGGCCGTGGCTCCTGAGGCCGTGCGTGCTCTTCAGGGCCTGTGCCGCCCAGCGGGCCCTCCACTCCCGGGCTCACGTGGTCCCGGGGTCTCAGCCTCCTGAGCGGAGCCACTGCACACAGCCAGACCGAGAGTGAGCTGCACACTCCAGTGTGAGTGAATGCAGGAAGTTTATTTTGAAACCAGCCAAGGGAAACCCACGTGGAAGCTGTCTGCAGGCTGACCTCCTGCTCTGGCGGAGACCCCACCTGAGGGCCGCGTCCCGCAGGGTCTGCACGCCAGCCCACCCCAGTCCTGGCAGGCCTCTGGCAGGGAACGATCCTGAAGACAAGACGTCGGCCGGGCCGTGGCAGGACGCTGGCTTGCCGGCTTTCGGGGGAACACGAGGGGAGCGGGGCTTGTGTAGGCAGAGGCGGGGCCTGGAGCAGGCTGCTGGAAGGGGTTTCACCTCCTGGGAGCCCCACGGTCCAGCACGCCCCGACGCTGCAGGGGGACAGAGGCCACAGCGGCAGGGCCCCCAGCCACGGCCCCCTGCGCTGTCCCAGGTACGCCGTGGGACGGGCGTGTCCGGGCAGGCTTCCTCTACCTCCAGGGGCCGTGTCCAGGCCCAGCCTAGGACTGGACCCCAGGACCCTTGCTTCACTGGCTGGCATCCGAGTGCACAGGGATGCTTGTCTCACACACACCCCGAATCCTGGTGAGACCCCAGGCTCCAAGCGGGAGCCCTTCTCCCCGTCAAGGACTGTGCAAGACTGCGCCCAGGGGGTCCTGTCACCCACCACCAACTGGCCACCAACTGCTGGGGGACCCGGCCGTTCTGCCCGTCCAGACAGCAGTGGGGGCAGGGAGGGCAGAGCCTGGGGCTCAGCCGGAGCCGTGGCTGCTGGCACGTGGACGTTTCCATCCCTGCCCCTCCATCCTGACCAGAAGTGGGCCCTCACCGGTCAGCCCCACTCCAGGGAGGCTGGGGTCTGGGCGGGGGAGTGAGGGGTGAGGGGCTGAGGACTCTGCAGGGGCGCACCTAGGAGCCCAGCCCCTCCGCTGGCCCTGGAGGGGGGTAAGGCACTGGGCTGAGGTCAGCTGTTATGTGGGGGGGCTCCCAGCCCAGCCCAGGCCAGCCCCTCCGCGGCCCCGGCAAGGCCACCCAAGGCCAGCAGTCCCAGGCAGGAGGGCGCAGTGAGGCTGATGTCAAGCCCAGCTGCCCAGAGCCCTTCCAGCCACCGCCGTGGCCGGCGAGGGCTATGGCTGGGGCCACGGCTGGGCCAGCTGCGCGGCGCCCGCCCGGCTCCTGTGTTCCACCAGTGGCTGGGCGGGGTCACCCTCGCCGTCTCCGGGGACCGGCTCCTCGGCGCAGCCCCCGCTCTGAGGCGGCTCCAGCGGCTGGTGCTGCACGGCCTCCCCAGCCCGCCGGTCCCCGTCCTGCTCCTGGGGGCCTGGCGGTGGGGCCTCCGGCTCGGGGCCCGGCCCTCGGCGGCTGCCCTCGCCCTGGCCTCCTTTGGGACGTGCTTCTGGCCCCTGCACCTTCTGGGTCCTGGCAAAGACATTGAGAGAGATGTGGCATGAGATGCCAGGGCAGCCCAGATTCCCACGTGCCTCAGTGGTCCCAGGAAAGCCTGTGACGGATCCCGCTGGGTGTGAGGCCCACCCGCATGCGGGCCGCCAGCCCCAACTCTGTTGTGCGGGGGTACCAGCTGCCTGGGGCCCGGGTGCTCCCGGCAGCTTGGTCAGGCTGGGGACAAAGGTCAGGGAAGAGCAACCCAGGTCGGAGCAACCTGCTAGCCTGCGAGGGGGGCAGGTGCGGAGAGAGCAGGCGGGGCTGGGCAGGGACCACGCGGCAGGCCTGTGCCAGGCAGGCAGCCTGCTGTGTCACAGCGAGCACAGGTCTGCGCCCCCCGCCCCCCACCGAGGGAGGGGAGACGGCAGCTCTGAGCGCACGTGGTGGGCAGGGTGTCCAGGGTGAGCTTGGTCGGCTCCCCAGGCCTCAGGAAAGGCTGGGCAGCCCTGCGGGAGGTCAGCCTGAAGCTGGTGGGCGGAGGGGGTGGGAATAGTCCACCCCTCCAGGCCCGACCCCTAGTCCTGAGCTACACGCCTGCAGCAGGGAGAGGCCGGGCCACCACAATGGCTCCTGGCACCTCGCGGGGGGCTCACCTCTCCCGGCCCGGTGCAGGTGGCCCTGGGGGCGCGAGGGTCCTGCGGATGTGCTCTCGAGATCGGATGTCAGCCTGGAAGACACAGACGGCTCAGAGAGAAGCAGAGCTGGGTCTGGGCTGCCCCCAACACATCTGCCCACCCAGCTTTTCACAGGAGCCTACTCAGGGCCCAGCCATGGGAGCAGCAGCCCCACTGCTGTGTGGGTGCCCAGGGGGCAGGGGCAACGACAGGCCTGAGTGGTTGGCAGGAGCCAGGCTGAGCGGGGCTCCAGGCTCCTCCCTGGAATCTCTCAGGCCAGCTGGTCTGTGCCCACGCTGGTGTCTGCTGCGATCCCTGCCCATCTCTAGAGGCCTGGGGCCCGGGGGCGGAGCAGGAGCCTGACTGGTGATCCTGGCCTCAGGAAGCCTCTGACCCCAGCCCAGATGGGCTTAGCCTGGAGGCATGTGACACACGGATAACAGCTCGTCTCCTACTTAGCTAATGGAGAGGTGGCACACGTGTGCACGGGCAATGGGAAGTCCTGCCAGCCAGCAGCCCAGCCTGGCAGGGGATCCTGGACCTGGCACCAGGTCTAGGGCCCCGTGGGGCCTGGGGCTGTGCCAGGGCGGGCACTTTTGGAGCAGGTGGCATGCATCCTGCAGCCACGGGCCTTTCTCGGCATGCGTCTCCATTTGGCAGGCTTTCCTGTGGTGCCAGGCCTGCAACCCCACCCTGTATCTAGAGGTTCAAGGTTATTACAGAAGGCTGACCCCTCATCTGCTAGGGAAGGGCGTAGCTAGAGGCAATGGCCAGCAGAGGCCTGCCCAGCAGGTCTGGGACAGTGCAGCTGGGTGCTGGGATCTCTGGGGCTTTCTCGTTAGGCTCCCGCGATGGGGTGGAGGAGGGAAGGAAGGGGAGAGGACTGTTCCTGAGGGACACCTACAACCAATGCAGACGCCCCTTCCAGCGGGGCTACGGTGGCGTGCAGGCTGTTGCTGCCCTCTGGAGGCCGCACCTGCACCTGCAGCCAGGAAGGCCCCAGGCACCCAGGGCTAACCTGGGGCTGACGGCCTCCACGGTGTCCACAACTGTGGCAGGCCAGGCAAACCCAGCATTTCTTTACCGACTCGCAGCTTTGGTAGCTGAGGCCCTGCCGGTAAGGCTTGAAATTTGACGCGGCTCAAGGCCAGCAAGCTCTGGCCTGCTTGGCACCTCCCTGAACCGTTCTTGAGCACATCTAACACCTTCCTGCCTCAGGGTCTTTGCAGATGCTATTCCTGTGGTGGACTGCCCTACTCTCTTCCTTCTCTAGTGGACCTCCTCCTAAGGGTGGTCCCTCCTGGGTCCTCTCTCTACCCACGGGCTTGGCTGAGGTGACAGCTTGTGACTGCTCACCAATGCCAGCACGTGAGCGTGGCTCAGCAGTGCCGATCCTGAGCTCTATCCCTAGATGCCTGGCATAGCTGTACCCCAGGGTCCTGACGTGTGCCCCTGGTCCAGCCCGTCTTGTCCAGCATGAGCCCTGCTGAGGTGACTGTCCCCCGAGGGCTGATTGGAGGATGGGGCTTGAGGCCTGAGCCCCCACTGCTGGGGCTTTGAGCCGCAGTGTTGGAAGGCCGAAGCGGATGCAGGGCTTGGGTGTGGTGCCGTGGCCGGGCCTTGCCAGTGCATCAAGGATCAGCTTCTCCTACCACTGCTGTCCCAGATAAGGGTGGCGCGTGTGTCACCGCCACCAGGGCCCGGCCCGGGAGCGCCTACCTGGCGCACTGGCTCGGGGACCCGGAACCTGCAGCAGCGGCAGGTCAGGCGCACGGCTGTCTCCAGGCTGGTCTTGTGGCCCACAGAGACGTAGAGTGGCTTGGAGCTGCGGTCATGGCTCTTCAGGGCCTGTGGGTGGGGAGCGGGCAGAACGCAGCATGGACACTTCCCTGTGTGGCTGGGCGAGCCTTGGGGGCTTCAGGCTGGGACAGAGTCCTGGGGCGGGGCGGCATGGGGGGGGGCTGGGTACTCTGCAGGTCAGATAAGGGTAACTCAGCCAAGGAAAGCCGCACACATCCCCTGCTGGGCTGGGTCAGAGAGTCAGGATGTGAGTTAGGCCTGTGCACCTGTGTGGGTGGGAGCCGGGTGTGTCTGATAAAGCTCTTTGACCTGGAAGCAGTTTAGGGCAGAAGCATGACACTCACCACTCCCAGGACAACCCCAGAATCTCCTGTCAGAGGAAACTTATCCCCCGCAGCCCGCAGAGCTTGAATCTAGGAGATGGGGAAAAATACTTGTAAAATCATTTTTTCTCTTTTTGTCAGTCACGGGGCCTGAACTCTGGGCCTGGGCGCTGTCCCTCAGCTCTTCAGTTCAAGGTGAGCGCTCTACCACTTAAGCCACAGCGCCACTTCCAGCTTTTTCTACATATGGGGTGCTCAGGAATCGAACCCATGGCCACATGCATGCAAGGTAAGCACTCTACCACTGAGCCACCTTCCCAGCCCCTTAAAACATTTTGTCTTGGTGAAGCTCTGAAGGCAAGTCTCTCAAAATGTAAACAGGACACATTGTTAAACTATACAACTTGTGGGTGGGGATGGGAGGGAAACACCAGGGGCCAGTGAGGAAGGAGCAACACTATCTAAACCAGGAGCCAGAGGCTCACTTGTCATCCTAGCTGTTCAGGAGGCTGAGCTCTAACTGCAGTTCAAAGCCAGCCCAGGCAGGAAAGTCCATGAGACATCTCCCATAAATGACTCAAAAAGCCGGGAGTGACGCTGTGGCTCAAGCAGTATAGCACTAGCTTTGAGTAAAAGCAGCTCAAGGACAGTGCCCAGGCCTAGAGTTCAGGCCCTAGGACCAGAAAAAAGAAAGTACTGTTTACCTGACTTATGTAACTCTACCCACTCTGTACATCATCTTTATAATAACGATAAAAAATTAAAAACCCCACTAAGTAGTAGGGCTGGGCGCAGGGGTACAGGCCTGTCAAGCCCAGCTGCCAGAAGGTAGATGCTCACTGTCCAAGGCCAGCCCTGGGCAAAAGTGCAAAATCCCATACAAGCCGCTGGAAGGTGGCTTCGTGGTGGAGCATTAGCCTTGAGCTGAAGAGCTGAGGGACAGTGCCCAGGCCCAGAGTTCAGGCCCCACGACTGTAAGTAACAGAGCCCCTGCCTAGCAAGCTTCCGACCTCAAGGCCCTGATCTTAGAGAAGCCGGAGCTATGCCCAGGCAAGGGCCACGTCTCTGGGCATCAGCTTGGCCAGGCCCTGAGGCCAGGGGATCTCATCTTACTTGACCACGGGTCTCAGAGAAAGGGTGGCACTTATCCAGAGCCATTGTACCAGTGGGCAGAGGCAGGGGGTGGTGACCTACCAGTGCTGGACACTGCCCTGAGCTCAGGCTTCCCCTGCGGCTAGGATTTGGGCACATGGGAATCAACTCACAAGCCTTGTCTTCTGAGTGGGGGAAGGGTGGGCTCGGGAATGGATAAGGCTAGGCCCCTGCAACTTAACACGTTTCCTAAGCAATGTTTGCTCCACACAGGTGTGTGAGAGCTAGAGAGACAGGTGTGGTCTCTGCTCGCAGTCCTGAGCTAGAGGAAGTGTGGGTGCGGCCCTGCAAGGCGGGGCACAGGAGGGTCCAGAGGACGGGTCGGTGAGTACTGCTGGAGGCTGGGCTGTGGAAGCCCCCGCGGGGAGGTGCAGGGGTGAGTCGAGGGAGGGCACAGAGGCAGGGTGGAGGCAGCAAGGGCACCATGGCAGGAGCTGGGAAAGGAGGCAGGGAGTCCTGAGGGCTGCTAGCCATGTGCTGGGCCGTGGAGAGCACACCAGCAGGCCAGGCTGGAGCCCCGAGGCTGTCCGTTACCCAGTGTGAGCCGCGGGTGGGCGCCGGACACTCCTTACCTTCTCCTTGTGCAGGGTGTTGTTTTCCAGCCCGTCCACCTGCAGGAGCTTCTTGGCCACCCCAACGCAGGGCAGCCCTGTGAGGACACCGAGGTGGCAGGCCACACCGAAGCCTGCCAGGAGGCAGAGGGGTCAGGAAGCAGTAAACCAAGGGGCCTGGAGGTGGGCGCAGGACACGGGCAAACCTGGAATCTCCTGTCTATAAACAGGAGAGAACTGAGGCACCAAACCCACCTTGAACGAGGTGCTCTGGCCTGACTGGGGAGAGGACTCCTTCCCCTGGCCCCCTAATTTGCATTCCCACAGCCGTGGAGGGCAGACCCGAGGCCTGAGAGCAGCAGCGAGTGAGGGAGGAGGCGGGAGGCCGTGTTGGGCGCCGCCTGGATAGGCACAGCTGCTCACTAGCCGCAGCCATCTCACCTGGGCCCGGGTCACCGGACATCAGTGGGGCCAAACACCTGGTGGCAGTGCAGGCTGAGAGTGGGGTGTGGCTACCCTGGTGTTGGGCGTGGGTGGCAGCACCCAGAGCTGGGCGGCAGAGGGAGCTGTGGGGGTGAGGGGCAGGCAGAAAGGGTGGGATGGAGGGGAGCCTCCTTTGGGGTGGGGACACCGAATGTCCTGACAGTACACACACGTCCAGAAAGCACGTGTCAGTGGTAGTGATGTCATGCGGGGGCATGGGAGACGCAGCGCCCCAGTCTCCCACAGCACCCCTGGGAGCAGGAGTTACCTCGGGGGTGCAGCAGCCCGTTCCCATCCACAAGAAGGACCTGCGGAACCACAGGGGGTCCCGGTCAGATGAGCCTCTGCCCTGTACCTGCCCCGGGGCGCTGGGTGGCGAGGGGCCAGCAGGGGCTCCCCCTCAGCCCCAGAAGTGAAAGGCCCTCTGGCACCTGCCTGGGGCATGAGGCCTGGCTCTGTCTCCCGCAGCCGCTGCACCAAATCCACCAGGAAAGGCACCTCGCGGAAGGCCAGGAAGCCGGAGATGTAGGGGGCGGTCAGGCTGACCATGCGGCTCTCCTCGTGGATCACCTGGCGCCAAAGCCCTGAGGTCAGCAAGCAACCCCACGCACCCACTCCTCCACGGTCCTCCCTCCCCAACCCCACCTCTAGCGACACCCTCCACCCCTGGAGGAAGAAGAGGGTCGACTCCCAGGTGCTTGCCGGGCCTGCGTGGACCCAGTGTGTGTGTGAGCTCACCCTCTCCCCAGCCAGGATGCGCGTGTCTGAGGGGCTCTCACCCACCAGGAGGGCTTGGTCTCTCTGGCTAGGTGACCAGCCTCAGCTCCGCTTGCTCCTGGCCCCTCCTCATGAGCTGGATGCCCCTCTGGCCTCCCTGGTCTGCTGCCCAGGCGCTTCAAGCTCCAAATCAAAGCCCCAAAATGTGCCTGGGTAAGTGGGCCACAAATGGAGGGCACACTGTTCTTGTCAAAGGACCCTGGGGGGAGGCTGCCAACGCAAGCCACAGAGGAAGAGGTGTGCAGTCGTTCAGGAAAAGGAAGGCACGCCCCTGGAGATAGACAAGCTGAGAACAGCAGTGCTCAGGGCTGGGGGAGCTCAGGACCAACTCAGGCTGCGAAGCAGCAGCACGCAGAGGTGTGGACCGGGGACAGCCTTGCCGTGGGCGCTCGGAGGGTGCGGACCAGGGGGCTTTCCACACAGCCTAGGGACCACGGAGAGGCTTTAGAAGGCCGCCAGCCACGGTCCTCTGGGCTCCCCTGGCAACCTGCCACGGGTGGAGCATCACTAAGGCCTGCCTAGAACAGGCGCGCACTGCGTCTCCTGACCCCTGGTCTTCGTGGGTCTCACTGGCTGGATGGGAGGTGATTCCCACAGCACACACAACTCTTTTTTACGTCTACCCTCCAAATCTAGCTTCCCAGTCACAGTCCCCACTTCCCCTGGAGGCTGGCCTGGGCTGAAGAAGCCTGGGGCCTGTCCTCAGGACATTCTCAGTCATCACTCCTGAGAAAGTCACCAAACTTTCCAATGACGCAAAGTGAGGAGAGTCCATGCCAATGGCAGCCGGGAGAACCTGACCTGTAACAAGCTGATGACTGAAGTCCACACAAGGCAAGGCAGGGACACGTGTGCAGTGAAGTGTCAGGGTGACCGTGCCATAAACTTCACAAGCCAGAGAGAGCTCGGCGAGGGAGGCCTCTCCCAGCTCGCCCCTCCCTGCTGACTGCACCCATGCCTGAGTGCGCGCGCACACGGGAGGAGAGCCGCCCAGGCAGTACAGTGGCTTGGCAAACATGGAGGCCCTCAGAGACAAAGGCCAAGCCAGAGTGACAGACATGGAAGCTGAAAGTAAAGCCAATGAACAGACCAGAAAAAGAAAAAATGCAGAGCAGTTAAAGGAAAGATTGAAGCTGGGCGCCAGTGGCTCAAGCCTGTCATCCTAGCTACTTGGGAGGCTGCAATCTGAGGATCATGATTTGAAGTTTGAAGGCAGCCCAGGCAGGAAAGTCTGAGATTGTGAGATGCTTATCTCCAATTAACCTCGAGGAGGGGGGGGGGGAGATAAGCAAGCAAGAAAAAAAGGATCGAGGAGGACCTAGATTTGTGCCTCAAGTGGTAGATCAGCCATAAGAGGAAAATAAACAGAGCAAGTTTGAGGGTGATGGTGAGTTCAAGTCCTAGTACAGACTCAAAAAAAGAAAAGATTGACGGGCATAGGATATAGCTTCGTGGTACAGTGCTTGCTTGACACGTGTAAGGCCTGGGTCTTATCCTTAACATGGCATTTGTATGCATGCGTATGTGCACATGTGTATAGAAAAGCTGGGCACTGGTGGCTCACACCTGTAACCCTAGTGGAACTATGGTTTAAGGCCAGATGGGGCAGGAAAGTGTATGGAATCCTTTCTCAGCCTATAGCTGGGCAAGTGGCAAGCTCGGGGGTCTCATCTGTTTAAGAAGGGTCCAGGGCCTGCTGTGGAAGTGCTTTCCCAGCCTGCGATTCTGGAATCTGTAGACTTTAACAGCTTTATTGCTATTCCAATTCCAAGTGTTTTTTATTTTTTGGTGTTTGCAACTAATTTCAGAACACTTTCCAAGATACTCCTGGACTTAACCTCACCCCTCTCTCCCACAGCTCTAGGTAATCACCAACCCACTTTCTGTCCCTAGGGACCTGCAAGTGGACTCTGTATTCTTAAACACACCGCCAGGTGACCCATGGGAAGGCATTTGGAGCCCAGAACCTTCCAGACCCTTTTCTCATCTAAGCTTACATCAAGGGACAAAGGCCAACCAAACGCTCAGGTTGCAGGTGTGGCGCAGGGTGAGGGGTTGCAAGAGGACAGTGGAGAGGTGCCAAGCTGGCACATGCACCCATCCAAGCCTAGGACACAGACGCGGGCGATGAGGTCTGCAGCCAGGGTATGGCGGGAGAGGGCAGTGTTGACTGCTTCCCTCACGAGGCTACCACATGGGTGAAGAGCTTCCTCCTCCCCACCTCAGAAAGAAAAGAAAGTGGGAGGGTGGCCAAAACTGGCGGAGCTAGAGTATGGACAGGAGTGGTCTCGTCTGGGGCCTACAGATGGGCAGTGGTTCCCCCCAGGTCCTAGCAGTGCCTGTGCTGGTAAAAAGGTCTGCCTGGCAGAGCTACAGGCGCAGGAAGACGACGCTGGTGTTGGGTGTGGGCGGAGGAGCAACGCGGGAGGTGAGGCGGCAGGGTAGGGCCAGCTCCTGAACCCCTGGCTGTCAAGTCGACGGGCTCACTGCTTAGTCATGTACATTGGCTTGGGGAAGGATGTGTGTCTTCTACAAGCCGGGGCAGAGGCACTGCTGGTGGGCAGGTTCTGGCTCCTGGCATTGTGGAGTTTATGTTCTGGAAAGGAAATGGGCCAATTCCGTTCCAGTAAGATGAAGATGAGGATTAAGGCAGTTACGTGCTAAGACTGTAGTACACAGGTGATGAGATTAAAAGGCAGGCCTTGGGGAGTGGTTCTAGCATGTGAGGACAGGGAAAGGGTGACAGGAAGGGAGCTCTTTCCAGATCTTCACCACGCTGACCCCAGATCAGTCAACACAGCCCCGAGACACAAGCTTCTGCCCTTTATATAAACCACCCAATCTGGGGCATTTTGCTATAGTAGCCCAAATAGATGAAGACTCGTTGATGAGAGCAACTCTTCTTGGGGCTCACTGGAAGAAATGTCTAAATTGGGCCCTGGGAGGAAGAGATGCCAGGCAGGTGAGGGCTATTTCAGGAGAGGAAACATGGCTGCAAAGACTGGAACTCAAAGCTGTCCAGTGGTGAGTGGAAAGGCTGAGGGTGCAGTGGGAAGTCTGACCTAGCAAGCGAAGGGAACAAACAAATCAGACTCTGATGCTACACCGGTGAGCGTGCCCTTGTTTACTACAAGATCACAGAAAGGGCGATAAAGAGCTTACACCTGCTGTTTACAAAAACTTCTCTCCTAGCAATGGGAACAAGCAACGCCCGAGACAGAGGGTCGTGGAAGATATGGCTCAGTCCCCTACAGGATGACAGCAGCGCAGACAGAGGAAGACAGAGGAGGCAGAGAAAACAGAGCTGATGTAGGACAGGATGCGGCAGGGAGGGTCATGAAGGCACAGTTCTAGCATGGGCACCCGGGGGCGCAGGTGAACCAGGCAAGATGACAGTCAAGATCTGGAATCAATTTTCCCAATTCCCTTCCCCCTCCCTCCTTTTTCCTCGACATTTCACAAAATTCTACAAAAGGGCTGGAGGTGCAGGTCAGTGGCAGGTCATTTGCCAAGCAAATTTGGGGTCCCAAGTTCAGCCCCCAGCACCAAAGAGAAAAAAAAAATTCCAAAAGGAACGCCAGGCTCTACTCTGGCTTCGTCCCCTCTTGGAGGCTCTGCCCCTCTCCAGTGTGGCAAGTCCATGCTGGGTCAGGTTACCTCGAGCTCTGGGTAGCTGAGCACCACCAGGGAGGCACAGGCACAGGCACTGTCCCCTTTCACAAAGGACACATCGACACCCCCGACCCTCTGCAGCCCCGAGAAGCTGGGGTCTTGTTGCCACGGCTCTGTGTCCCAGTCTACCACGCGGGCCTTCAGCCAGGTTTGTTCCCTAGGAGAAAAGACTTGTCAAAGCAGAGCAGGGACCAGGCTGAACTCTTGTTATAAATGTGCCCTCCAAAACCACTGGAGTCACAACTGAAGATGGGAAAACAAAGAACTGTCTTCACAAAGCCAAAACCTACTTCTGCACAGAAGAGTAAAGTGCCAGCCAAATTTCAGGCAAGCCAGAGCAGGTGGCAGCTAGAGTCCTTTTATTCCCTAACACAGCAGGCCCTGCCCCTCTGCTCCAACTGGCCAAGCTCAGGTTCCCAATCTGCGGATTGGCTAGTTTGAAGAGGCTAGGATGTATTTACATGTTGACACCTGCCGTTAATTTCCTAGAACAATCTGAGGCATGCTTTCTAGAACAATCTTAATTACTCACACCTTCAGCTACTTTCTGGAATGCTCTCACGGGTGACTTAATTACACCCTCTTCTTCTTTCTAACAAGAGTTGAGCAGGAATTTTTTTGGGGGGGGGGCTTGTCCCTGAGCCTCTCTGGCTCAAGGCTGTGTATGTGGCACTGAGGAATCGAACCCGGGCCTCGTGCGTGCTAGGCAGGCGCGCCCCCAGCAGGAACGGTGAAGAAGATCTCGGGATCGACAGAGTGGAAGCGACCGCCGCTCACACTCCCGCCAACCCCCAAGAACGCAGACGGGGGACTCGGAGGCCCAGGGAGGCCGGAAGTGAGGGCCGCGAGCTGGGCACAACTTCCGGAGGCCCGGCCGGAAGCGGAGCCCGGGCCCAGCCGGGAGCCTCCGCCGCCGGGCTGCGAGGCTGAGGCCGCGGGATGACCGCGCGGCCCCGGGCCCCGGCTGCTGCGCGGCCTTCGACCCCATTACCGTTCCCACAGCGACAGGGTCTCCTCCGGAGGCCGTTCCGCGGCCTTCGAGTCCATGCTCGGTCTCCGGCCGCTTCCGAGGCGTCACTTCCGGCGCGCCCCGCGCGGCGTCCTCCGCGCTGCGACGCCGGCGCCCCTGGTCCGCTGGCTTCCGCCTTCCGGCCCCGCCGGCGCGCTCGCCCCGGTCCCGCCCCCGTCGGCGCGGCGGCCCGGCCCGGCCCGGACGGGCTGAGCGTGCCGGGCCCCGCGTGGCGCCCGGGGCCCGGGTCGGGAAGACGGCGGACACGTGCGGCGGCCGGAGGGAAAGCCATGCCTGCGGGAGCTGGCCTCGAACCCGTGGCTGCGGAGGGCCGTGGGGAGCCATGAGGCTAGGGGTGGCGATTTACAGCCCCTGGACAGGGCCTGGACAGCGCCCGCGAGCTGGGGGAGCCCCACTTCGTTTTCTTTTTCTGTGGTCGGTCGTGGGGCCTGAACTCTGGGCCTGGACGCTGTCCCTCAGCCCTTCAGCTTAAGGCTAGTGCTCTACCACTTGAGCCACAGCGCCACTTCCGGCTTTTTGCTTTTTGCTTATGTGGTGCTGAGGAATCGAACCCAGGGCCTCAGGCATGCAGGGCAAGCGCTCGACCACGGAGCCACCTTCCCAGCCCCGAGTCCCACTTGCTCAGGACCCAGTATTTACCAGCCCCTGGGCTGTTGTTTCCCTTGTCTTTATTTTCATCATGAGGAAACTTGGGGCTTCCAAAGGGCAACTGGCTTGCCTGCTAAGCGTGTCAGCCTGGTCCTGCCCCGCCCTGGGCGAGGATTGGTAACACAGCCTGAGTTCTCAGTGTAAGGTCCATTCCTGGACGGCGAACAGACCTCACCCAGTACCTGCGTTACCTAGGCAACTGGGATACCTGGAAGAGGTCACATCCGCATCCGCTGAGGTCACATCTTAACCTGATGTGGCCGCACCTTTCTCCCACCTGATCCCACTTCCCTTTACCTGGACACACCCTTCCCCACCCCCTACCCTATATAAGGCCTAAACCGCGGCCAGACCGCCCTCTTTTCCTTTTGCCAGCCGCGTGGAGTGCCAACCTTGCCTGGTCCCAGCAGGTCTACTGAATAAACCTACCCCTTACCTGAATACCACGTGCGTGGTGCAGTTCTTACTCGGCCACCTCTTTTTAAAAACCTAACACTCAGGAAGTAGCTGTTGTCTAGGGCGAGGTCATGGGCTCTTAGGGTACAGGTGGAGATCGGAAAGAACAGAGTAAGTTCACATAGGGAGGGCAGGGGGCTGCAGGCCACAGAGTACTGAGCTTGCCCTCCCCATTTCACGGTGTCATCATTACTGACAGCTCTCAAAACACCCATGTTGAAAGGAAGCGGGCCGCTGTCCAGAATACCCTACAGAAAGGTCTGAAGGTGGATTCTGAACACTGCCGCACAGGCTCAGTCCACGGGCCAAGGGGTCAGAAAAGCGCACGATGCAGTATCAATGCTAGTTATCTTCACTCACTCAGATTTTGGCTCAAGGCCTCAATTTCTCCATTTACCCACGGAGAGCTCTCCCAAGCCCCATTGGTTCTGAAGCCTGGTGCTTCGTATCAGAGATGGTTCTTAATGGCACATCGGGGTATGTGGGTCTAACTAGCCCTTTGAGCTGACACTTCTTTACCATGACTTTACTATTAGAAGTTTCTCAGTTGGAACTGCTTGAACATACAAGGATGAAGAAAATAGCTCGTGGCTGTCTGATCCAGTTAACTTGCACACTCGATCGTTGAAAAAAAAAGTATAGTTTGATGACTGCTTCTCCTTTACTGCCTTTATTCTTGATTACTAAAATGAAATGGGGAAACCCATTCCACAGTGTCATCATTACTCATGGGCTGCTAGAGCTGAGCCGTCTGCAATAAAACACATTTAGGCACAAGACCTGCTCTGGCTCAAGGCTGCAGCCTGTTTGCGGCTGGCTCCACCATGGACAAGCAGTTCTGTGCTCCTTTTGTCCAGGTAAAAAAGTTTATGTTCTCAGCAAAGGCATAAATTTTGTGTTCTGAATTCTGTATTTCATGGATAGAAGGATCCTGTAAGAACATTTCCATAGAAAACAAACCATTCTCAAATGCAGGCCAGCTGGGTTCTTTGTGCTATATAAATGGAAGTACTGCCCACAGAAAATATTCCTTTTCGGCAAAATTCAAGTTTATTAAATATGACAAGGATAATTATGCTAGATATCAAAGTTAAGGCTTTGAAACAAAACACATAAAATGAGACATCTTAAAAAAAATCATAACAGTGGAAAAAATTCTTAGGCCCAAGGAGGAAAAACAAATTCTAAGGAGATTTGACACCCAATTCCCACCTGCTAAGGTGTATTCCAGTGAGAAGCTAAGTTTGAGCTGCTACCTGGCAGGGCAAGCTGCAGCGCTGCCCAAAGGTAGCTGATGTCCATTCAGAAGGCAGAGGTGTGGGAGGGCGTGGTCTGGCATGGTCAAGGAGGATTGTCGTGGATCACTAGATGTGAACATGTCACTTCTCCAGGTCCCCTCACTGCACTCCCACGAGACACACAGTGGGTGTCAGCACAGATCACTCCTGGGTGCTGTGTCCAGGGCCGGGATCCTGGCTACCAGTTAGTATTGTAGCTCAGGAGTAGATGGGCCTAAGAGTGGGTAAGTCCCTAACTCATTTCAAATTCATGTGAGGGCGTATGTGTCACCTCTAGCTACATTGGCTGTCCTGATCTCACTGTGAACAAGGGCTAGGCCGCCAGGCAGGGGAGTTTGTCCAGACACATCAAAGATATCATATTAACTTGACAAGAGACAGTGGTTATGAGAAAAGGTGAGCTGTTTTTCCTCAGAAGTGTGAATGATTTTGTACTGAGTCTCATCTTTGGTTCTGATTCAAATAAAAGACCAGATAGTTATATATTGGGATGTTGAGACATAACCAAGACTGTGTATTTATCGGGCAAATGCTAGACAATCAGAAAACTCCAAAGCATTGCCCAAAATGCACCTTTGATCCAAGTTTGTATCAATAAACTTTCCTTTAGAATCTGAAGACCTGAGAATTGGAAGGAGCTTTGGCTGCCAGTATACCCTGTACATTTTATCCAAGGGAAACTAAGACTCTGAAAATATCCCAGGCTCCTCCTAATATCTGGCTCTGACCCTGAGGAGTTTGGCAGTGGTTTATTGTGGGCTGGCTCAGCTCTTGTTCATGAGGCTTTAAGGCGTGTTATAGACACCTGGCTCTCCTTGGGTTAGTGAGAAGGTGGAAGGCATGGGGCACATTTTCAGTTTCTTGGAAACCAAGAAATATGGACAATACTCAGAAGCTAAAGAACTGAGAAGTAGACTTTGTATGTGTATGTGCGTGTGTGTGTGGCACATATGCTCAAACGGTAGAAGAGAAATGAGTAGCCTGTGCTTTCTTTTTCCTCCAAGTAGTGATGTGAGGAAGACGTTCCTAATGGTCACGAGGTAGGATGCTGGCAGGCTTGAGACCTCTGCACCACGGCTTTTGCCTCCCGGAATGCACAGGATGCAGCTGCTTTCTACTGTTGGTCTTCCTCTCACCTCCTAATGGACAGTACCCACTGAACAGTTTTAGAACATGCATGTTGTCCGCTTGCATGCGCGCGCCGCCTGGACCAGAGCTGCGCCTGCACCGCGCCCGGGCGCTCACAGTCACAGTCCTTGTGGGATCCAGGCTGATGGGAAGGGAGCGGGAGCCATCCTACTGTCTCTGCCGCTCCTGTTTCCGGGTGGCGGCTGCTTTCCACACTGAGATGCAGCTGGACATCGGGATCTCTTCCGGGAACTGGGACTCCACTTCCGGAAGGGGTTCACTCTCTTTAAAAATCATGTAATTTACCAGAGTTTCCTTTATTCTGCCAAGAAAGAACAGGAGGTGGTGTTTATAATGCAGTGGGCCTCTTTCTGTCACTGATGCTAGCTTGGTACTAAGGGTCAGCTAAATGCTGGCCTCCTGACGTGGGCTGGATGCCACGTTCAAGGCCTGTTCTCAGTAGAACAAATTACTATGTATTTTGTAGTTAGAATTGTTGTTGTTGGTTGTGGGACTTCAACTTGGGGAGGAAGGGCGTAGGGGTGGGCTGGGCGCTGTCCCTGAGCTCTTTTTGCTCAAGGCTAGCACCTTAACCACTTGAGCCCCAGCTCCACTTCTGGTTTTCTGGTGGTTAATTAGAAACGAGAGTCTCACAGACTTTCCTGTCTGGATTGGCTTTGAACCATGATCCTCAGATCTCAGTCTCCTGAATAGCTGGGATTATGGGTGTGAGCCACTGGCCCCTGGCAGAATCTCTTTTTTTTTTTTTTGCCAGTCATGGGGCCTGAACTCTGGGCCTGGGCCTGGGTGCTGTCCCTCAGCATTCCAGCTCAAGGCGAGCACTCTACCACTTGAGCCATAGTGCCACTTCTGGTTTTCTGGTGGTTTATTGGAGATCAAAGTTTCATGGACTTTCCTGACCAGGCTGGCTTTGAACCGTGATCCCCAGATCTCAGCTTCCTGAGTAGCTAGGATGACAGGTGTGAGCCACTGGTGGCGGGCTCAGGATCTCTCTTTTTTTAATCCCAAGAGACTAAAACCAAAGTAGGCAGAGCTGGGGTGTGCTGGAGAGGGCCCCACACTGGAGGGAGGGTTGGTGTTGCGCAGCACCCTGGCTCCAGGCCTGAGGCGCGACCGGGTGAGCCCGTACCTCCAGTGGGGTTCGAAGCTGCTGTGGCTCCTGAGTCTCAGCACCATCATCTCGTGCAGCTCCAGGAGGAAGGCATCCAGGCCTGGGCGGTTCAGGAAGGCCTGGAGAAGCCTGGCATCCTCGGGGCTGAGGTCTGCTTTGAACTGCTGACCGAGGTCCCGGAAGGGGTCCTGGTGGGGAGGACAGACAGGAATAACCGCGGGGGGAAGCGGGGTACAGCTCCCTCCATCCAGGGAAGGCAGAAGCCAGACTCACTTTCTTGAGGTGCAGGAGCTGTTCCGACTTATATGCCGAGAGGAACTGCCAGAGGGCGATGGTGTGTTGCAGCTGGCATTTGCTCAAGGAGGCCTGAGGGGAGCAGAGCGGGCTGGAGGTGAGGAGCCCCCGGCTGCCCACCCCTGCGCACCAAGGAGTCTGTGCCCAGCTCTGCTCTGTACAAATCCCATTCGCCACGGTGGCGCACAGCTGTGACATCATAGAGCACACAGAAATCGCGGGTGCTCTGGTGGGGCACTCAGCCGGGCGCCTGTCTGACTTCTATCCCTAGCGTGCAACGTTCATTTTTTTCTTTCCGTGCCAGTCCTGGGGCTTGAACTCAGGGTCTGGCACTCTTCCTCAGCTTGCTTCACTCATGGCTGATGCTCAGCTACGTCAGCCATACCTCCAGATCTTGCTTTTTGCTGCCTAATTGGAGATGAGATTCTTGGGTTTGTCTGCCTGGGCTGGCTCTCAGCCCTCAGAGTAGCTAGGATTACAGGAGTGAGCAACTGTTGTCACCGGGCTCCCAGAACACAGTGTGCATACTCACCTCCCCCTTGTGGGGGCGCCCGCCTCCTTGCTCCCGGGCAGGAAGCAGGAGACTTACTTTCCTAGATGCCTCAGACAGGGCCTACCTTTAGAACTGGGGTCATCTGATCCCTCATTCGCAGGACCTCTTGGACATACACATCCAGCTGCATGTTGGGATCTCCTCCAGCTGTGCTCAGGAAGCCCAGAGTGACTTCGACAACAGACAGCGCTTCACAGACGTTGCTGTAGGACTGCAGCTGCCCAATGGTGCTTGTGGCCGAGCTGGGGAGGGGGTGCTGGGAAAGCAGAGGCAGGACAGGGGTGGCTGTGGGCTTCTTGTTTCTTGCTACTGGGAAGAGCTTAGCTCTGTCCCCGCTGAGGGAGGCCAGCCCTCCAGGGACAGTCAGTGTCTGCTTCTGTGAGAAGTCAAAACCACCCAGGACAACAGTGCGGCCATGGCCACCCATCTCCTATCACCCAGCCCTACACGCTAGCGCCGTCTGCCCGCCTCTGTGGAGGGCACGGGGCCCATCAGAGCCCCTGGGACTCCGGTGTGCACGGCAGACACGGGGGACAGGGTAGGGCTGCCCTGGGGAAGTGGCCGCCCTGCAGGAAGCAAGCATCATCAGGAGCACCTGTTTCATTTTGTTCTTGATGCCCATGAAGAGAAGTTCATAGTTCCAGTCATGTCTGTATACCAGCGTGGGGATTCCCTGCCACGAGAGAGAAGAGAGGGGTTTTGGAAATTAAATCTGTACGGCGGGTTTGCACAGATGACAGATAACGCCCGTGGTGACACTCCGTGGCGGCACGGGCCAGCGCCATGTGGCACAGGAAGCTCTCAGTTGCGTCTGGTCTTTCACTTTCAGAGCCCAGGCTACCCACCGTGGCCCCAGACACTGCCAGCAGAACGCTGTGCGTCAGGAGTGCCCACGCCAGGCATCTCTTTGACAGCTATTATGCATAGATCACAAACAAGGTGGTTACCTCTTGATGACAGGCCTGTCAGCGTGAATAAAAACTGTCTGGGTCCATCAGTTCTCTGTCTAGTTGAGGACAAGGAGGACTAAGTACACCTAAGCACAACATATCTGACTGGAAGGAAGGATGGGGGGGGGGGGCTGCCAGATGAAGGAGCAGGGGTAGAAGTGCCATTAACAATGGCTGGAAAGGGGCTGGGAGGGTGGCTCCGTGGTAGAGTGCTCACCTGGCACGCATGAAGCCCTGGGTTTGAGTTCTCAGTACCACATATACAGAAAAAGCTGGAAGTGGCACTGTGGCTCAAGTGGTAGAGAGCTAGCCTTGAGCAAAAGCAGCTTAGGGACAGTGCCCAGGCCCTGAGTTCAAGCCCCAGGACTGGCAAAAAGAATGGTAGAAAACCCAAACAGAAGATCTAGGGATGTGGTTCAAGTGGTAGAGCATACACCTAGCAAGCATGAGGCCATGAGTTCAAACCTATCCTGCCAGACGTGGAGTCTGTGAAGACTCAAGGTTCCCCAGGGGCTTTGTGGCTCACATCTGTAATCCCCGCTACTCAGGAGGCTGAGACCTGAGGGTCGTGGTTCCAAGCCAGCCTGGGTAGCAAAGTCCATGAGACTCTTATCTCCAACAAACCACCAGAAAACCAGGAGTGGTGCTGTGGCTCAAGTGGTAGAGCTGCTAGCCTTGAGCTGAAGAGCTCAGAGACAGCGCCCAGGCTCCAAGTTGAAGCTCCGTGATCAACAACAACAAAAGACTCCACATGGGGACTGAGTTGGAGATGGTGGAGAGGGACGAGCAGTGGTTGTGGGAGCCCCGCTCCCCCGGGACACACAAAGGACACGCAAGAGGCAGTGTGTACGACATGCACGCGTGTGCACTCAGCAGCACGGCCCCTACCCTGAGCGTCAGCCTGGGCTTGCCCTGGAGGAAGCGGCTGCCGATCTGCCGCTGGATCTTCTCCAGGTCGAAGTCCTGCAGGGTGTCCCCGCCCTGCTGCACCTGGTATTGGCAGTTGGAGAGGATCAGTGGCATCAGGTCCCGCTCCACGTCATAGCTGACCACGTGCAGGTCGGTGACCTCCGAGGCGTCCACTGAGTAGCTGAGGACACAGGAGCAGCTCCTGGGTGGCAGCTCGTGTCCTGAGCTGCAGGGTGTGTGGATCCCGCTCCCATGTCGCCCTCAGGGTCTGGGGGGGGGCCCGGGGGGCTGGGGTGGAGCTGGCTGAGGAAGGTCCGCTGGGGAAGGCGCAGGTGCTGGCTGGCGGCTGCCATGGGCCCACGGGCGGGTGCGGGGTCTCGGGCCCTGCTGGCTGTGCACATACCTGTTGTCTTCCTTGAACTTTCCCATGATTTCATTGTGGAGGCGGATCAAGTAGCGGACTAAGGCAGTGGAACAGAGGCCCAGGCCCTGGGGGCGTGGCAGGATGACCTCGAAATCGCTGTCCAGATCCAGGTCAGAGCAGCAGTAGTCTTGGGGTAGCTTGATTTCCCCTGGAAAGGGCAGGGTGGTGAGCGGCGTGGCAGGGCCCTGCTCCATTCGGGAGGCCCTGCAGCGAGGCCAGGGCGGGAGGCCCGCTCGGCTGGCCTGTGGCGGCTCCCCTGCTCCCAGGAGCACCAGGGGTTTCTGGCGTTAGCTCTTTTATTCCAGGCCTGCCAAGGCACCCCTGGCAGAGCCAAGCTGGGGAGCGGCCTGCAGGACGGGCGCTGCTACGCACGCTTACCGTGGGTCTCCAGGGAGCGCCTCAGCGCGTTCCACGTGGACAGGAAGATGGCGATCCGGTTGTGGAGCAGCTGCCGCAGGCCATCTGTGGAACCAAACGCCCAGCGTTGGAGCCCAGGGAGAGCGAGCCCCAGCCAGCTCCGAGTCACCCTGCACCCATCCCCGGTTCCCCACATCACCTCCAGCCAAGGTGGAGTCAGCGCCAGGGGAAGGCGGGCAGTCTCCGGCTGCGGAAGCCCACCGTGGGTGCGGGGCTCAGGACCCCTCCACCTCATCCTCAGGTCCCAGAGTGCCCATTAGCCTGCACCCCTCCGGGGGACCTTTTGGTTAAGCACCCCTCAGAGCGGGGGGCAGAGTCATACCTGAACTGTGACTGCTAATAAAGCCTCGGATGGAACTGAATTCCACCTCTGGAATATTCTGGAAGCGTTTCACTAGATCCCTCTGCAGCGCCAAAATCTCTGGCAAGAATTTTACCAGCCTCAGTTCTGCTTCCTGGAGGGAGGAAGCCAGAAGGAAGTCGTTGGGTGTATGACGGACCGGCGGGGGCCCATGCGGGGGTTTACCCCAGTCGGAGGGCCGTGTGTCAGCACCACACACCCAGAAGCTTGCAAGTGGGAGGAAAGATCACCCCAGTCTTTCTCCAAGCACCTGCAACGGCTGGGAAGAGGTCATGCCCGGGGTGGAAGATGAACAGCTAAAGCTGATGTGTGGACGTGAGAGAGAGAGAGAGAGAGAGAGAGGCTCCGGATGGAGAGCTGAGCCTCCAGCCTCAGCAGACGCAAAAACCAACTGAGACAGATCAAAGCCCGAAACATAAGACCCCAAATTCTGGAACTACCAGAAGAAAAGTGGGGAACACTTTAAGGCATTAGGGTAGGCAAAGATTTTGTGTCAAGGACTCCCAAATTGCACAGGAAACCAAAGCAAATATTGACAGACGAGATTCCATCAAACTGAAACGTTTCTGAATGGCAAAGGAAACAAGTCATAGAGTGGAGAGGGAACCTGCGGTGGGAGAGAAGATTTGCCCATTATCCATCTGACGGAAGGCAAATATCCAGGAAATATATTACAGATTCAAAAACTTAACAACAGCTGAGATCTGAGGATCGAAGTCCAAAGCCAACCCAGGCAGGAAAGTCTGTGAGACTCTTATTTCCAATGAACCACCAGAAAACCAGAAGTGGTGCTGTGACTCAAGTGGTAGAGCGCTCACCTTGAGCTGAAGAGCTGAGGGACAGTGCCTAGGCCAGACTGGCCAAAAAAAAAACTAAACAAAAACACTTAACAAAAAATTGAATTAATAATCCAATTAGAATCCTGTTCATTTAAAAAAAAAATCACAGGAAGAGTAGAATCCAATCCATCAATGGGCAAAGGACACTTCTCAAAAGCAGACATACAAATGATCAACAAGTATTTGGAGGGAAAAAAACCTCAATATCATTAACCACCAGAGAAATGCAAATCAAAGCTACAATGAGATATTATCTCGTAGCAGTTAGAATGACTATTACAAAACAAAAACAAAAACCACCTCTAAGGCGGGTGCTGGTGGCTTACGCCTGTCATCCTAGCTACTCAGGAGGCTGAGATCTGAGGATTGTGGTTCAAAGCCAGCCTGGGCAGGAAAGTCCATGAGACTCTTATCTCCAATAAACCACTAGAAAACCGGAAGTGGCACTGTGGCTCAAGTGGTAGAGCGCCTGCCCTGAACTGAAGAGCTGAGGGACAGTGCCCAGGCCCAGAGTTCAAGCCCCATGACCGACAAAAAAAAAAACAAAACACCTCTAGGTAACAATGGTGGCCGGCCTGGGCGTCTTCCACAGGCCTGGGGGTCTTAGCATCCCCAGTGTCTATGAGAAATTCCAGCTCGAATCCTGCAGTCTTTTTTTGATTTCCAGGAGCCTTGATTCCTGCATGAGTTGGACAGGTCTGCAGCCTTCCACAGTCTCGCCGACACTTTCCTGCTACCAACCTTCCGCTCAGAAGTACAGAAAGGACAGGCTCACCCTGAACGTGGTTGTGGGGCCTCCAGGTCCCCAGGAGGATTTGCATGGAGGAAGGAAGGGCCACGGACGCACAGCCAGACCTACCTTCTGGAGGAACTGCCAGAGGAGAGGCACGGTCTCTCTGCCATTTTTCTGTTCCACCACGTGCTGTAGATACTCCACGGTGATCCTCTTCCTGCAGCTCCAAATCTTGGAACAGTGAACCACGCTTTTCCGGGGCAAGTGCGGCAGGAAGGTTGCTGGGTCTCCATATATGATCTTAGCCACGGGGTCAGAGCTGATCCGCTCGTCCTGGCTGATGATAGCATTCACGTCCAGCAGGGTTCTGTCGAGATGCTGAAGAAGAAAAGGACATAAAATTCTGGTCAGTCTGGGACACCTGGTGACCTCACCGGAAGCCCGGACCATCTTGACTGGCACTGGGTGTTCGCTTTTGTTACAATTTATGGGAGTTTTGTTGCGGATTGTGTGTTTCCTCAAAAAAGCCAAGACTCAGAAACTTCTATTTTGTTGGCTTTCTTTTATGTTCTGAATTGTTTTCTGAAGTTCAGTTATTCTCAGTGCTGTCCTTCTCTAAGAGAACTTACCAGTCTATGGTATCAGTCGGTGTATTTCTGGTGGGTCTCTACACAACAGTTTATTATTATTTTTTTATCTTTTACTCTCATGCCCTGTTGTAAGAAATAGTAGGGAAAGGTCAGGTGCTGGTGGCTCACACCTGTAATCCTAGTTACTTAGGAAAGTCTGAGATTCTCATCTCCAATTAATCAGGAAAAAAAAAAAAAAAGCTGTGGGTTCAAGTGTAGCGTGCCGGGTGTGAGTGAAAAGCTTAGTGAGTACCAGGCCCCGAGGTCAAACCCAGTGCCGGTGCACACGCGCACGTGTATGCACATGCGCACACACCTACCTTCAGTTCAGGTATAAAAAGAGCTTCAATGTGTTTTTCCCAATTGTTCCTCTGTCCTCTGGTTGACCATTGTGCATCAAAATCTAATGGCCCTGTAAAGAAAATAAAAGTGTATAGGCTGCCCAGGGAACAACAACAAAAAGCATCCCCAAACAAATGGATGGCACGATGGCCCTAGCTATTTGGGAGGCTAAGAAAGGGGGCCCGTGGTTTGAGGCTAGCCTGGGCAGAAGCATCTGTGAGACACTTCTCAACCTATGGCCACACAGGAGGCTGCAGCTGGGAGGACAGTGGTGCCAGGCCCGTGCTGTCAGCAAAGTCTGTGAGCCTCCACCTCCGCGGAAGCTGAGCACGGTAAAGAACATCGATCCTCCAGGAAGAGGCCTCCGGCAAGCAGCCGTGGACCAGGAAGCGTCTGGGCAGAAGTGAGACCCCATCTCGGAAAGGATGGATGAAAAACAGCGTTGAGGGTGTGGAGCATCACTAGGCACCTGCTTAGCAAGCACAGGGCCCTGAGTTCAAACCCTACTACTGCACGGGGCAGAGGGGGAACACCCCAAGGACCAGAAACAAAACCAGCAGCCTACCTGTGCTAAGTTCTGAGTAATACATTTGGTGCTAGTCCTGGGGGTGGCATAACAGCTTCCTAAGGTCACCAAGTATATGACAACAGCCACTGCTGCCACCACTGCCCCACTGGATTTTGTGAGGACCCCTCTGACCCCCAAGACTAAAGCCCTGAAGCCATTCTGAGCAGCCCCACAGACGCCCCACCTCAGCAACTGCTTCCCTGGAAGCCAGATCAGACTGGCTGGTCGCAGGCAACGTTGTTTCCTAATAGCTATTATCATTGCTGTTTTAAAATAACATGATCACTTCAAGGTCTGGAGTCCTGGAACTCAGAGTGAGATACCACATAAATAAACAGGTAACTGTGTCTTCTCTCTTTTTTTTTTTGCTGGTCCTGGGGCTTGAACTCAGGGCCTGGGTGCTGTCTCTGAGCTTCTTTTGCTCAAAGTGCTCCACCCCTTGAGCTACACCTTCACTTCTGGCTTTTTGGGGGTCCGCTGGAAGAGTTTCATGGAATTTTTGCCCAGGCTGGCTTTGAACCATCAGTCTGAGATCTCCACCTCCTGTGAAGCTGGGATTACAGGTGTGAGCCACCAGTGCCCGGCTCTCACAGTGGTAATTTTAGAGGAGCTTTTCAGGGCTGGGGATGTAACTAAAAGCTTGCCTCACATCCTTGCTTTGGTTTCAGTCCCTAGCAACAAAGCTTTTTACAATTGATCAAAACAAAGTAAAAATTACATTAGTAAGTGCTATTGCTGAGTATCTCACAGGCCTCTGTGTGTGTGTGTGTGTGTCATGGGGCTTGAACTCTGGGCCTGGGCGCTGTCCCTCAGCTCTTCAACTCAAGGCAAGCACTGGACCACTTGAGCCATAGCACCATTACTGTTTTTCTGGTGGATCAGTGGAAATAAGAGTCTCACGGGCTTTCCTGCCTGGGCTGGCTTTGAACCACGATCCTCACATCTTGGCCTCCTGAATAGCTAGGATGACAGGCGTGAGCCAGCAGCGCCCGGATCAACTGTTCAGAACACCTAGCGCAGCAAGCCCAGTGTTTTGCGGGTCACCCATGGTGGACACAGAGGCCTGGGGTCATGCACAGCCCTCGTATTTTCAGGAAAGCCGATGCTGGGGAGAGACCGATTGTTCCCCACATCGCCTGCTGTGGAGGACATGCTGGGTCCACGAGGTTAGTTCCCGTGTGCACACCTCTCCCCGAGGCGGCGATGTCGGGTCCTAGCCAGGTGTGGGGTGAGCGGAGGGACAGAGGAGCCGTGCCAGCCTCCAGGGGGAGAGGCGCGTTCTTGTGACTGTGAGCCACGGGGGTGGGGGAACCCCTGCTTCTTGGCAATCGTGCTACAGCCCCATACCTAGCTGGCCCGGCCCGGCCCGGCCCGGCCCAGCCCCGGCCCCGGCCCCGCGCTATTACTCTGGCTAGAGGCGGGGTGTGGCCCCCTGAGGAGGCTGCGCAGCAGGACGTGCACGGCGTGCGAGGTCTCGTCGGCGCCCTTGCCCAGCGTCTTGGCCAGCCGCTCCAAGTCCCTCAGGATGTGCTGCTGCAGGAAGCCTGCGGGGTCCCGCACCGGGGGCTTGATGATGCTCGACAGAGCCTGTGGGCGAGAGCCGGACGCGGGTGATGCGAGCGTGCAGTGGCTGCGGGCAGTGTGACACGGCTGCGGGGGAGGTGGGGAAGGGGGGGGAAGCCAGTGCCTGCTCCGGTGTTAGCTGTGGGCGCCCCTCACGCCTGGCCTGCTTTGTCTGCCCTGGGCAGTGGGAACTTGGAGGAAGTCCCCAGAGCCAGGAAGAAGGCAGAGGCAGGGGGGACCCCCCCAGCCTCCCCGCACCCCGGTGTGGACGGAGGACACGGAGCTGCCCTCAAGGTGGACGTGAAGCACCAATACACCTCCGCTCAGGCGCTGGCGCCACATCGCACTCTAAATGCATGCAGCTACTTGAGGTTAAAAATAAAAATAGGTTTCCGGGCGCCGGTGGCTCACGCCTGTCATCCTAGCTACTCAGGAGGCTAAGATCTGAGGATCACTGTTCAAAGCCAGCCCGGGAAAAAAAGTCTGTGGGACTCTTTTTTTTTTTTTCGGGGGGGGGGGGGGGGAGAGGATCGGTTGTGGGGCCTGAACTCTGGGCCTGGGCGCTGTCCCTCAGCTCTTCAGCTCAGGGCTAGTGCTCTACCACTTGAGCCACAGTGCCACTTCCAGCTTTTTTTTTTTCCTTTTTGCTTATGTGGTGCTGAGGAATCGAACCCAGGGCCTCATGCATGCAAGGCAAGCACTCTACCACTGAGCCACCTTCCCAGACCTGTCTGTGGGACTCTTATCTCCAACGAACCACCAGAAAACCAGAAGTGGTACTGTGGCTCAAGTGGTAGAGCACTTGAACTGAGCTGAAGAGCTCAGGGACAGTGCCCAGGCCCTGAGTTCAAGGCCCACGACCTACATTTAAAAAAAAAGTGCTGGGGTGCAGTGGCTCAGGGGCAGAGCTCCTGCCTGGTATTTCTGAGGCTCTGGGTTTGACTCAGAACATGCAATCTATCAGTCAATAAATACATTAAAAAAAAAGGGGGGGCTGGGTAAATGTGCCTAGTAGTAGAGCACTCGCCTTGCATGGATGAAGCCCTGGGTTTGATTCCTCAGCACCACCTACACAGAAAGGGCTGGAAGTGGTGCTATGGCTCAAGTGGTAGAGTGCTAGCCTTGAGATGAAAAGCTGAGGGACAGCGCCCAGGCCCTGAGTTCAAGCCCCATGACTGACCAAAAATAAAATAAATTTGTGCTGGTCCTGGGGCTTAAACTCAGGACCTAGACACTGTCTCTGAGCTTCTTTTGCTCAAGGCTAGCACTCTACCACTTCAACCACAGCTCTGCTTCTGGCTTTTTGTGCTGGACATAAAGAGTCTTATGGACTTTTGTTCCTGAGCTGACTGCAAACTGCGGTCCTCAGATCTCAGCCTCCTGAGTAGCTAGGATGACAGGCGTGAGCCACCAGCGCCCAGCTAAAAGCAATCTGAGCAGTAGTTCTCTCACTCAATCACAGACTGCAGTGGGAAGAGTGGGGGTATGCACATTTCGTATTACTTGGTGGCTCAAGGGACCAGCCACAGACTCCAAAAGTCCCCAGGGGGTGGCTAGGAGACCAGCAGAAAATCCCCGCGGCCGTGTTCCCATGGCAACCCGGTGTGGAGCAGACGGCGGTGGTGTGCCCCACATACCTGTGGGTTCTGAGCAGCTCCCAAAAGCATCGTCAAATGAGTGAGTAACCGGAGGAGGAGGAAGACCACGGGCGACAGCTGGCGATCAGATGCCACGGTCACATTTGTGGGCTGTGGGCTGCCCAACACGTGGCCAGTCTGAGTCCTGTCTGGGACTCGGTTCCTAGAACGGATGGGAGAATGTCAGGAGGGACTGAAGGTGGCTGCTGGCTCCCAGCCCAGGGCACAGCCCACGTCCTTAGGGCTCAGAGTCAAAGTTCACGTTTTTTGTTGTTCTTTTTTCTTGGGACGTGGGTCTTGAACTCTGGGCCTGGGCACTGGCCCTCAGCGCTTCAGCTCAAGGCCAGCGCTCTACCACTTGAGCCACTGCACCACTTCTGGTTTTCTGGTGGTTCACTGGAGATCAGTCTCACAGACTTTCCTGCAGCGGCTGGCTTTGAACCTCAATCCTCAGATCTCAGCCTCCTGAGTAGCTAGGATGACAGGCGCGAGCCATGGCACCTGGCTGAAACACCCCGTTTTGTCCTACAGATCTAAGTGTCCCGCCAACCCGGCCCCTGTTTAAATGAAACCTGCTGACAGGCCAGCAGGAAGGCGCTGCACTGGGGAGTGTGATCGTGGAGGCTGCTTTGAAGTTAAACGGGAGCTGGGCATTGCTATCCAGTACAACGGGTCTGTGCGTGCCCCAGAGATACTTAGGCTACTGTTGGTATCCATTTAGCAGCAGGAAAAGAAACAGCCCCAATGCCCAGGGCTTGGCTGCCCAGAAGGAGGTGGAAGCTTACGTACGGAATAATCTGAAAGCCTGGGTCTGGCCTGTGGTTGATGCCTCCGATCCGAGCCCCGCAGTCAAGGCAGGTACTTTGTTCCATTGGCTGGCCGCACTAGGGAAGACAAACAGCATTGGTCCACGCACAGAGCCCCGTGCAGGGGCTCTTCCCGTCTACCAGAGGTGGCTGGTCCAGCCTCCCCGGGTGGGTGGACATACTGTCGGGAGGTGGCTGGGGTCAGGGTGGATGTTTACTGCACGTGGGTTGACCGTGGGGAAATGCACACTTGTTTTTATTTTATGCTGTGGTTTTTTTTTGGGGGGGGTGGGAGGAGTTGGGAGGTTGGTCGTGGGGCCTGAACTCTGGGCCTGGGCACTGTCCCTCAGCTCTGCAGCTCCAGCTTTTTCTTTTTTTTTTTTTGGGTCCGGTCGTGGGGCCTGAACTCTGGGCCTGGGCGCTGTTCCTCAGCTCTTCAGCTCAAGGCTAGCGCTCTACCACTTGAGCCACAGCGCCACTTCCGGCTTTTTTTCTTTTTGCTTATGTGGTGCTGAGGAATCGAACCCAGGGCCTCAGGCATGCAAGGCAAGCGCTCTACCACTGAGCCACCTCCCCAGCCCTCCAGCTTTTTCTGTGTGTGTGGTGCTGAGGAACTGAACGCAGGGCCTCATGCATGCTAGGCAAGCGCTCCACCGCTGAGCCACCCTGGGCGGACAGGCTTCTATTTTCACTTCACAAATTCCTCCTTAGCACACACTGCCATTCCTGCACCAGCGGTCACAGCCTCTCGTGCTGCATCACCCGCATCTGCTTCCCAAACAAAACCCCATCCTCAGCTGACACAATGTCGGATAGAACACCACCGCTCTGTTGCAGAGGGCCAAAGCACAGAACCCTAGAGCTGGAAACACCTGGACAAACCCTCTTTCTTTCTTTTCTTTTCTTTTTTTTGTAGGTACTGGGTCTTGAACTCTGGGCCTGGGCGCTGTCCCTCAGCTCTTCAGCTCAAGGCGAGTGCTCTACCACTTGAGCCACGGCCCCACTTCCGGTTTTCTAGTGATTTATTGGAGATCAGAGTCTCATGGACTTTCCTGCCGGGGCTGGCTTTGAACCATGATCCTCAGATCTCAGCCTCCTGAGTAGCTAAGATTACAGGCGTGAGCCACCAGTGCCTGCCAGACCCTGTTTCTGTCTCATTTCCTGGCCTAGGAGGTGCTGAAGCTCAGGAAGAACAGGTGTTGTTCTAGGATTTGCCCTCCACGGCTCTAATTTACTAATAACGTGCATTCTGGCAAGGGCGGCTGGGCCGCTCTCCTGTCCTCTGCTGCCCGTGCACACTCCTCTCTGCCTAGCAACCCGTGGACCATCTCGTCAGCTGGTAGCCATTCTCCAGGCTGCTGGGACCCCAGGAGTGGCCTCCATCCCACAGCTGGATCTCTGGCAATGTCTGGGGACATCCTTGGAAGCAGGGGTGGGGGGGCCTGCTCCTGACGCTGGGGCGTTGGGGAGACACACTGTTGTCTGACCATGCACAGGGCGGACTTCACAGCACCTGCTGTATGCACAGCGCTGGAGGGGACTGGGGCCAGCCCTGAGACCACCGTGCCCATGCTTAGCCAGAACCCCCCCCTCCGCAGCAGCAGCTCCCGGGCCTGCCCCGTCCCCCTCTTCTCCTTGGAGCTGGAGGAGCACGGTTGAGTCCGATCCCAGACCCCAAGACTCACCTCTCCCACAGAGCACGGGTGGCCATTGGGACAAGCTGTGAAAAGAACAAGCAGAGTGGCGTTGGCTGGAGAGCGTGCGTCAAACACCCTCCACAGCCAGTGCTCTCCTCCCGTCCTCACCACAGGCACCGCACAGCCGCCCCCGAGCACCTGCTGCGGGTCCTGCCTGCAGGGTCAGCTCCTGACATATGCCCAGGGCTCAGCAAAGACACTCGGTGAGGGAAATGCTAAGCTTAAATCTCCAAAGCAGAGGGGAAGGAGGTAGCTCACACCACAGGCAAATTGGGGGCAGGATGGGTACATTGTGTATCTTTTTTAAAAAAGACTGTACTATAAAGGTGAGGGGGAGAGCCAGCATCTTTGTTGGTTGCTGACATAGGAAATAGAGGTGGAGGTTTGGGCTGGAGGGCAGCGCTAGGCCGCAGAAGCCGTCGGGGATAGAAGCTACGCGTCTGCCCTGCTCAGGTGGCACGGAGTATTTTATCTTTTTGTTCTCTCGTAGTTTTTTTCTTTTTTCTTTAGTTATGAGCATGCTTAATGAGTTAATGAAGGCATGAACTTTGGGGCTGATACCAGGGTTTGAACTTAAGGCCAGTGTGTTCTCTTAGCTTTTCTCACTCAAGGCTATGGCTCTACCACTTGAGTCACATTTCCATTCAGGCTTTTTGCTGGCTCACTGGAAGTAAGAGTCTCATGGACTTTTTGGCCAAGGCTGGCTTTAAAGCACAGTCCTTAGATCTCAGCCTCCTGAGTAGCTAGGATTACAGGTGTGGGTCACTGGTGCCCACGCATGAACGACTTTATTTTCTTTCTTTTAGTCGTGGGTCTTGAACTCTGGGCCTGGGTGCTGTCCCTCAGCTCTTCAGCTCAAGGCGAGTGCTCTGCCACTTGAGACACAGCGCCACATCTGGCTTTTTCTGCTTATGTGGTGCTGAGGAATCGAACCCAGGGCCTCATGCATGCAAGGCAAGCGCTCTACCACTGAGCCACCTTCCCAGCCCTTGTACCACAACTTTCAAAGCTAGTGTTCAGAGATTGCTTGCTCAGGGCAACAGCATCACCCACACCCAGTGGAGGTTACATCACTGTGTCCTGGGCTGTGAATGCACCTGAGCATGCATGGGTCCCCCGTCTCCTGAATGGCCTATTTCTCTCTGGAGGATGAACCCTAGGCCCCCAGGGCAACCCCACGCCTGCTCACAGTGCCACCTGTGTGGCCACGGGCTGAAGCTCAGTGCTCACGTCCCAACACTTACTGTACCAGCGGAGGGCCTCCAGGCCCTGCCACCCCTGGGCTTGAGCCAGCAGGTCTTCAGGCATGGTTGGAAGGAAAGCACTCTGAAAGGCCAAAGCACAGACAACACCGGCTAAGCGTGCAGCTCATGGCTGCCACGCAGCCCGAGCCCAGCACCAGCGAGGACTCCCCGCTCCCTGTCACATGCTAGTGGCAAGGACGCATGGCCGTGCCGGGAGTCAGCGCGGGCTCCACGAGTCTACGCCACCTCGGTGGGATGACGGATGCAGTCGGACAGAGATGGAAAGAGAATTGAAGGGAAAGGAGCTTTCCCGGCACCCACGGCCACGGAACTACGGCCAGTGTTACTGAGAAATCTGGGGTGAACCTACCGTCATCTGGGCTGGGGAGAAGGCCAGGTTCTTCAGCGGTTCCAATACTTTGTTTTGTCCACACATGAGGACACAGGCAGTGTGAATGGCCAATTCTATCACTGTCCCCTCAAGGCCGCTGTCACCCTGGGCCGTCAGCAAAGGCAGAGTATTGTCCACGAGGGATGTGGCGAAGTGCCTGACGTCCTGAGAAGCCAGCAGCTTGCTCTCCTCGATGAACTGGTTCATCGCCTCGCATTGCTGGCAGCGAGAATGAGCTGACGTTAACATACATCACCTAGAGGGGTACAGCGCTTGCCTCGCATGCATGAAGCCCTGGGTTCCATTCCTCAGCACCGCATACACAGAAAAGGCCAGAAGTGGTGCTGTGGTCCAAGTGGTAGAGCACTAGCTTTGAGCAAAAGCAGCTTGGGGACAGTGCCCAGGCCCTGAGTGCAAGCCCCAGGACTGGCAAGAAAAAATATAGCTAATAATAACAATAAAATGATACTTTCAAAATAGATATAGTCAGGCCCTGACTTCAAACCCAAAAGTGTAAGAATATTAAGGAAAAAATGCTATATCCAGACACGGTGGTGTCTGCCTGTAGTCAACAGCACACAGGAAACTGAGGCAAGACTCTGAGTTCTAGGCCTGCCTGGCTACACGGCAAGACCGTCTCCAAAAGAAGAGCAAGAGACGCCCTGCGGGGACTCAAAGTCAGCCCCAATACCAAATTATCACCAACTAGAGACACATTTTTCAAAGGAGGAAAATCCCTGCGCACCCGCCTGGGAGATGCTAGTTTAGTGGACATTCGCTGGTGTTCCTGAACTCGTTGGAATTCTGACTGCTTTGGGCCACCAGGAAATCGTTCTTCCCCACAATGAGGTTGTGTGGAATCTATCCTTGATTGTAAACGATGGACATAATTTGTGTTTGTGACTAAAAACGAACGAGAGGGAGAGGGAAAGGGAGGGGAGAGGAAGGAGATGGAGGGAGGGAGACCCTCCAAAGAGCGAGGCTTGGAAGCTGCGCCCCAGTGGAATGTCTCACCTCCGGCCTGGGACGGAGGCTGGCGTGCGGGGAGCGGTGCAAGACGGCCACCTCTCTGTACAGGGCCAACAGCAAGAACGCGGCTTGCTGCGTCCTGGGGCTCCGGCAGGCCTGCCAAGACAAGGGCATCCAGGGTGAAGGCCGAGGGTGCCCCATGCAGCCGCACGCATCGGCCCTTCCCAGGCAGGCCCGGGCGCCTGGGCCTTGCGTCTCAAGAGCCATCCTCCAGCAGCAGCTCTGGGGCTACGAGGTGCACTCCGGCGATGCTCTGCACGCGCTCTGACCCCACAGCAGACAACAGGAGCGGCAGGAGGTGACCGAGGTCTGACCTCGCGCGGCACAGAGCCGGGGTGGAGGGTGACTTGCGGAGGAAGCGGCCCGAACGGCGACGGGGACGATTCTGTGAGCCGGGACTTTAGCAGAATAAATTGCGAGGCCTGATTCAGCACACCGTCACAGCGGTGTCTCAGCGGCCGCACATCCACGTCCAGCCAACAGTGCCACACACAAGGCCGCCCCGGAGGCCGTGGGCATCCGACTCTGATACGTGGTATCGCTGTGTCACGCTGAGGGCTCTGTCCACACCCTCCCCACCACCCGACTAGCTAGCAAGGGCAGGCAGCCTGGGGCGCTGCCTGCCCGGGGAGCAGCTCCCAGCCCATCCTACCTTGAGCGCCTTTCCAATGTTCGGGGTCTCGCATTGCACCATGGCTTTGCCCACCGCATCGCGAACAGCCTTGTACTCCTCCCCATGAACCAGGAACGCATCTATCTGGCCCTGATTCTCCTTCAACAACCCAAAGAGTACAGGGGTTCATCATGTGGCAGGGATATGTGTGTGTGTGTGTGTGTTGTGTGCAGGGGGCAGGGTGGAGGGGGTGAGCTGGGCTGGGGCAGGGTGGAGGGTGGAGGGGTGAGCTGGGCTGGGCTGGGGCAGGGTGGAGGGGGTGAGCTGGGCTGGGGCAGGGCAGGGTGGAGGGTGGAGGGGTGAGCTGGGCTGGGCTGGGGCAGGGTGGAGGGTGGAGGGGTGAGCTGGGCTGGGGCAGGGTGGAGGGTGGAGGGGTGAGCTGGGCTGGGGCAGGGTGGAGGGTGAAGGGGTGAGCTGGGCTGGGGCAGGGTGGAGGGTGGAGGGGTGAGCTGGGCTGGGGCAGGGTGGAGGGTGGAGGGGGTGAGCTGGGCTGGGGCAGGCGGAGGGTGGAGGGGTCCCAGGCAGAGCCCTGTCGCCCCATGGCCCCGTGGCCCACCTGCAGGGCGAGCACAGCTTCGGGGAACACCCACTGGAGGGGGTGTCCGGGCCGGGCCAGGCCCTGCAGGAAGCTCATGCCGCGCCGGCTGCACAGCCTCCGCACCAGGTACACGCAGTACCAGCCGCCCCCCGCACGGGTGCAGAACTGCTGCACGTGGCCCAGGAAGCGTTGCTTGTCCTCGGCCAGCTCTGGGAAGGGAAAGGGGACAGGACAGAACACTTAGGACAGGCCTCAAAGCCAGTGAGGGTGAGGGCCGATCAGGGAACTCCGAGCGACTCATGGAAGGGAGAGCAGAACCCCAGGAACGTGGACCCCTAAAGGAACGGGGCGGAGAGGTGGACACCTGCCTGAGCCCTCCTGATGCTCCGAGAGGAAGTCGGAGGCCTTGTCCAGACACAGCCGGATCCTGGCCACTTCCTGCAGGTATTCCACGGACCCCGCTTCACAGTCCCGTCCTCCCGAGAGATACGCGGAGAGGAAGCGCCCCTCCTCTCTCAGGTGGCTCAGCTCGCTGCTCCCGGAGAAAGCGCCTGTCTTCTCGTACATGGAGTCCTACACACCAGAGAACAAGAAACCAAAGATGTAGCTCTGCACCAGTCCTTAGGCTTGAACTCAGGGTCTGGGAGCCATCTCTAAGCTTTTTTACTTTCTTCTTTTTTCTGTCAGTCACCTGGCTTGAACTCTGGGCCTGGGCGCTGTCCTAAATCCAAGCCCCTGTACCCACATTGACGCCGTTTACAAAAGGAAAGCGGGGCGGGGGGGGGGGGGGGCTCACACCTCCAGGCAGCTGATAAACAGCAAATACAGTTCCGTCTTGTCTTCAATCAGGAATGTCTTCTTCTCTAACTGGGACAGGTAGTTCTGAACGTAATCTCTTACTTCACGGAAGCTGTGGGAAAAAAAATATTCCTAGTTATGTCACATCTAGAGACTCATCTTACGAAAGAAAGCATCTGTCTATCTGTAATCCCATATTTTAGGCTGTAATTCCGTATTTAGCTGTTTTTAAACAACATGACTTCCGATGCTTTAAAGAGAAACAAACAGAAGAAAAAGAGGCTTAGCTGGGCACTAGTGGTTCATATCTATGATCAACTACTCAAAAGGATGAGATCTGGAGGATCACAGTTCAAAGCCCCAGTTTAGGCAGAAAAGTCTGCTAGACTATTTCCAAACAGACAGATCAGAGACATGGCTCAAATGGTAGAGCTCAAGCACAAGGCACTGAGTTCAAATCCCAGTGCTGGCAAAACCAAACAAATAAAACAAAGCTCAGGCTTTGACACCCACAGAGGGCTTTTCTTTAGGTAGCTTGCAGCTATCGATATTTATGATATGCATCATTTAAACAGAAGAATTTCAAAAGCGTTTGCCAGTGAATTTACAATAACAAGAATAAACGGAGTCCATGTTAACAGACTAGCAGGTGACTACTCGCTTTTCCTACGTGGAGTTAAATGAAGGAAATGACACCGCTGGAAACAGGACTTTTCTCTGATACTGTCCCAATGCAGATCAGCCATCCTCTCTAGAGGTAGGGGCCAGAACCTGGATAGATCGTGTGTGTGTGTGTGTGTGTGTGTGTGTGTGTGTGTGTGTGTGTGTGTGTGTGTGTGTGCGTGTGCGCGTGTGTACAGGCGCACTGGTAACAGGACTTTTCTCTGATACTGTCCCAATGCAGATCAGCCATCCTCTCTAGAGGTAGGGGCCAGAACCTGGATAGATCGTGTGTGTGTGTGTGTGTGTGTGTGTGTGTGTGTGTGTGTGTGTGTGTGTGTGTGTGTGTGTGTGTGTGTGTGTGTGTGTGTGTGTGTGTGTGTGTGTGTGTGTGTGTGTGTGTGCGCGTGTGTACAGGCGCACTGGTACCATGACTTGAACACAAGGCCTGGGCACTGTCCCTGAACCTTTTGGCTCAAGGCTAGAACTCTACCACTTGCACCACAGTTCTACTTCTGGCTTTCTGGTGGTTAATTGGAGATGAGTCCCCTGGACTTTCCATGCCTAGGCTGGTTTTAAACCATGATCCTCAGATCTCAGCCTCCTAAGTAGCTGGGATTACAGGTGTGAGCAGCCAGCTCCTGGTATCAAACTGACACTGTTTAGTGGTCCTGAGGAGTGAGCCCTGGGACTTTGCGTATGCTTGGAACGTGTTCAGTCCCTGACCTTGGTAGCCAAGCCGGGCAGATCTCGTGATGCTAACACGGTTTTATTGCATAGCGGATCAGGGGCCAGAATGCCACCCATGAGCATGGGCACAGATCTCATGGGGTCTTTAGGTATCAGATGCACATCAGCTCACGGAAGAGACGCAAGTTTTACAGAATTTTAAATTTCATTACAAAACTTGAACGGTCTCATTGGCTACAAATGCTGCAGTGGTATTGGGGTGATCAGCAAGCTCACTTCTGTGTCCTCGAGACACGCCTCGGACATCCCTGGGCGTGCCAGTCCTCTGCAGGCTGGCCCGGGGACAGCAGCGTCGCTCACTCAGGACTGCGGGGAGTGACTTCCTCAGAGGCTAACAGCCACTGTCTGTCTGTCTGCCTGCCTGCCTGCCTGCCTGCCTGCCTGCCTGCCTTCAACTTGCAGCTGGAGCATTCTTTGCAGGCCTTCCATTCCCACAGAACATGGTAATGTTGCATCGTTAATGGCCAATAAGTGGAACTGACATGGAGAAGATCCACGTCCTTCTCGGTGGGGATCCCAGCGCCTCCCGGCCAGCTCCGGGAAGGGCCGGTGTGTTGACAGGAAGGTGACATTGTCTCATTACTCCAAACACGGTTTTGCACTCAGACTGCCCTTCCAGTCCCAGAGTCTACAGCCCCCGTCCCGTGGCCCCTGCCCCCGCACTGGAGATGTTTCTAGAAGCACACCACCCGGGGGAGCTGCTCCTACCTGTACTTCAAAAGCAGCTTCAGGACCACTGAGCGGATGATGGGCGTCTTGTCCACCAGGTCATCGAACGGGGAGAGACACTTGGTGAGTTCCTGCTGTCCTGGAGGCAGAGAGAGCGAGAGAGTGAGAACGAGAGAGAGAGAGCGAGAGAGAGCGAGAGAGAGCGAGAGAGAGAGCGAGAGAGAGCGAGAGAGAGCGAGAGAGCGAGAGAGAGCGAGAGAGAGCGAGAGAGAGCGAGAGAGTGAGAACGAGAGCGAGAGAGCGAGAGAGAGAGCGAGAGAGAGAGCGAGAGAGAGCGAGAGAGAGCGAGAGAGTGAGAACGAGAGTGAGAGAGCGAGAGAGAGCGAGAGAGAGAGCGAGAGAGCGAGAGAGAGCGAGAGAGAGCGAGAGAGAGCGAGAGAGAGAGCGAGAGAGAGAGCGAGAGAGAGCGAGAGAGAGCGAGAGAGAGCATGCGCGCGAGCGCGGCGGGTGGCGAGTCCCCAGCGCGGTCCCGCACTGGAACGAGGCGGGCGACCGGGTGTGGGGAGCTCACTTTGGGGAACGTCCTGCAGGAGCTTCTTCTGCACGAAGAGCAAGGACAGCAGGCTGTCCACCACCTTCTTCCGCGGGGGAGCGCCGTCCTTGAAGCACATCGTGGACACCAGGTCCACGAAGAAGCAGTTGCAGAGGTGCCGGAACCGCGCGTGTTTCTCGATCGCTTTCCTGAGGGAGGTGACATCTCAGCCAGAGACCAGTCAGTGGAGGCCAGGGGGACAGGGGACGGGGAAGCCGTGGCTCCCACCTACGACCCTAGCTGCTCAGGAGGCTGAGATCTGAGGATCAGGGTTCAGAGCCAGCTGGGCAGCAGAGTCTGCAAGACTCTTATTGCCAATGAACCACCAGAAAACCGCAAGTGGAGCTGTGGTTCGAAGGGGTAGAGCACGAGCCTTGAGCGAAAGAGCTCAGGGACAGTGCCCAGCCCTGAGTTCAAGACCCACGACGGACAAAAAGAAAAAAAAAAAAGATTCCAAGCTTACCAGGGCTGAAAAATCTATGATCTCAACTAACCAGCAAAAAGCGAGCTTAGAGATGTGGCTGAAGTGTGAAGCACCAGACTTGAGTGGAAAAAGCCAAGAGCCCAAGGCCCTGAGTGCTTTCAAACAGAATCAACAGAGGCAACGAGCTCCTGGCTAGGTCAAGGCTGGGCTCCGAAACTACCAGACCACGTCTGGATGTCTCTTTCTCAAACAGCTTGAAGAGCTGTCTTACCCAGCCACACCCAAGCAGGACAGGAAGGAAAAGCAGCTGATACCGGAGCCAACCAGCCCACCTAGCACACACCACGTCTGGGCCTCCACCTCCAACACCACGGGAAAAGGAAAAAAGACAAGCTACGGCTACATTTGGGAGCTCTTTCTGTGAGTGTTCCGCTTCATTTCTCTTACTTTTGTTGTCTTCAGATCTGCTTTGTTTGTTTTGTGCCGGGCCTGGGCCTTGAACTCAGGACCTGGGCACTGTTTCTTAGCTTTTTTGCTCAAAGTTAGTGCTCTACCACTTAAATCACAGCTCTACTTCTGGCTTTTTTGCTAATAAATTGGGTCATAAAAGTCTCACAGACTTTCTTGCTTGGGCTGGCTTTGAGCTGTGGTCCTCAGATCTCAGCCTCCTGAGTAGCTGGGATTATAGGCGTGAGCCACCAGTGCCTGACTGGGAGAGAAGAATTTTTAGGGCACCTGATGTCTGGGAAGGTTCTTGAGTTGAATCTGTGTAAAGGGAGCTTTCTGAAGCCAGGCTTTCTACCAAATGAAGGTGAGGAGAGAGGTATTTCTGAATCTGTAGTTGAAAAGGAAAAGGAGAGAAAGGCAGGAAGGAAAGAGGAGATGCCTCACCTGTGTTCCTGGGAAACCGTCGGCGAGAAGTCGTCTGGCAGCTCGGTTAAACAGTAAGGGCACTGCATCTGCCCCGGGGTGAGGCAAGTCTGGATGCAGGGCAGGCAGTACACGTGGTCGCAGGGCAGGCACACGGGGTCCTGGGCGTCTCCCAGGCAGACGAGGCACGGCTGCAGGCCGAACCTAGGACCCATAAGGTGCTCAGTGGTCACCTGGACGCCGCCCCGGAGGACGGCTGGCCCCCATCCAGGTCCCAAGCCAGGGCTCACCTAGCTAAGGAACTGCTGGCTTTGTCCTTGCAGTCACAGAGCAAGTTCATCACAGCCGCAAAAGGCCGGGGCGTCTTGATGTCAGAGTTCTCCTGCAGACACTGGGGTGGGATGGGGTGGGCAGGGGTGAAGCTGTGCGGGCAGTAAGGTAGGGCAGAGGCAGCAGAGGGAAGGGCCTGCTACGCAGGTGCGGGGCGGGCAGGTCGTGGGGCATCTATAGTGCCAGGCCTTCTGCATTCTTTCATAGTACCGACCCTTTGGCTGCCTTTGCTGACTGTGTTGGTCTTTATGTCCAATTTCTGAATTTTTCCCTTCTTCCTTTTTTTTTTTTTTTGGCTGGTCATGGGGCCTGAACTCTGGCCTGGGCGCTGTCCCTCAGCTCTTCAGCTCAAGGCTAGAGCTCTACCACTTGAGCCACAGCACCACTTCTGGCTTTTTCTGCTTATGTGGTGCTGAGGAATCGAACCCAGGGCCTCATGCATACGAGGCAAGCACTGTACCACTGAGCCACCTTCCCAGCCCTCTTCCTCTTTTCTTTGAAGGTCTACTTCCTACCATTATGAGATATTTCAAATTTTAAATAAGAAGATCACCATGACTGGTGGCGTACCTATCATCTACTTTATTTATTTTTGGTGCCAGTCTTAGGGGGCTTGAAGTCAGGGCCTGGGCGCTGTCCCTGAGCAGTTCAGCTCAAGGCTAGTGCTCTACCACTTGAGCCACAGCACCTTGAATTTTAAAGATTAATTACCTTTGGAGATTATACATATCTAATGTAATATATATTACATACTTTTTATTTTATTTTTTGCTGGTCCTGGACCTTGAACTCAGGGTCCGGTGCTGTCCCTGAGCCTCTGTGCTCAAGAGGAGCACTCTACCACTTGGGCTATAGTGCCACTTCCAGCTTTTTCTGAATAGTTTACTGGAGGTAAGAATATCATGGACTTTTTCTGCCAGGGCTGGCTTCAAACCATGATCCTTGATATATTTTTAATACCCAGATCAATTTGATGTTTTAATCCAAAATGGACAATGGAATTAGACATTCCTCCAAGCAAGATGCACAAGTGCTCAGGGACACACGGGAAGATGTTCAGCACCATGAGTACCAAAATGTGAAACACACCCACCACACATACCATATACACACAATACATGTGCCACACACATCACATACACCTACACACCACAACCACACACATCACAACCACACATCATGCACACGACATACACCACACACACACCACATATCATACACATCACACACGCCACACACGCACCACACATCATGCATACCACACACCACACACATACCACACACACACGCCTCACACTACACACTGAGCACCACACGCATCATACACCACACACATATCACACACATCACACATACCTCACACACTCACCACACACAATCACGCACACCACATACCCTGAGGGATCCTGTGGCACACAACTACTAGCAAGTTTGTCTGAAGTCACCCACCCTGATGTAGCGACCAGGAGAGGGAGTGCACTGAAACCATCACAGACTGTGATGGCAGACTCCTGGCATTGCCACTTTGTACTGCCGGGGAAAATCGCCGAGGTGCCAGGGGCAGACGCAGGCGGGGGGGAGGAAGCGTACGGGGTGGATGAGCACCGGGGCGGGTGCGCTGGCCTGACTCGCGTGGAACTGTCAGGGAGAGCTCAGGCACTGTATCTTTTTTTTGGTAGTACTGGGGATTGAACTCAAAGCCGAGAGGCAAGTCCTCTACCACTTGGACCATGCCCCCAGCCCTGTCAGCTTGTTTTTCCAGAGAGGATCTTGGGCTTTTGCCCGGGCCAGCCATGGCTGTGACTCTCCTGGGTGTCTCATGACTACCTGGGTCACAGGCCCGAAGCATCAGGCCCGCTCTTCACCAGGCCCCATCCTGCCCCAGGGGGGTGGGGAGGAAGGGGGAGGGGGGGACTCAGCCCAGGCCAGCGCTTACCTTGTTCAGAAGCAGGACGTGCTCGGTCACCAGCGGGCTGAGCTCGGGAAGCTGGCTCTGGGTCTCTAGGAGCACGTGCTCCACGAAGAGCGCCACCGAGAAAATGCGGTTCCACTGGGCTCTGACCAAAGAGGAGTGAGTGTCGCTCACTCAGTGCTGACAAGGCAGCCTGAGAGGCTGGAGGGGTGGGGGGCAGGGGCAGGGGGCGGGGATAGGAAGGGAGCCAGGGTAAGGAAGAAGAGCCTGTGCCAGGCTGTGCCAGGCTCCTGACCTACAGGCGCTCTCGCTGAGGCTGGGCACAGGCAGCCTCTGTGTCTCCCACTCGGTGCCTGCGCTGACGTGGTCCCCACCACAGCTCTGCAGCTAAGTCCCTCCTGGTGTTCACACCCGTGCGGGACACCCCCAGCCCTGAGGGCTGTCCCTCTACAGCCATGCTCGCTGCCCTGCTTCCACGATCCCCGGACCCCCGGGGTGATCCTTTGTCTGGATCAGGTGAGCTCCTGGTGCTAGGAAGGGCTCAGCAAACGCACCTGCTGGCTCCCGCGTCAGGACGCTGTAGGCCCACAAGGGAAGGCCGAGGCGAGCCCCCAGCGGCCGGGGCCCAGCTCTCACCTGACCTGCCGGATGACAGCCCTGGCGGTGGCCCCGCCGCCTTCCTGCAGGTAGCCCTCAGAACACACCAGCTCCAGCGGGATGGACAGGCTCTTCACCAGCTGCAGCCAGGCCTGCGGGCTGGGCGTCAGGATGTCTCTCGTCAGCATTTCCACACAGGCCATGGCCGCAAAGGTGTCCAGTGTCTGCCAAGAGCAGAGGCACGCGACTCAGGAGGGTCCCCGCTCCTCCGTTCCACATGGCGATGGGATCCTGAGGCCAGGGCTCTCTCAGGGCCGCTCCTGTGGGGCCGGCTTATGGCCCCCTCCCCCAACATCCTGGCACGGTCACGCGTGTGTGCCCAGCAGGCCTCCCCATGTGGGACACAGTGCCCTCCCTCCCCCTCGCCCGTGCGTCCCGGCACGGAGGACCCCGGCGCTCGCCGGGATTTCCCCACAGAGGCTGTACCATTTCGGGCCTGTGCTGCTGCGGGGCTCCAATCAGGCTCTGCAGAACCTGAGGGTAGATGGCCAGGATTCGGCTGAAGGTCTGCAGCCGGGTCCCGAAGCGCTGATAGGCCAGATGCACCCACGGCAGGGAGAGCGGAGCCTCCGGCTGGCCGACCACCGCCTGCAGCTCTCCGATGCAGGACCACAGCGCCATCTGCAGGACCTAGAGGACCAAAGGCTCTCAGGGAGCTAGATTACGAACACACATTTCCCTGCGGAAAATCTGAACTATTGAAAAGTTACCCAAAGACAAGAAAAAAGAACTAAAAAATCAGGCTCCTAATCCCCTGTTGCTTTTTGCTAGAATCCACTGATTTGCTAGAATCCATTTTTTTTTCTTTTCTTTTTTCTTTTCATTGGTCATGGGGCTTGAACTCAAGGCCTGGGCCACTGTCCATGGGATCCTTTGGCTCAAGGCTAGCTCTCTACCACTTAAGCCACAGCGCCACTTCCAGCTTTTTTTGTGATTAATTGCAGGTAAGAGTCTCAGTTTTTTTTGCCCTGGCTAGCTTCAAACTGCAATCCTCAAGATCTCAGCCTCCCAAGTGGCTAGGATTACAGGCGTGAGCCACCAGCACCTGGCTAAAACTTGACATTTAAAAAGAAGATGCTACCAAGAAATCAGAGGACTTGCAGGGAACAAAGTTGTAGTCGGTTAGTCCCCAGCAGTGGCCTAGGACTGGCCCGTGTGTGGTGAGCCGCTGGAGGGGCCTTACCACCCCCAGGCCTGTGAGGACCCCGTCCTGCTCCCCCGTGACAGCACGCGCTGCAGGAAGCCACACCTGCGGCGAGCGCCATGTCTACCTCGTGTTAATGTCATCTTCCTCGCGTTACTATCATCTTCCTGGTGTTAATATCTACCTCAAGTTCTTGGTAGCTAGACACCCTTCTGGTCAAGAGCAGGAAGTCCTTTGTGAAGTCCTGCAGGAGTTCCTGTTGCTGTTCTTCAGGGAGCTGAGCGAGAAACCTGCCCAGGGGAGTCTTCTGGAAGATTTCCACCAACTTCTTAGAGGGCCCTGCAGGCAGACAGGAAGCCACACAGTGGCCTCAGTGAGAGACACCATGTGCTCTGCTGATCACCACTGTGCTCACCGCAGTGACGTCGGCCGCCTGACCTTGCAGAGAAGGGACCAGGCATGGGCCCGACAAAAGGAAAATGGATCAAAGGCAGAATCTACCTTAAGCTTAGGTCACAAATAGCCAAGCAGGAAAAACATGAAAAACAACATCTGAAACAGCTCAAGTTCTGTGCTGCATGCCTACAGTTCCGGGGTCACACTGGAGAACCCCGCCAGCCAGAGGCCCGCCTTCCGGCACACAGGAGCCTGCTCATATGCCGTGCTGGAAAAGCACGTTTGTGCCAACAGAGTGGCAAAATGCTGGCCCAGATCAAGGTCTCTTGAGTGTTTTTGTCAGTCCTGGGGCCCCTGAGCCTTCATGTTCAAGGCTAGCGCTCTACCACTTGAGCCACTGTGCCACTCCCAGGCTTTTGTGGTCAATTGGAGGTCAGGCACTTTCCTGCCCGGCCTGGCTTTGAACTGTGATCCTCAGATCTCAGCCTCCTGAATAGCTAGGATGACAGGCATGAGCTGCTGGTGCCCGGCTCCTTTGAGCAGTTTGACCAGTGCTGTGAGAACAGTTTTTCAGTGGGTAAAAGGCAACTTTTCTAAGCTATCTTGGCCACGGCTGGTTTTTCTGGAGTGACAACAACCAGCACCCTGGGCACGTGACAGGCAAGCCGAGAGCTGCCCGGCCAGGGACTGTCGGGGGACGGAGCGACCGCTCCCTGAGCGGAAGGGTCGCTGGCTGCTAGCCGGTGCTGGCTGCCGTGGATCGCTGCCAATCTCCTCACAGTGTGATTTAGAGGCTTTGGGTCCCCTGTTGGAGACGCTCTCCACAGAGGTATTCCACAGGCAAAGTTAAAATCTCCCGGATGAACCGAGCGCTCGCTCACTGCTGCCGCTCTGCCTGTGGCCGGTCAGCGGGTCTCTGAAAGGTGGAGCCACCCACACTGCCCTGCACCGGTCTGGGGTGGCCTCACCGTCGGCGTCGCCAATATACTGAGCCTGGACCCAGAGCTCTTCTAGGTAGTCCTTGATCCTCCAGCTGAACGGGACGCTGTTGGACTCGTGCTCGGGCAGGCTCATGTCACTCTGCACCAGGATGGGCGGCATCTCACTTTTGGCTCTGCGGCGGGGACATGGGAGTGAGACTACGGAGTGTGGATGGAGCACCGGCTGGGCTGCAGCAGCCACACGACACCCCTCGTTCACAAAGCAAAACCAAATCCAAGACAGGCAGTAGTGGCTCACCCCTATCCCAGCTACTCAGGAAGCTGGGATCTGAGGATCACGCTTCACAGCCAGCCCCGGTGGAAGAGTCTCTGAGATTCTTATCTCTAATTAACCAACAAAAAAGCAAGAAGTGGAACTGTGGCTCAACCAGTAGAGTGCTACCCTTGAGCAAAAACACTAAGGGGTGGATAGGGCCCGAGTTCAAGCCCCAGGACGAGGAGAAAAAAAAAAATCAAGGTGGGCAGAGGCCAAGCAAATAGCCAAGTCTTGGGGCAGAGCCAGGTCTTCTAGGGATGCACCTGCCCTTCCCTCCCCTCCCCTCCCCTCCCCTCCCCTCCCCGCCAGCGGTGCCCTGGCTCCCCTGTACATAACTACGGCAGTTAAAATGAGGTTTTCCCTCGTGGATACCAACACTGCCCTGACTTCTACCACAGAGCCTCAGCGGGCAACTCAGAGTCCTGGTTCTTATGTACACGTCCTCGGCCAGGCCCCAACCCAAAGTTCCCTGTGATCCAGACAGCCACGTCGGGAGGTCCGCTGCGCCTACGCCCACAGGGCTCCCAGGGCCGCCCAGCGCCCGCAGGCCCGGGCGCAGGCCAGGGCGCAGAGCGTGGGGCGCAGAGAGCGGACGGCTCCACAGCCTCCGTGGGGAACAGAGACGCGCACGGCCGCCTTCCCCCGCCATCCTCCAGGCCACCTCCAAGCCATGACGAAAAGACAGTCCTCACTCTAGAGGGGACGCTCACCGCCGCAAATGCTCCCGAGAGCGCGTGGCTGGCGTGCCTTTCATTCCCTCCCTCCCTGTAAGATGAGTCTCCTACTCACGCCATGGTATTTGCCACAAGAGGAATGTCCAGGAACTTGACGTCGCCAAAGATGAACATCCACACGGCCTGCACCCAGGCTGGCGTGTCGGGCCTGGTCAGCAGCTCCAGGTTGCCGTCCCGGTCCATGAGCGATATCATGCTGGCCAGGAGCGGGGAGACCGTGCCCTGCACCCGCTTCCACAGGCTATGCCTGTCACGGGGACAGACACCGCTGGGCACAGAGGAGCCCGGGGAGGGCCCCCACAACTCCCTCCCTCCCCGGCCTTGCAAATCCTCCAACTCCAGCACCACTGCAAGGTGAAACCTAGACTACTCTTCCTCTTCTTCCTACTATTATTTTATATAGGACAAGACATTCATAAATGGAAATGTCCGGGTAGAGGCAACCAGCAGGGTGGACAGACATTAACTCAATAGCTAATAGGCTGGAGCTTCACCATGAAGGTGGAGAGACATTTGCCTTGAATATATAACTGTGCTCTACAACGAGTTTTACAATCCCCGGGCTTTATAAAGGAAGAAAACAGACCTGGGCGCCCGTGGCTCACACCTGTAATCCTAGCGAGGCAGGAAGCTAAGATCTGAGGTTCTGGTGTGAAGGCAGCCAGCAAACAAATCTTTGAAACTGTTATCTCCAACTAACCAGCAAAAGGCTGGCAGGGGAGGTGCGGTTCAAGTGGCAGAGGGCCAGCCATGGGAAAAAAATTAGAGGACCAGAACTTTTGCCACCCTAGGGAGGGAACCCAGGGCCTGGTACACGCCAGGCCAGCACACGGCCACGTGAGCAAAGCCCTGTTTTCATTTTTGTTTTGGAAAAAGGGTCACCGACTTTTCTCAGGATAGCCTGAACCCTGGTGCCTGCACCTTCCACACAGCCGGGGATTACAGGTGCGTGTCCCCATGCTGGTTCTCACGTTATGATGAAAAGAACGCCAAGAGACATGAGTAGCGTCCAATGAACTCAGCCATACCCACTCCCCAGCGGCACCTGGGGCTAGGGGGCGGAGGGGGGGGGCAGCAGCCCTCCCGCCCCATTTCCTCAGCCCGGGAGGGGCTGCGGGAGCAGCGTCCACCCCTGCGGCGTCCACCCCCACAGCGCCCCCTGCCGCGGGTACCTGAACGTGCCAGCCTCCTGGAGGGCGTCCTGGTTGGCTGCCTCCCTGGAGACCCACGCCTTGAGGCTGCACAGCAGATTCTCCTCCTGCTTGCAGAGGAGGACGTGGAGGCGCTTCTTGGACACGCACAGGAAAGCGGCTATAAAAGGCACAGGGGACACAGTTGGCTGGTGAATCCTAGAGTTGCGCTCGAGAGACGCCCATGGACTCTGCCTTGTCAGCTCTGCCCGAGGGGCTGGGCCCGCACCCTGGGGCCCACTCCACCCTCGGGAGCCGGCCCCCCAGCCCCTCTGGGCACAGGCACAGACCGGAGCCCCCCCCACGGGTACCAACCGTTGCCTTGGTCCTCGTCCAGGAGGCTGAGCAGAATGGAGACCCGCCGCATGTTGCGCGTGCCGCCCTGGTCCCGCAGCAGCCCCACCGCACCCTGCACGCAGCTCCTCAGCAGCCGCGTGGTGTCCAGCACCTGCCAGGGCCCGGACAGCGTCTCAGCTCAGGCCACGGCCGAACTACAGGCGGAGGGGGCGGGGGGGAGGGCGTGTACCCGCCCCCTGCGCCCAGGCCGCCAGCCTTGATGACCAGGACGGAGGGCGGGGAGGAGGGAAGAGGGGAGAGCTCCACCGACACCCAGCACAGCGGCCTGGCTGCTCTCTACCCTCGTCTGGCCAGGGGCTGAGATGCACTTCCGGTGCCTGCAGAAGACTCACCTCGGCCGCCCCGGGGCCAGAGTCCTCCCACTCCATCTCCTCCGGACCCCCCGACTCCGCTTCTGTCTCCGGCAGCTCCCCAGAGGTGTCGTTTATGTCCATGTCATTCTCCTGCTCACCTTCCCCTGCAGACACAGCAGACAGTCACTCAGGACAGCACCCGGACACGCAGGGGTGGGGCTGGCCGGCACCGGGCCGCCACCTGTCAGGTGTCCCTGTCCTTAGCAGCAGTGCTGGCCCCAGGTAAGGGATGTGTGACATGCAGACAGAGGCCTAAATCTCCCATTCGGCACCCACACGGGAGCCGGGCCTGGATCCGCCCCCCCACAGCCGACACGTGGCTGCGGGCACGCTTCCTGCGGTGAACACGGCAGGTCCGGGCGCGGCTGAGTTCTCGCTAACGGACGGGCGCCGAGGCTCCAAGGGGCTCCAGTGCGAACTGCCACACGCGGTGCCTCCCGCCCGCCCCGGCCACCCCTGCGTGGTCCCCAGATGGCCACCTCTCCGCTCGGGTGCAGGCGGGACTCCCGGCCGGAACAACTGGCTAATGGTGAAACTCTGCAGCTTCGTCACATCGGAGGCCATGAGCGTGCATCTCTGGAGGTCATCGATGTGCACGGATCGCCACGGCCCTGCGGGGAACACCAGACACTCCGTGTCCTCCCTCCCTCCCCGGCCTCCCCGGGAGCTCTGAGCAGGGACGCTCGCCAGGCCAGGCCCGCTTCCACGGCTGCTGAGAGCCTAAGGCCTTGGACACATCAGAAGCTATCAGACAAATACCGCAAAGGATAGACAGATAAGGCTGGAATTCTCCACGGAGTTCCTCTCATTATCATGATCAAAAGGAGTAAAGGAGTCTGGCACCTACCGTGGCTCACACCTGTCACCCTAGCTACTCAGGAGGTTGAGACCTGAGGATCACGGTTTGAAGCCAGCCTGGAAAACAAATCTAAAAGACTCATAACACCAAATAGCCACTAAGAAGCCAGGAGTGGAGGTGCGGCTCCAGTGGTAGGGTGCTAGCTTGAGTGAAAAGAGTAAAAGAAAGGGTAAGATTGAGTTCAAGCCCCAGTACCAGTGTGCACACACGCACAGATGCGCATGTACACACACACGCACACACACAGAAAAGGGATATGTGGTGTTGGCTGGATTTGCTTTCCATTATCCATGAGATTTCTAAGCCAAACTCTGCCCCCGGCCCCCCCCCCCCCCCCCCCCCGCCACCATGTCCCTGTTTATTTCTTTCTTTCTGTTGGTCATGGGGCTTGAACTCTGGGCCTGGGTGCTGTCCCTCAGCTTTTCAGCTCAAGACCAGCACTCTACCACTTGAGCCACAGGATCACTTCCAGTTTTCTGGTGGTTTATTGGAGATAAGAGTTCCACAGACTTTCCTGCCTGGGCTGGCTTTGATTGGTGATCCTCAGATCTCAGCCTCCTGAGTAGCTAGGATGACAGGCGTGAGCCACCAACACCCGGCTGTCTCTGTTTCTAAAGTACCAGTCACCTTATACCACACAGATGGTAAACATTCAAGAGACCAAGAGACCAAGAGACATGCGGAGATGGGAACATTGCATTTCAGGGCCGATGCAGTGATCAGTGCAGGTGCTGGGTCAGGAGATGGAGGCCACACAGGAAGGAGGCGGCCAGCCCCAGGGCCCTGACGCCCCCAGGACACGCTGAGGCCACCACAGGGCCCCAGACGATGCCTTGGGTGTTTTTCTCTTGAGACTGAGCCTTATGACAAAGCCCAGGCTGGCTTTGAGTTTGCGGTGCTCCTGCCCCAACCTCCGGAGTGCTGGGATTATAAGTGTGCACCACCACGCCCGGGCTTAAGAGGCTAGCTATGAACCATGACCCTAGGTATGAGATCTAATTGTATCTGAAGACAATGTCCTGGGGTTCATCTTCTGGTTTCAGATATGGGACTCCCAAAGCAATAACCAGGTACTACTAAATGAACACACTTGGGACACTGGGGTCCTACCTCCATGGAAACCCACATAGGATGCCCCACTTCCCATCCGGGATAGCTTTGTGATGAAGTAGACGAAGATGCGGCCCTCTGACTCTTGTACTTTGTTGATCTCATTGATTGCAGAATACCTGTTGAAACAAAACAGACAACTATCAATCCCAGTGGCGCTGTGGCCATAGTGGTGGAGCCCTTGTCTCCAGCTGAAGCGCTCAGGGACAGCGCCCAGGCCCAGCGTTCAAGCCCCATGACCGACAACAAATAAAAAAATAAATCATAGAGTACTTTTAGGCTGGGAAGGTGACTCAGTGGTAGAGCGCTTGTCTTGCATGCATGAGGCCCTGGGTTCGACTCCTCAGCACCACATAAGCAAAAAGAAAAAAGCTGGAAGTGGCACTGTGGCTCAAGTGGTAGAGTGCTAGCCTTGAGCTGAAGAGCTGAGGGACAGCGCCCAGGCCCAGAGTTCAGGCCCCACGACCGGACCCAAAAACAACAACAACAAAATCAATCCCAGCTGGGTGCCGTGGCTCACGCCTGTCATCCCAGCTACTCAGGAGGCTGAGATCTGAGGATCAAGGTTCAAAACCTGCCCGGGCAGGAAAGTCCATGAGACTCCTAGCTCCAATAAACCACTAGAAAACCAGAAGTGGTGCTGTGGCTCCAGTGGTAGAGTGCTTGCCTTGAGCTGAAGAGCTGAGGGACAGCGCCCAGGCCCGGAGTTCAAGCCCCACAACCGACCAAAAAAAAAAAATTCAACTCCAAGCCAGCCACTGAGCGGAAGCCACACTGTGGAAGGCAGTGGGGGTCTGGCAGGCCACGGGGCCACCCTTGGTGACAGGAGTTTTAGCCTGAAGTCATTGTCATACTTCATGACAGGCACTTCTTCCCCGTGAGCGAACTCACAGGTGCTCATTCAGTGGGCCACCACCAGCCAGAAGCCTGCCCTCCCCCCCATCACAGGGCCCCGATGCTTGTGCAGCCTGGCCGGCCCTCCAGGAGACCCCGAGCATCCTGGCTGGCCCTCCAGGGGGCCGGGGCCCAGGAGCCAAGGCTGGACCCGGCGGGGTTTGACAACTCTGAAGGAACTTCAGCCTCCAGTGTGTTAAAACGCCCAGATATCACTCTATAGCACGCTGCCATAATCTTGATAATTGCCAAATGAACACAGTTAATCTGGTATTTCACATAGTTAATCCGGAGAGTATCAGAGTTCCACTAGGAACACCATAAAGATGTCCAAAAGCATTCATACAGTTTTGTGCCTTTCAACTTGCAGTAACTTCTAATTGGGCAATTGAAAAATCAACAAAGACCAAAAACTTGACTATTAACACTCTATTATTTACTTTTCTTTGGCTTTTTTGTCCCTCTCAGTACTGAGGTTTGAACTCAGAGCCTTGGGCAGGTGCTCTACGGCCTGACCAACGTCTCCAGCCTTTCTTTTTTCTTTTTTGCAGTTTCTCTAGCTCTCCTAGTCTCCAAGGAGGAGCGCTTTCTTATGATTATATCTGTGTTTATTGGCTTCAGGGCAGAAAGTCCTAAAGAAATCTGGGTTCCCTACGCTGTTTCAGAGACAAACCCTGAAAAGCGTACTTGGCCGAGGCGATCAGCTGGCCACCTTGGGTGGTGTCACTGAAGTCGGTCTGGATGATGAGAACTCTGTCCCCAGCTGTGTCCTCGAGGCAGCTTCTGAAGAAAAAGGGGAATATGCAAATCAGCTCCCCCCCCCCCCCCCCCCCCCCGCCGCCTTCCTCCCTCCCTCCAGATCCAGTGGCTTGGTTTTCAGGGTCTGGGTGCAGCCTCTTAGCTTTCTGTTCAAGGCCAGCATTCTATCACTTGATCCACATCTCTACTTCTGGCTTTTTGCGGGTTAACTGGACATAAGAATCTCATGGACTTTCCTACCTGGGCTGGCTTTGAACCACCATCCTCAGCTCTCAGCCTCCTGAGTAGCTAGGATTACAGGTGAGAGTCACCAGCGCCCGGCTCTAAGTGAATTCTCCATCTAAGAAAGGGACAAGGAATTTCCCCCCAAAAGTGCAGAGGCTGCACAGAAACTAGCAGGCCGCTGTGGTTTCCCTTCTGAAAAGCAGACCACTTAGAAAGACAGCCGAAACAAGCATCCTAAAGATGGGAGCTGAGAGGCGGGACAGAGGGGCCTTGCGAGGGTGTACAGGAAATGGGGGGGGAGGTGCAGCTCACCTGACTTTCTTGAGGAACGAGCTCTCCGTGTCAAACTGCTGCAGACACAGCAGCGTGGGTCTGGAGGCCAAGCCCTGCAGCTCTGCCTCTAAGGCCTCACAGTCGTGACCGGTGAGCAGCCTGGAGAAAGTAGTGACCTGCAAAGTGACAGCATGGACGGTGGGCTGGAGCCCCAGTGCCCCGTGGCCCGCAGGCCTCAGGGTCAGAGGGACCCGGAGAGTGGGCACGCCCGCCCCGTCCTTCTGAGATGCCCACGTGTCTTCCGGCCCTCGGTGCCAACTCGGGTTCTCATCCATGAGCCCGAGGCTCAGCACACTCTGGTCTGGTTCATGCTCGAGGGTGGAGTCAGTGTGAAAAGTCAAACGTTCTGTTCCTTAAGGTGTGCCGACACCCCAGCTCCCGAACCGAACCCGCAGCCCGGGCTGGCCCGACCACCAGCCCACCGACTCCCACACCCGCCAGCTCCAACGCACCCAAGTGGGCTCCACACTTGGCTCCAGCCTGTGGCTCATCCCTGTGATCTCAGCCCTGACAAAAGCTGCCAGCTAGCTCCGAGGAGACCCAGGGGCGCCCTAGAACCCCCCGCTGCCTGCTGCCCCTCTATGCAGTGAGCAATCAGCACTACCTGTCTACAGCTAGCTTTTTTCTTCTTTGTGCCAATCCAATTCTGGGCCTTGAACTCAGGGCCTGCACACTACTCTGAGCTTTTTCACTGAGGCTGACCTTCCACCCCATGAGCCCATGCCATCAACCCCCTCAATACCCTGGGCCTGCGCGCCTGGTGCTGTCGACAGCGTGGCCACCAGCGCCCAGCCCTGCTCAGAAGCCGATGCTTGAAGCTCAGTGACACTGAACTTCTCTTTACTGTGCACAGAGGAACCAAAAGCCTCAGCAGTGCTCCGCATCATTCCTACACCGTGGCTTCCCCATGATGGAGAGTTCTCAGCCCCAGGGGTACAGGTGGGGGGCTGGGGGGCTGGGGGGGCAGGCACCTCTGTGAGGACGGCGTGGCGCTCCGGATGTGGGGCGCGCAGGTGAGCCTGCAGGAAGTCTGCGAAGGAGTCGTGCTGTTGCGCGTGGTAGTAACTCCCTGCCAGCTGCCGGGCAGTGTGCGCGCCCAGCGCGGAGGCGCTCAGCCGGACCACGGCGTCCGGCGTGGCACAGTCCAGCAGGATCAGCTTGGCGGCCTCCAGCACCCTGTCGGACGTCTCCTCGGTGGACAGCTCCCCGGGGCCCTGCCTGTCCATGGCCTGCAGCACGGCGGCACCACAGGCGTCTGCGTGGTAGCCAACGAAGACGTCCTCGGCGCGGTACCTGTGCCCGGCCGTGAACTGCTGGGTTTTCACCTCGGCGAAGTCCCGCGCCCACTTGGCCAGCTCCTGCACGATGCCCCTCTGCCTGTCCTCCAGCATGGTGCGGATATCCAAGTAGTGCTTCTCCAGCCGGTTGATGAGGGGCACGGGGAACTGCGTGTACACCACGTCTTTCTCCTCGATGACGATGAGACGGAAGTCCGCGTGGACCCGACACTTGACGCGGTGGGTACCCAGGCCGAGGTCCACATACTTCTGGCCCCCGAGGTAGACGTAGTACTGGTTGAGTGCATCGTACAGGCTCTCGTACAGGTTCTGCAGGTTCAGCAGCACCACCGTGCGGCCGGTCTCCATGCAGATCTTCACCCGGTTGATGTTCCTGCAGATCTGGCTGTATTCCTGGTCCTGGGGGAAACTCGAGCCAAAAATGATCTCGGGCTGCTGGGCCCCCGCGCTGAGCATCTGCTGCAGGATGGGCAGGGCTGCGTAGTTCTTGGTCAGCACCAGGAGGTAGCGGGCCTCGGCGTCGTGGTCGGGGTCTTCGCCGGCTGCCCTCTCGGGGCCCCCGAAGATGTTCTGCCTGATCAGCTCGACGGTGCTGACTCTGTCCATGTACCTGGCCTCCGGGATGCTGGCCGTGAAGATGTCCAGGGCCGGGATGTCGTCTTTGCCGCTGAAGTTCCGCAGGATGGCATGCGCGATGCCCCGCTCCGAAGGCTTCCTGCTGGAGGCCTTGGCCGTGGCGAAGACCATCTTGATGAGGCTGTAGTAGTCGCGGAGCCCGAAGAACTCCTTGTCCTGTCTCCGGCACACGGCTTCGTAGGCCCTGGCAAAGGGTGTGAAGTACCCCTGGATTCTGCGCTGAACCATGGGGTCGGAGGAGCAGATGCCCCGGGCGCTCTCGATGAGCTCCCGCTCGTTGGGACGGCTGCGAGACACAAAGATCCCGCGGTTCATCTTGGCGGGATCCAGGGCCCAGTTGGAGATGCCCACGAAGCCGACTTTCTTGTGTGGGGACGGGTCGTCCTCGATGCACCCGTCTTCCAGCAGGGGGTGCAGCGTCTTCAGGGGCATCTGGGGGGAGTCCTCCGCCAGCCCCACCTCGTCCAGCACCACCACGGAGACGTAGTGCTGCAGGTCCTTGCCCTGCTGGAAGCGGGCGCACTGCTTGAAGGTGCCGATGATGCCTTGGGGGGTGGAGTGGGGGCTGCACTGGAAGGACACCAGGTGCACCTGCTTCAGGCTGCGGAACAGCTCGGAGTGCGCGGCCTGGCCCTGCATGGCGTCCGCCACGATGGTCTTGGCCAGAGACTTGGAGCTGCCCGGCTTTCCCACTAGAAAGAGCGGGATCCGGAGCTCGATGCAGACGATCATCATGAAGACATTCTCCTTCAACGCCAGGTTCTTGGCGATGGTCTTCCTGAGTGGCACCCCGTTCAGAAAAAGGTCCTGCGTGCGAGTGATCTCCTCCAGGATGACCCGGCTGTCATCGTAGGGCTCGGGGAAGCAGGGACAGACGGCTTTCCGGTATGATTCCTTGTCTTCTAAAGAGGCGTGGTAACATATCCCAATGGCCATAACCAGAGACCAGAGCGTGGGATTTCTGTCGAAGTTACCGTCGCTGATGTGGGACTCGCAGGGAGAGGCATCCAGCTTGGCCAAGAGCATCTCGCTGTGGTCGTGAAACCACTTGAAAACCTTCACGCAGCGCTCCACATCCCTCAGGCTGACAAAACTGCATTCGGTCTCCTTCTTCCTCATGAAGGCCTGCGAGGCGGCCAGCACGCCTGCGATCACCTGTGTGTCCGGCTCCTCCACCTCCATGCAACTAACCAGTCTCTGGACGATCTGCCGGATGTACAACTTCTCCGCTGTGTCGTTCAGCTGCCCAAAGTCCCACACCAGAGGAATGAGGCTCGGGGGCAGCGCGTGGACCCGGTACACCAGCTGCCTGAGGGGGATGGACCCCAGCCTCTCCGCTGTCTCCTCGGCCCTGACCCGGTACCCCAAGCCTGCCGCCTCCAGGCGGCTGATCGCCTCCTCCGAGTGCTTCCGGTAAGGGTTGCAGGCGGCGATGATCTGCAAGCCCGAGTCCTCCTCCAAGGGCTGCCCGTCCACCGTCCGGTCGCACAGGACTTCTTTGATGCAGCTGATGGCTTCTGTTGTGTTGGCTTCATCAAAGAACAAGATGGTGTCCAACTGGTGCTGCTCCTGATTCTCGATGGCGAGCTCCTGCGTCTCCCAGACTTTGGAGTAGATGGTGGCTGCGGTCGTGCCCCCGTGGACCTTCACCAACTGCATCGTTTCGGCAGGGACACCGCCACGTCGCAGGTCACTGAGGAACTTAATGAGCCTGGTTTTCCCGCAGCCTGTCTCTCCCATGATGATCACGGGGATCCCACACCGGAACCGCATTTCGATGGCCAGGATCTTGAGCATGTTGTCTGTCGTGAGCTCGTAGGTCTCGTCGGGGTCGGTGGCCCACTGAATCCCCAGCGCCAGGCAGAGGCGTTCCAGTTTCTCGTGTCTGGGTAGGCTGTCGAAGTCGATGTTGAAGGGGACCCGCTGAAGCAAGAGCCCCTGGTACAGCTCGGTCGTCATGACGTCGCTCTTGATCACCTGCTGGGTCTGGTGATTGATGGCGTCCACAAAGCCGTTATTCTTGGGTTGGAGGTGGAAGCCAATGAAGGTCATGGTTGTGCGGTCGCCGTTGAAGAAGACATACGGGTGGGGCTCCAACTCCCACCTCTTCCGGAGAGAGAAGGGAGCCAGATCTTCCTCCGCAACCCCGTCCATGGTGATCAAGTGACCCCCGGGGCTCTGGTCGGAGGTGTGAAGCGTTGGGGTGGCGAAATCCCTCGCCATCAGGATCATGAAGGTGACCACGAAGTTTTTGAAACCCCTCAGAGTGTCGCCGATGAAATCCGGCTTGCAGAAGAGCGAGTTCTCACAGTCCTGCAGCTGACAGTTCAAGAAATGAGCAAAATTCCTCAGCTCGGACCAGGACGGGTTCACCACTCCACAGTAAATGAGGAGGTGCTGGATGCACTCCTCCGGGGTGCCTTCCACGGAGCCTTCTTGGTACTCAAACCAGTCTAGGTTTTCCTTTTGGTGGAAGCGTTTCAGGTACTGGAAAGGTCTCTGGAACGCTGTGCTGCGGAACTCCTTCCTGTCCATCCCGGGCTCTCTGAGCCTCCGCTGTGGACTCAGCCCCATGTCGATCACCTCCTTGGGAGGTCTGCAGGTGACCGTGGGGAAGACGTCAAGAAATCTGAATGGAGGGACATGCGAATTCTGCAAAGGAGAGACATGAATAGAACTGTTATAACTAAGCTGGGCACTGGTGCTCACACCTGAAATCCCAGCTACCCAGGATGCCGAGATCTGAGGATCACGGTTCAAAGCCAACTGGGGAAGGAAAGTCCCTGAAACTCTTCTTACCTCTACTTAACTACCCAAAAGCCAGAAGTGGTAGAACATTAGCCTTGAGCACAAAAGCTCAAGGACAGAGCCCCAGCCCTAACGCTCAAGCACACAAAAAAGAAATGAAACAAAACAACCAAGTTTAATGGTGGCTATTTTTCTGTACTAACCATGGAGTCAGCTGCTTCCTATGGCAAAAGTGGTGGAGGCCGGGCGCAGGTGGCTCAGCCTGCCATCCCAGCTACTCAGGAGGCTGAGATCTGAGGGTCACAATTCAAAGCCAGCAGGAAAGTCCATGAGACTCTTATCTCCAATGAACCCCAAGAAAACCAGAAGTGGCGCTGTGGCTCAAGTGGTAGAGTGCTCACGTCGAGCTGAGGCCCAGAGTTCAAGCCCCACAACCGACAAAAAAAAATGTTGTGGAGAAGGGATGGGAAGGAGAAACAAAGGAGGAGGCAACAATGCTTGATAAGAAATGTACTCATTATCTTGCCCATGTAACTGTAACCCCTCTGTACGGTATTTTCACAATTTAAAAAAAAAAAGTTGTGGAAACCCAAGAACGGTTCACTCCCAGACAGAGGGGCTGGCGAAGCCCTGGCCAGGACCACAGCGTTCCCTGCTTACCAGCTTAGAAGACCGCTCAGGCTGCTCTGAGCTGCCCTTCTGGATTTCCACGATGTATAAGTGGCAGGGGTTCCGCAGCCATATCTTCCCCCTCACGTCCATGAGGTATTGTAAAATGAGGAGTTTGAAAAGGAACACCCAAATGCCAGTCTTTACCTAAAGAAAGGATCAGGAGGGCGTGTGAGCACAAAGCCGAGGCCGAGGCCCACCCCCAGGCCCCCAGGGCTTTTCTGGGGAGGAGTTCCCCCCGCAGGGAGGGGCAGGGGGGCACGCACAGAGCTGGTCACGTCCAGGTGGAATATCACAGGCGTCTGCTGATCTCTCTCGGTCAGGAAGGGCAGGAGGGAGCTCAGCACGTAGCTCTCATCCACCCGAGGCTCAGTCAGCCGAATGGTTTTTAAAGGCACTTTTTGATGGTTTAACTTCTTTCTCAGTTTCCCATGTAACCTCTTCACGTAGAGAGACTTTCCTGCAATATGGAAACGTAGACATTAGATCTCGAGGGGGGCCAAGAGGCAAAGACCTCCAAGAGATGCAGCCCCACGCCAGGGCAGAGTACACACAAGCCGACGCCTCCCCCGTCCCTGCTGCCCAGGCCGGTCGGCACCACCGTCCACACAGAACAGAGCATGACTGGTGGGCTAGGACAAGAGCAAGTTTGGGGCCCTGTCAGCAGCTGGTGGCCACCGCCACCCTGCAGCAGGGACACGTGCTAACTCAAGGGGCACCAAGGGCCCCTGGATGCTGGGTAGAGCGCTGCACGCCTGTAATCTCAGAGACTCAGGAGGTGGAGGTGTAAGACAATGAGCTCAAGACCATCAAGGCCAAGTGGAGACCCCGTGGCTCACGCCTGTAATCCTAGCTATTCAGGAGGCCGAGCTCTAAGGATCCGGATCGTGGTTTAAACACAGGCCAGGGCAGAAAAGTCTGTGAGACTCTTATCTACAATAGACCACTCAAGAAAAAGCTGGAAGTGATGCTGTGTCTCAAGTGGTAAAGCACTAGCCTTGAACACAAAGAGGCTCAGGGACAGCGCCCAGGCCTTGAGTTCAAGCCCCAGGACTGGCAAAAATAAATAAAAAAGATTGGGCTAGGATGTAGCTCAGTGGCAAAGCACTTGCCTAGCAAGTGCAACGTCCTGGGTTCGATCTCCAGTACCAAAAACAAAAACAAAAATAAAAAAGATCAGATTCTGGCAGATACGCTGATTTCTAACTACTGGGGAGTCACAGTCTCCCTGGACTCAGTTTCTCCACCTGCAGCAGGGTGTTATCTGTGTGAGCACTGCCTTCCTGGGTCTGTCCGGCGGGGACCCGTCTGCCCCAGGGCCCCCCTTACCGACACCCGCCCTTTCCGAAGTCACCAGCCCAACACACAGCCGGTCTCCAAACACAGCCGCGGCCGACGGGGTCTGCTCCGGGACCTGGAAATGGTCCCCCAGGTAGGCCTGGATGTCCTTGAGCGGAGCCTGCGGGACGAGGAGGACCTTGTGCTGGCTGAAGGCGGAGGGGAGGTAGCAGTGCTCCCGCTCAGTGTCGCACACCAGCACCAGCCGGTAGTCTTCGCGGTGGACGCGCTTGCACAGGTCCTGGAAGAGCTCCTCGGCCTGGGAGCCCACCTCGTAGCTCAGCTGGTCGGCAAACAGCAGGCTGTAGACCTTGTGGTCCTGGGAGCCTGGGGTGAGGCAGCGGCGCAGCAGCAGCGCCACCTCCTCGAGCTCGGTCTGCGGCGTGCACACCAGCACCTCGTCGAAGGTGGGCAGGGGCTGGTGTGGGTCCTGCATGTAGAGGGCCAGGGCGGCGGGCAGCACGTCGGAGTGACCACACAAGACCAGGTTGGGCCGGCCGACACGCAGGCCCCTGGGCAGGGTGCGTTCCACGGGAGGTCCATTCCGCCTGGCCAGCTCTGCCAGACAGCAGCCAAGGGCCTCCAGGTCCAAGCACCCGGGCAGAAGGGCACTGATGCACATGATGGACTTTTCCATGATGATCTTCAGCTTGGGCACCAGGCCAGGCATGAGTTTGAGCAACAGAGGGAGAGCTGTCCTCGCTCTGGTCTCCCGGTCTCTGGTAACCTTATCCACGCACGCCTCTGTAGCGCGGAGGATATCGCTGGCTGTGCAGCCGTCTAGGATGAAGGACAGCATCATCAGCGCGGCGGTGCTGGGACTCGGCTTCCTGAGCTCGGTGCTCAGGTAGACCAGTTGCTCTGCCGTGTAGAAGTTGAGGTAAAAGTGCTCTGTTCGCTTCTGTTTCACTTCCTCCTTCCACTGGCGCAGGAACGTCTCCATCTGCCTGCAGAGGGCTTCCAGGCACGCGAGGACGTCTCCGTGCTCTGCCAGCTGGTCCACCAGCTCCAGGCCCAAGTCCATGCGCACGCAGACACCCTTCCTGGGGCTGCAGTAGATCTCTACCATCCAGGTCCTGAACAGCATGTTTCCAGCAGAGTACAGGTTGATGAAGGCCTGGACAAGCCGCTGGACGCTGCAGAATACCTGTGAGGAGGAAAGCAACCGTAAGACAGACAGCGGGAGGAGCGTGCGGGAGACTGGTGCTGTGAGGTGCTGGACGGGGACCCGTATTCTAAACACAGCCTTGTAACTCCAACGTTGAGTCTTTGCCTTAGATTTGCTCATTGCCACAGAAACACACACAATCATTATGATTATTGCTCCTCCCTCATTGATAGGATCAGCCTCATCACAGCAAAAAGGTAAAAGATAAAGAATATCAATGGTGCTGGGCACTGGTGGCTCACGCCTGTAATCCTAGCTACTCAGGAGGCTGAGATCTGAGGATCACGGTTCAAAGCCAGCCCGGGCAGGAGAGACCATGAGACTCCTATCTCCAATAAACCACCAGAAAACCGGAAGTGGCGCTGTAGCTCAAGTGGTAGAGCGCTCGCCTTGAGCTGAAGAGCTGAGGGACAGCACCCAGGCCCAGAGTTCAAGCCCCACGACTGACCAAAAAAAAAAAAGAATATCAATGGTAGCTCACACCTGTAATCCTAGCTAGTCAGGAGGCTGAGATCTGAGGGTCAAGTCTAAAGCCAGTCTGGACAGGAAAATCCATGAGATTTTTTTTTTCTTTTTTCTTTTTGGTCAGTGGTGAGGTTTGTCCTCAGGCCTGGATACTGTCCCTGAGCTTTTTTCACTCAAGGCTGGTGCTTTACTCCTTTAAGCCAGTTCTGTTTTTCTGGTGGTTAACTGGAGACAAGCATCTCATGGACTTTTCTTTCTTTCTTTTTTTTTTTGGGGGGGGGGGGTCCGGTCATGGGGCCTGAACTCTGGCCTGGGCGCTGTCCCTCAGCTCTTCAGCTCAAGGCTAGCGCTCTACCACTTGAGCCACAGCGCCACTTCCGGCTTTTTTCCTTTTGCTTATGTGGTGCTGAGGAATGGAACCCAGGGCTTCAGGCATGCAAGGCAAGCACTCTACCACTGAGCCACCTTCCCAGCCCCTCATGGACTTTTCTGCCCGTGCTGACTTCAAACCACAATCCTTGGATCTCAGCATTCTGAGTAGGACTACAGGCTTGAGCCACTAGCGCCTGGCTTCTAAGAGACTCTTATCTCCAAATAACCACTAAAGGATGAAACTGTGGCTCAAGTGCTAGAGCACCAGCCTTGAGCAAAAACATGCCCAGGCCCTGAACTGAAGCCTTGGAACCAGTATATACCCATATACACACCCACTCATAAAATATCAAGTGTAAAGTTCATATGAACTTTAAAGAAAACCTCCTCATACAATGAGACTATTTAGACACCAATCCATGTATATCCATTAGGCTGTGATGGTTTTGACAATGCCCAATCGAATTGAATCTTTAAGTGTGTGTGTGTGTGTGTGCGCGCGTGCGCACGCGCCAGTATTGAGGCTTGAAATCAGGGGCTGGGTGCTGTCCTTTCAATTTTTTGCTCTACACTTGAGCCACAGCTCCACTTCCAGCTTTTCGGAGTAAAAGAGTCTCACAGACTTTTCTACCTAGGCTGGCTTTGAACTTCAGTCCTCAGATCTACGCTTCCTGACTAGCTAGGACTATAGGCGTGAGCCACTGGCACCCACCAGGTGTTTGAGTTCTTGTCAGGTGAAGCAATTTACCATTTTTGCTTTTTCTGAGGACCCCTGGGTCGTCTCCTCTGGGCACAGCCGGGCCCGTGTGGGGACCACGAGGAGGAAGCCCTGCCCTCGAGGCCTGCATGCTCAGGGGCCTGTCCACAGCTACCACGCGTGCGCAGGCCCCGTGCAGACCCAGACGGCTGGCGAGCACAGCCAGCTGCCCATCCAGTGCTAAGGCTGACCCCTTGCCCCAGGCCAGAGATGGAGAGCGTGGCACAGCTCCACGCAGCAGCACGGAAGCACACCCTCACCTCAGAGAACTTCTCCAGCTCCACGTGGTTGTGGTCTTTCTTGCCAGACATCAGCATCAGCTTGTTCAGAAGTTCCTTCAGCTCCTCCAGGGAGTAGTCGCGCACGGTCTCCGTGCCGCCGTGGCCCTCAGGGAGGAGCAGGCGCAGCACGGCATCCATGCTCACCTGGGCGGGTCAGGGGCGTAGAGAGGGTTTTCAGGCCCAGATCGCCCCTCCCCCGCCCGGGCCCGCCAGGAACCCCGGGGGCTCACCTTCCCATCTCCTCGGGGCGCCTCAATCACATAGATTCCCCGGCTGTTGATGGCCGTGGCCAGGGACAGCGAGGACAGCTCCACTGAGCCGTGGCTCTCCTTCACCGTCTTCAGCCATGCCAAGTTCCTGGCGGAGTCTCTCTGTTGAAACAAAGGTGGAGGATACAGCCGGGGTCTGTCTCCCCCGCCCGGCCTTCTGCTCTTTGCCCATCTCACCTCCGCCTGGGCCTCACACTGGCCACTCCACGGCCCTCATCCTCCGGGGCCGGGGCGGCTGCCCCGGGCCCGGGCCGCGTCCATGGGCTCTGCCCATTCCAGCAGGACCCTCCTCCGGGGCCGGGTCGTGTCCATGGGCTCTGCCCATTCCAGCAGGACCCTCCTCTGGGGCCAGGGCGGCCGTCCCGGGCCCGAGCCGCGTCCATGGGCTCTGCCCATGCCAGCAGGACCCTCCTCCGGGGCCAGGGCAGCTGCCCCGGGCCCAGGCCGTGTCCATGGGCTCTGCCCATGCCAGCAGGACCCTCCTCCGGGGCCGGGGCGGGTGCCCCGGGCCCGGGCCGTGTCCATGGGCTCTGCCCATTCCAGCAGGACCCTCCTCCGGGGCCAGGGCAGCTGCCCCGGGCCCGGGCCGCGTCCATGGGCTCTGCCCATGCCAGCAGGACCCTCCTCCGGGCCCGGGCCGCGTGGCTCTGCCCATGCCAGCAGGACCCTCCTCCGGGCCCGGGCCGCGTCCATGGGCTCTGCCCATTCCAGCAGGACCCTCCTCCGGGGCCAGGGCGGCCGTCCCGGGCCCGAGCCGCGTCCATGGGCTCTGCCCATGCCAGCAGGACCCTTCTCATGCAGTGGGCTTGCCTCCGCTCGTCGCTCATGGCCACGGAGGCTGAGTGGGGGCTGCCGCGCGCCGCAGGGGCTCAGGGCCTCGGAGGACGGATGCGCGGGGAGTCCTGACTACTCTGGCTGTGCTTCTGCTCTGCAGTCCCGACGGGGCAGAGCACTCAGCGGCTGGCTCGGCTCCCTGCTCCACACCCCGTCCTCCTCTGACTGCACCCGGAGAATTGACCCGGGTCTGCCGGGACCCAGCACAGCTTTCTCCAACTTTCAAGGTAAGTTCATTTATGTCCGAGTGTTTTTAAAGCCTGGCATTGGTGGCTCACGCCTGTAATCCCAGCCAGCCTAGGCAGGAAAGCCTGTGAGACTTGCATCTCCATTAAACTGCCCAAAAAGCCTGAAGTGGCACTGTGGCTCAAGTGTTAAGAGTGCTCGCCTTGAGCCAAAGCAGCTCAAGGACATTGCCCAGGCCCTGAGTTCAAGCCCCAGGACAAGTGTGTGTACATATACACACACACAAAAACACACAATCAATCAATATCAATTGTGGAAAATACCAAAATCTCACAAAATAAAATGGTCATCATTACCATCTGGAGAAAAATACTGGTAACATGGGGCTGGGAAGGTGGCTCAGTGGTAGAGCACTGGCCTTGCATGCATGAGGCCCTGGGTTTGATTCCTCAGCACCACATAAGCAGAAGAAAGCTGGAGGTGGCGCTGTGGCTCAAGTGGTAGAGTGCTAGCCTTGAGCTGAAGAGCTGAGGGGCAGCGCCCAGGCCCAGGGTTCAAGCCCCATAACTGACAAAAAAAAATACTGGTCACATGTAGTGACGCTTTGGTCCACACGAGTTTGGAGCTTGGAGATGACTGCAGTGGTCTGCAGATGTACATCTCTCTGACACATTTCCACACAGGAAGAGTCGTAGACAGCCATCTGTTAAATGGCTCTGCACACACCCTCCACCCAGGGGCGTGACCGTGGGCTCCGTCTTGGCCCGAGGACGCTTAGAGGCGCCTCGGTGACCGACGTCTGTCCCGGAGGTGGAAGGAATGCTCACCAGCTTGTTGGGTAGGCATGGGTCGTTGTCCAGAGCCTTCCACAGTTCTCCCAGCTGCTGCTGGACCTCCCGGAAGCCTGCCCCGGGGTCCAGCTTGTACAGCAGGGAAGCGTAGCCCTGCACGGCGTCGTGGAAGCAGGCCACCCGGTCCACGTCCATGTCATTCTCCCCGGCTGAGATGGAGGCCAGGTCCACAAACACCTTGAGCTCGTGGATGCCTTGTGAGAGAAGAGAGGTTAGCACATTCTGCTCCTCTGCGGGCATGGGGTTCCGATCTGGGGCAACACCCCACTGTGAGCTGTGAATGGCCACGCCAGGACCACAGGGGGACAGAGCCCGGACGCTTCCCTGCCTGCAGGAGGGATCTCTGACCCTGGTGCACTGATATCCAGCTTCCTCGGCAGCGATGTCTGCCCTTGGCCCTGGCTGGGGCGGCAGGCGCCTTATTTCTTTAAATCTATGCTAGGTTCGCTGAAGCTCGGCTGTTATTTCTATACAGGTGATTCACTCTAAAACCTGAGACAAAACCAGGGGCAGTGGCTCACACCTATGATCACAGCTACTTGGGAGGCAGAAAACAGAACAATTATAGATGGAGGCCGGCTGAGGTAAACAAGACTCCTGAGCAATAAAAAGCTGGCGTAGTGGGGTGAATCTGTCGTTTTACCCATGAGGAACATGAAGAGAAGGAGCACAGTCCATTCCAGTCTGGGCAGAAAGCTAAGACCCATCTCAGAAATAACCAGAGCAAGCTGGGTGTCCGTGGCGCACGCCTGGAATCCTAGCTACACAGGAGGCTGAGACCTGAGGATCGCAGTTCAAAGCCAGCCCTGGCAGAAAAGTCCGTGAGACTCTTATCTCCAATATTTTTGGGGAGGGGGGAGGGGTCGGTCATGGGGCCTGAACTCTGGGCCTGGGCGCTGTTCCTCAGGTCTTCAGCTCAAGGCTAGCGCTCTACCACTTGAGCCACAGCGCCACTTCCAGCTTTTTTTTTCCTGCTTATGTGGTGCTGAGGAATCGAACCCAGGGCCTCAGGCATGCAAGGCAAGCGCTCTACCACTGAGCCACCTTCCCAGCCCCGATCTTATCTCCAATTTAAAAAAAAGTAAAACACCAGAAAACCGGAAGTGGCGCTGTGGCTCAAGTGGTAGAGCGCTCGCCTTGAGCTGAAAAGCTCAGGGACAGTGCCCAAGCCCAGAGTTCAAGCCCCATGATCAACAAAAACAAAAACAAAAAACAACAAAAGAAATCACCAGAGGGAGTGACAGCGTGCCCGCCTAGGAACTTCTAAGCCTGAAGTTCAAACCCCAGCACTGCCAATAAAATTAAAAAGAAACTCAAGGTCATTCTCCCTGAGCTAGTTACCACCGAAGGGTACAGATGCAAGGGGGCCCTAGCGTCCCCGGTGGAGGCAGCAAAGCTCCCACAACAGCTGGAGCCAGTGCAGCCTCCACAGCGGCAGGAGGCAGTCCCTGCAGGTCCCTGCTGCTGCCTGCCCTCTTCCCACCTCCCCGGGCTCTGTCTCTGCCTCTTCCACTTTCCTCTAGCGAATCCCCACAACTAAGTTTGTCAAGCTCTTAGCTGGGGAAGAGATGTACACCATCCGTGATGAAGCCATACATTCTCCCTGACAGGAGCTCCTCATTTTCTGGTGAAAATCACTTGGAGGAAGACTTGCAGGCAGGGACCCCCAGCTATGAGGGGCAAGCTGGGGGTGGGGTGGGGGAGAGGAAGTGGTTTATATACAAAGCCACCCAATGCAAATTCTACCCCTGGTCAACACAGCCACCGCAGCCATCCGCACAGACGGCCAGGAACAGCTTCCTGCCCTTCGTATGGCACAGGGCGCCCGGTCGGGTGCCCGCAGCGCCCCCTCTGAAACTCTCTCCGGCCCCCAAGCCCAGAAGAGCGCGGTACCTCCCAGCGCCTCTCGCAGCCAGCGGACCAGCTCCATCTGCAGACACAGCTCCTCCAGGCAGCGGCGGCGGCGCTCGTTGATGTCGGCCAGCAGCTGCTTGGTGTGGATGAGCTCTGGGCTGATCTGGGCCAGTTTCTCATTGTGGTAGGTCTCGATGTCCTCGCTCTGTGAGAGGAAGCTCCGGTGGGGGCCGGGCAGCAATGCCAACCGCCCACAACCCCCTCTCCCCATCTCCCGGCTGAGCCCTGCGACGGTGCGTGCCTGGCACCGTTACCAGCAAGGGAGACAAGGGGCACCTCTCCGCTGCCCTCCCCGGTCGGCCGGGAGACAGGCCCGACCCACACCGTCTCGGCCATAATATCAGCCATGATGTATCATAAATATGGAAAGAAAACCAGGCACCAGTGGCTTGTGCTTATAATCCCAGCTACTGAGGAGGCTGAGATCTGAGGATCATGACTTGAAGCCAGCGCAGGCAGGAAAAGTCCATGAGACTCCGATTAAGCACCAAAAAGCTGGAAGTGGAGCTGTGGCTCAAGTGGTAGAGCACTGCCCTGAGTTCAAGTCCCAGGACCAGCACAGTCCCCCGCTCCTTACACACACACACACACACACACACACACACACACACACACACACACACACACACACACACTCCCATCTTAGCCCAAACAGGAGTGATGGAGTATTTCCTGCTTCTGGAGATAACTAAATATGAACAATTGACAAAACGTGTCCCTCCGGTACTTTCATAACCCAAAGAGGCCAGGGCCCTCTCTCTCCTGTATTCTCCATCCTCCTACTGACCCAAGAAAACTCCCTGGCTAAGGAGCAGCCGCATTCTCCAGAAAAGGTGGAGCCAAGCATAGCCCACGAGCACCTTTGCTCCCGTTTCCCGGGCCAGAAGGGCACCAAGGGGTTTGAGGTGGGTCCCCCAGCCCCCAGGAGGCCCGAGCAATCACTTACAAAGCTTAACAAAGTAGAGAGAACACTGAAGTCGCCCGTCAATTCCAAGTTCTCGCGGACCTGCCAGATGACCCTGGCGGCGCTGGCGGCCTGGTGCAGGCTGTGGTATTCTTTGATCTGTTCGACCCGCTCCGGAATCCAGTCCTGAGAGGCCTCGGGCTCCACCGTGCACATGACCTTCAGGTCAGCCGTCAGGTCATCGTATTTACCTACAAAGTCCTTGAAAATGTCTCTGATCTCCTGGAAGGTGATGTCTGCCGACTTCAGGTCCCGGTAGAGCTTGGTGAGCCTCTGGTAGCAGGGAGAGTACAGATGCTCCTGCACCAGGGTGAGCAGAACCATGGGCTTCTCCGACTCCTGGTCCAGGCTGTTCAGCTGCTCTGACGCAGTGTCCCACAGTGTGTGGAAGACGTGGCTGTCCTTCAGCAGGTCTATCTGCGCCACCATCTCCTGGACCTCCGGCTGCAGGTGGTAATGAGTCTTTGGCTTGGAGAAGGAGGCGGAGGGCGGAGTCACGGTCACAACTTCATCCAGTCTCTTGCTGCTCAGGTCCATCCAGTGCCTTTCTTCTATCTCTCCAAAGTCCACTTCGAACAAAGGGTTGAGAGTCAAATCTCAAACCACGGCAGCATTATTTACTGCTTATTGATGTGCTGTGCCAATCCTGGGCACAGAGGCCTGGGTGCTGTCCCTGAGCTTTTCTCCAGATGAGCGCTCTCCCATGAGTCACAGCCCCACATCTGGTTTCCTGGTGTTTAATTGGAGATGAGAGTCTCCAGGGCTTTAGTGCCCCCGCTGGCTTTTAACTACAGTCCTCAAATCACAGCCTCCCGAGTAGCTGGGATTCCAGGCGTGAGCCACCAGTGCCCTGCCCTTGGCAGCAGTTATTTTTCTTTCTAATCCCATCTCTAAGAACAGCCCAGTGAATGCAGCGCTGGGGTTGTTTCTCAGGAGAAGGCGGCTTCCCCGCTCCCCACTGGCTGCGCTCACCCTCCTCCTACTTAGATGGCAGGAGATAAAGACTTTTCAAGTCACAAAGGCAGCCATAGCCCACCACAGGCCCTGCCCCGTAAACCCCCAGCCTCCCAATCCATCTACATCTCAGCACAGAGACAATCTCCAGACAGGTAAAAAAGCTGAGGTCCAAGCAAACCCACAGGATGGGGGTGGGGCTCTGAGGTAGAGCTCAGTCTGCAGAGGTCCTGGGGCCCACCCCAGCACAGCAGGGGTGGGGGTGGGGAACAACACGGGGCGGGGGTCTGTGGCTCGTATCTATAATGGAGACTGACATTGTTGGGATTGCAATTCAAGGACAGACTAGGCAGGAATGGTTCATAAGACTTTTCCAAGGAAGGGCTGAGTGTGGTGTACACTCCTGCTATCCTGCCACCCACAGCCTAGCTGGCAGGGTTGGAGGGACTTTGTGCCCAGATATAGTCCAGGGCTGTAAAGTCTCTCAAAAATGAGGAGAAAGCTGGGCGCTGGTGGCTCACGCCTGTACTCCTAACTGCTTAGTAGGCTGAGATCTAAGGACGGTGGCTCCAAGATGCCTGCTTTGGCAGGAAAGTTTATGAGATTTTTTTTTCAATTAACAAGCAAAAAGCTGGATGTAGAGCTGTGGTTCAAATGGCAGAGTGCCAGACTTGAGCAGAAAAATCAGAGAAACAGTTCAAGCCCTAGAACAGCACTAAGGACACCAAGAGAGAGGCACAGAGGCGGAGATAGAGAGAAAACAGAAAACAGAAGGCAACCTCAGAGACAGGAGAAACTTGGCACAAGAAAGGTGAAATGATCACAGTGGCTTTGTGGCTCCCTGGAGAGTGTGGTCTTTACCTCACCAGGGTTAATGACCTTCCCAGAAGCGCAAGCCTCCAATCAGATGCCGCGGAGGCCTGGCGTCAGGGGCAGGGCCTCCAATCAGATGCCGCGGAGGCGTGGTGTCAGGGGCAGGGCCTCCAATCAGATGCCACCTGAGGTGTGCCGTCAGGGGCAGAGTCACCAATCAGAGTCTCCACAGGAGGTATGGCATCAGGGGCAGAGTCTCCAATCAGATGCCACAGGAGGCGTGGCATTGCAGGCAGGGCCTGGGAGGAGAGGCGGCACTTCCTCTCCCCCATGGGAAATCATCAGAGAGCACTGATACCCAGAAAACCAGGGGACGGTTTGCAAACATGGAGGCAAATACCATAAAGGAAGAATCTGTGAGTTAAGCTGGTTCTCCCAGAAAATGCATAGGAAACTTGGTTTACAAAGTAAAAACAGGGCTGGGAATATGGCTCAATGGTAGAGTGCTTGCCTAGCATGCATGAAGCCCTGGGTTCCAGTCCTTAGCACCATATACCCAAAAAAAGCTGGAAGTGGTGCTGTGGCTCAAGTGGTAGAGCGCTAGCCTTGAGCAAAAGCAGCTCAGGGACAGCACCCAGGCCCTGAGTTCAAGCCCCAGGACTGGCAAAAAAATGAATAAATAAAACAACAACAAAAAGATTCTTCAATCCCTGCTCCAGTGGCTCACACCTGTAACCCTAGCTACTCAGGAGGCTGAAATCTGAGGGTCACAGTTCCAAGTCAGCCTGGGCAGGAAAGTTCATAAGACTCTGATCTCCACTGAACCACCAAAAAGCTAGAAGTGGAGCTATTGCTGACGTGATAAAGCTCCAGCTCAGAGATAGTGCCCAGATCCTGAGTTTGAACCCCAATACCAGCACAAAAGAAATGAGGGCCTGCTACTATGTTCTACTCTATGAGCAAACTCCCCTGACCATCCCCATAGGAGCGGCTGTCCTGAAGATTCCTGAATGCTCACTGACCATCCCCATGGGGCGGCTGTCCTGAAGATTCCTGAATGCTCACTGACCATCCCCATGGGGCGGCTGTCCTGAAGAATCCTGAATGCTCACTGACCATCCCCATGGGGCGGCTGTCCTGAAGATTCCTGAATGCTCACTGACCATCCCCATGGGGCGGCTGTCCTGAAGATTCCTGAATGCTCACTGACCATCCCCATGGGGCGGCTGTCCTGAAGATTCCTGAATGCTTACTGACCATCCCCATAGGAGCGGCTGTCCTGAAGATTCCTGAATGCTCACCTTGCACAAAGGGCCTCAGCCTCTCACACAGCTTCAGCAGGCTGTCCACACGCTGCCTCTCCTGCTGGAGAGCCTGCAGCTCGGCCTTTCTCCAGTGCAGCATTTCCTTCATGTCCCACTTGTTCTGCTGGAATACAAGATCTGCTTTCTCTGGAAAACAAACCAACGAACAGTTATATATGACCCCTTTCTACTGCCGTATGCTGAATGCATTCCTGGGGAAACACGGCTTCTACTCAAGGAATGCAAACCGAACCAGCACTCTTGATTTGCCTTTTTCTTTTTTGGTGCTGGTACTGGGGCTTCAACTCAGGGCCAGAGCTCTGTCCCTGTGGTATTTTGCTCAAGGATGGCACTCTACCACTTGAGCCACAGATTCACTTCTATGTGTATATATGTAATTAGATAAAAGTGTCATCTACTTTCCTGTCCAGGCTGGCTTTTTTTTTTCTTTTTTGGTCAGTCATAGGGCTTGAACTCTAGGTCTGGGCACTGTCTCTCAGCTCTTCAGCTCAAGGTGAGCATTCTACCATGTGAGCCACAGCGCTACTTCTGGTTTTCTGGTGGTTCATTGGAAATAAATGTCTCATGGAGTTTCCTGCCCGGGCTGGCTTTCAACCATGATCCTCAGATCTCGGCCTCCTGAGTAGCTAGGATTAACAGGCATGAGCCACCAGCACCCAGCTTCCAGGTTGACTTTGAACCAAGATCCTTAAACCTCAGCCTCCTGAGTAGCTAAAATGATGGGTGTGAGCCACCAGATGCCAGGCTTTGCTTGCCTGTTTATGAAATAGTGTCCTAGGAGTCCCCTGAAAATTATAAAGTATTACCTGTCAACTTTCTTGCAAGAAGTGGTACTGCCTATACGTACTAAAAAGATCACCAACCACTCAACCACACCAGTGGCTCACGCCTGTCATCCTAGTCACTCAGGAGGCTGAGATCTGAGGATCGCAGTTCAAAGCCAGTCAGGGCAGGGAAGTCTGTGAGACTCTGATCTCCAAGTAACCACCAAATAGCTGGTAGAGCTGTGGTTCAAGTAGTAGAGCACTTGCTAAGCAAAAATGGCAAGGGGATCGTGCCTAGGACATGAGTTCAGGTCCACACACACAGATCACCAGCCACAAAAGCCACATGCCAACGCTGGCACAGGTCCCCTGGCTGCTGCAGCACCCTGCCACGTACTTAGCCCACAGATGCCAAGGAACTCCTGCTCGTGCCTGATGATCAGCTCCAGCTGTCGGACCACAATGGTGCCATCCACGAGGTCACCCACGACCCTTCTGAATGCAGCATCCGCGGCGTCAAAGAGCCTCCGGCTCTCATCTGTGGTGTGGTCTAATATTCTCTTGTTAGTCCCTGAGGAGAAGAATAGAGCTCACACTGTGGGCTCCGGGCTGCTCTGTGTCCCGCCTCCCAGTGGCCCCCAGTTCTTAGACTGCTACCCTGCTCCTGTAAAACCCACCCGTCAGCAGCCGCACAATGATCCTCACCAGGGATGAGGGATGAGCCGGCACAGGCCGCCTTGGGGCCAAGGACGCCAAGCCGAGCCTGCCTGCTCTGTGTGGCTCAGCAACCTGGAAACACGTGGGTGGGAACCTCCCCATCCATTCAGAGGGCAAGATTTTAAATACGCTCAGCTTAACCATCGGACCGTTTCTCTCACTAATATTACATTCACACAGTATTGTTTAAAGACAATAGTGTCTCCTACCTAGCCTAGCTATTCAGCAGCCTGAGATCTGAGAATCGAGGTTCAAAGCTAGCTTAGGCAGACAAATTGGAGAGATACTTATCTCTAATGAAGCAGCAAGAAGTCAGAAGCGGAGGCATGGCTCAAGGGGTAGAGTCCCTGCTTTGAGCAAAAGAACTGGGAAGGCAAAGTCCTGAGTTCAACCCCCAGTACTGGCATCCTCACCAAAATGTGACCAAGTGTGTCTGAACCATTAAATGACAGCTGAAAGCTGTGGGGCGTGCGCACACACACACACACACAGACAGACACAGACAGACACACACACGACACACACACAGACACACACACACACACGTAATCCTAGCTACTCAGGAGGCTGAGATGTGAGGCTCAGGGTTCAAAGCCAGCCCAGGCAGATATTTCTTCTACCCCCTCATCTGAAAACTGAGGCTTTAAGGAGGATGAGCAGAGGGGGGAGGGGAGGCACGCAGCACAGCAGGCACTCAGCAAACAGTACCTTTGGTACTAGCCGCTCCATACTACACAAGGTGGCCCCAGCCAGCCTGAGTCCCTCTGCCCGCGCTGTTTCCTGCACAGAACATCGGCCCCTCCCACAGGAGCCCTGGGGCAGGGACCCGAGGGTAGGCTCCCTAGACAGGCCCTGCCACGGGGGGCCCTCAACACACCGTACAAGCTGAAGACCCGCTTTGCGTCTGGCCATGTGAGCAGGTGCTTCAAAATCTTATCCAGGTCCTCAGTGGGTGTCCCACCGTTCTTGGGCCATGACTTGGTGATCACGGCAGACACGAGGACTCCAAATCTCCGCTGATCCCGACAAGAGAGACCCGTAAGGATGCTCGTGTGCAGCTTCAGAAGGAAAGGGAGCAGGGAGAGTTTAGAAGGGGCTTATTAGTGTGTTCCAAAACAATACCAGTTACCCCTCCGGCGGCAGTTCATTCATTCTAAATAGTGTTTTGACTTCTGTTTGCCAGTCCATAGACTTGAACTCGGGCTTTGACTTCATTGGACTTGCTGGCTCCTGACTGGAGCTGTGCCATCTGAGCCTGGCGCTTTGGTGATTAACTGGTTTTCCTCAAGCTAGCTTCAAACCACGAACCTCTAAATCTCAGCTCCCTGAGTAGTTAGGATCGCAGCGTGAGCCACTGGTGCCCAACTCGAGCTCTAGAAGGCCTCAAGAGACAAAAGTAGAGACTGGGAGGTGGCTTAGCATTACAGTGCTCAGCTAGCTGTGGCCAAGACCCTGGACTCAACACCCAGCACCAATACAAGAAGAACAATAATGAAAATAGTCAATGGTTAACACTCCTCAGAACACCTCTGCTTCCTGTAGATGACCCCCTTAGGGGCTCAGTACTGGAGTCTGGGGGGCCCTCTGCCCCTTGCCACTTTCTTCATTTCTCCTGGACTTAGATGCCATGAAAAATGCCAAAACTAGCTGGGTGCTGGTGGCTCACACCTGTTAATCCTAGCTACTGAAGAGGCTGAGATCTGAGGATCGAGGTTCAAAGCCAGCCCGGGCCGGAAAGGTTGTGAGACACTTATCTCCAATAGACCACCCGAAAACCAGAAGTGGTGCTGTGGCTCAAGTGGTAGAGCGCTTGCCTGGAGTTGAAGATCTGAGGGACAGCGCCCAGGCCCAGAGTTCAAGCCCCATGATTGACAAAAAAAAAAAAAGGCCAACACTAACATGACAAAATTATCTAATGTATAACACATTCTACTTTCCTAACCCAAACTTCTTTTAAAGAATGCCCACAGAAAGCACCAGCTGGGCACCGGGGACTCACGCCTATAATCCTAGCTACTCAGGAAGCTGAGACCTGAGGATCATGGTTTGAAGACAGACCTGTCCAAGAGACTCTCATTTCCAATTAATCAGCAAAATGCTGGAGGTGGAGGTGTGATAAAACAGCAGCCATTCTTGCCCATGTAATTGTAACCTCTCTACACGGTATTTTCACAATTTAAAAACAAACAAAAACATCAGCCGTGAGTGGAAAAAGACCGTGAGCCTGGTTTTCCTCAGTTCCACACGTGTTCATTCTGTACGTGTGTGTGTGTGTGTGTGTGTGTCAGCCCTGCGGTCTTCTATTGAACCGGCGTTAGGAGACCGTGAGCCAGCGAGAAGGTCAGGGGGCCAAGATCGCAGGGCAGGGCAGGGCAGGGCAGGGCAGGCCAGGGCAGGGCAGGGGAGGGCAGGGCAGGGCAGGGCAGGGCAGGGGGTGCGAGCAGCTGCGATTCCACTTGGAGGACACGGGCCTGGGTGGCAAGCAGCCGCGCTGCCCCTTCCTGGGAGTTAGCGAAGTTTCAATTCTCTGGATTTCAGCACCACTGTCCTAGCCTAGAGGATGACCGGCCTGGACCAGTCCACAGCCAGCAGGGGCCTCCCAGGCCGGTCACCTGAGAGGCGGCGCTCACGGCCTCGATGGCGCACTTCTCGAAGCTCCTGGCCACGCTGTCATTGCCCACAGCGTCGTCCCAACGAGTTTTACAGAAGATGGCAATCTGGAAGAGTGGCCGCTCCTGCAGCACAGAGGGGAAACTGAGGCCCAGCTGCTGCGGAGGGGCCCACGCTCCCCCTGCCCTGCCACCCCATCTGGACGGTTCCCACCACTGAGACCCCTCCCGTCCCACCCCCAACCAGGGCAAAAGCGTGTATTTAAAAACAAAGTAAAATTTAAAAAAGGTTAAGTTTGAGAAATCAGTTACTTTCTGTGCTTCTGTTTCTTCCCTGCCCCCCAGAAACAACCCATTGGGTAAGTATATAGAATTGTCTCATCTCATATAAAAACCAGCTTGAGGTGGGCACCGTGACCCTAGCTACTCAGGAAGCTGAGATCAGAGGATCGCGGTTCAAAGCCAACCCCGGGTAGGAAGGCCTGTGAGACTCTTATCCCCAACAAACCATCAGAAAACCGAAGTGGTGCTGTGGCTCAAGTGGTAGAGCGCTCGCCTTGAGCTGAAGAGCTGAGGGACAGAACCCAAGCCCAGAGTTCAAGCTCCACGACCGACAAAAAAAACAAAACCAAAAACAGTTCTGCGCGGGTCCTAGGCCTTCATTCTAAATGAAGAGTGCTTCTGGTGGGCATTACTGAGGTTCCGGCCACTGAGGCTTTGGGTCTCGGGCCATGTCTCTGGTGTGACAAGAACTCATTCCCTTGTGGGCCTCACCCGTCACACTCGGGCTGTGAGAGCCCATCGAGGGACTGAAGAGCAGCCAACCTCGACCCCGTGCCCGGGACGGTCAGCCCGTCCACGCAACGCGCCGTTCATGGACCTCTGTTGTTACCAGGGTCGGGCTTCATCGGGGCTCCTTCAGCCCCAGAGGGGCGGGCCCAACCTCAGTACCTGCTTGAGCCTCTCCTCCATGAGCGTCAGCAGTGCGTCCTTCCAGCCGTACTCCTCAGGAAAGTCGATGTCCACCAGCCGCTGCCATATCTGCAAAAGCCACGCCGAGTGATCAGCCCCGGGACAGCCAAGAGCCGCTGCCACAGGGAGAAGGAAGTGGAAAGACAGATGGACGGCCAGATGGCCAGCCACAGTATGGGAAAGACAGATGGACAGATGGCCAGCCACGAGGCTGCCGGGGGGGTTGAGGTGGGAGGGTATTCGCACCCAGGATGGCCTGGGCAAAAATGAAACCGGACAGACAGATACCTGGGCTCTGTCTCGTCTCTGGCTGCAGTGAGCTGTGTCAGGGGCAAATCAGGGCAGAGGCCTCCACCTGGCCAGGCCACCACTTCCTCCCCAGTGCCACTGGCTTTGGCTCTGCAGATTCCCCACTAGTGTCCACTTTGAACAATTCCCCACATACGGAAGAGAATTCCCCACCCATGAAAGCTGCCAGAATAGCAAACAACCCCTGTCCTCGGACGGCGACGCCCTGAGGTTCAATCACCTGTCACGATGACATTCCCACACACAGCACACATCCACACCATGCGCACACACATACACGCGCACACACGTGTGCACCACGCTCTTCACTGCAGAACCACTCAAGACAGCTGCGACCTCACACCGCTTGCTGCTGTGCACCTGAGCCCGTGTCCCCCTGCGGCCCTCGGGCCACGTGTACACACGTCCACCCTGCGCCCTGCCTGCCTGCCTCCGGGAGGCAGCTGGCTACCTGCATTAGCAATCCCTTCTCTTTTCTAGAAAATCTCTGCCTGCCTCTGTACAGCCTGCCTGCCTGCCTTCTTTCCCTCTCTCCTTCCTTCCTCCTTTCCTTCCTTCCCTCCCTCTTTCCTTTTCTTCTTCCTCCTTTCCCTCCCTTCCTTTTCTTCCTTCCTTCCTTATCTTCCTCCTTTCCTTCTCTCCCTCCCTGCCTTCTTTCCTTCCTCCCTTCTTCCTTTTTCTTTCCGGGCTATTTTGCAGATTGCCTCTTGATCTAACTTACTCCCTGTGATGAACACCACTAGGTTAGACACACAGAGAAGCACTTTTGTAGGTTGGGGGTGGTCAAGTATCCACACCTTCCCACGGCTGCCCGCCTGCGCACCTCTGGCCGCTGCTGCCCTCGGAGCCCGGGCTGAGGAGCCCGTCAGGCCTGTCTGCTGTTGGCTGACGGCCGGGGACGTGGTGAAGGCCGCATCCACCTGATTGCTCTGCAGTGAACATGCTCTCTTCCCCTAGTATCACACTGTAATCTGCCACAGGACCTGGTGCCCTGGTGGACGGGGTGCCCTGAGAAGTCTGCCCGTTGGCTTGAGATCACATCCCAACCACTGGCCTACTCTGGCAGGGACTGCCTGGCCTAGGACAAACTTCTTCTACATGGCGGCACTGACTTAAATAGGCCTTTCTTTTCTATCTTTACCTCTAAAACACTAGATTCAAAGTATCAGTAAGTTTTCATCCATTCCCTATGTAGGTTAATATTCAAATTGCCCCAGATTTGAATAATAAGAGTGTCATCAATATATATACTTATTTTTGTACTGGTCCTGGGGGCTTGAATTCAGGGCCTGGGCGCTGTCCATAAGCTTATCTGCTCAAGGCTAACTCTCTACCACTTGAGCCACAGATCCACTTTCCGCTTGTTGTTATGTAATTGGAGATGAGGTAACACGGCTTACTTCTAGCTCGTTGGGGTAAGCGAACTGCACCTCGGATCCCCATCCCTGTTCCTGTAACATTTTGCATACGAATGCCTGGCTCAGCCAGAGCCTGGTGGTGTCCAGGGCTTGCTGGATTGCTGTTGTCACGGAGACACTGGTGGCTTCAGCTTCTTCCCCCGTCACCTGGTCCTGTGGACAAAGATCGGGTTGACTCTGCGGCCCCAGGCCTGCTGCTCCCTCCCGCCATCTAGGACAAGCACTTGGTGTCTGGGCTGCTCCCCTACCCCACCCCCGAAGCCACTAGAACATCCTTGATGCTCAGACCCAAAGCGAGCATGGAACATGACCGGCTGAGCCTACCCCCTACTCCAACCCAGCTTCGTAAGCGGAAGCTGCACACGGTCCTGTGCGTCTCCTGGGCACAGGAGGAGCTCCATTAACTCACGCACTTACCGCCACAAGCGACACAATGACAGAGAGGATCTGAGCGGACAAGGTGGGTATCTCGAACAAATTCCGCAGCTTGGTCTTCTGGCAGACGATGCGGTGGAGCTGCAGGCCCACAGCCAAGGAGGACTGGGAGGGGGTCTGCCCAAGAGCCCTGCCACACACGGGAGAGGATCAAGTCAGGGAACCCCTGGCCGTGACCCGGCCTGCCCGGGAAAGGCCTAAGGGCAGGCACGTGGGACTTCCTTTAGGTTAACACCTGAACATTTCCCATCAGTCTTGAACTCATGACCCATGTAGAAAGAAAACAAGATTCTTTACTTATTGCCAATCCTGGGGCTTGAACTCAAGGCCAGGGCGCTGTCCCTGAGCTTCTTTTGCTCAAAGCTAGCGCTCTACCACTTGAGCCACAGCACCATTTCTGGCTTTCTCTGTCTATTGATGAATTGAACCCAGGGCTTCACACATGCTAGGCAAGCACTCTACCACTGAGCCACCTTCCCAGCCAACAAGGTTCTTTTAATGTGTATCCAGTCTAAACTAAAAAAAAAGTCTAGGGGGCTGGGAAGGTGGCTCAGTGGTAGAGCGCTTGCCTTGCATGCAGAAGGCCCTGAGTTCGATTCCTCAGCACCACATAAGCAAAAAGAAACAAACCAGAAGTGGCACTATGGCTCAAGTGGTAGAGCGCTAGCCTTGAGCTGAAGAGCTGAGGGACAGCGCCCAGGCCCAGAGTTCAGGCCCTGCGACTGGACACAAAAATAAAATAAAATAAAATAAAATAATAAAAAGTCTAGAATGTGTATTACTAATTGTTAAGATACTATACAAATTTTGGGGGAAAAAACATTCAGAGAAATATGGGAAGGAGACACAGGGAGGGGGGAAGAATAAGAAATGGGGGGATACCTGAGGATCACAGTTCAAAGCCAATCCAGATAGACAAGCCCATGAGACTCTTCTTCCCAGTTAACTACCCAAAAAGTCAGAAGTGGTGCTGAGGCTCAAGAGGGGAAGAGCTAACACTGAGCAAAAAAGCTTAGGGATGGTGCCCAGCCCTTGGGTTCAAGTCTAAGACTGGCACACACACACACACACCTGTGAGACTAGAACATGTCAGAACACATTCTACTTGTAGAATTTCTCCATCTCCAGGTCTGGTGCTTCCTGACCCACAGGTCAGGCATGGACAGGAGTGGACATGTACATGCCAATGGACCCCAGACCCGGGCAGTGCCACCTACATCATGAACGGTCCTGAGATGCAGGTGTGGGAACCACAAGCCAGTGCTGACAATGTCCCCAAACTCCCTCCAGGTTGCATTTATGTGCATTTTGTTTGTAAAGGTGCAGGAGAAATTTATTTCAGACAATTGTGCAAAGTTATCTTTGATTTTTCTTTTAAACTGACCTGACTTAAAAAGAATACGAAACTCAGCCGGGCGCTGGTGGCTCACGCCTGTAATCCTAGCTACTCAGGAGGCTGAGATCTGAGGATCGCGGTTCAAAGCCAGCCCGGGCAGGAAAGACCGTGAGACTCCTATCTCCAATAAACCACCAGAAAACCGGAAGTGGCGCTGTAGCTCAAGTGGTAAAGCACTCGCCTTGAGCTGAAGAGCTGAGGGACAGCGCCCAGGCCCAGAGTTCAAGCCCCACGTCCGACAAAAAAAAAAAAAAAAGAATACGAAACTCAATATTATAGCTAGGAACCCGTGGCTCATGCCTGTAATACTAACTTCTCAGAAAGCTGACATTTGAGGCTCACACTTCAAAGCCAGCCTAGGCAGAAAAACCCAATTAACCAGCAAAAATCCTTAGAAGCAGAGGTGTGGATTGAGGGGAGGAACACCAACTGTGCACAGAAAAGCCAAGTGAGAGCACAAGGCCTTAAATTCAAGTGCCAGTGCCGATAAAAGCAAAACAGCCAACAAATCTGCCATGTTAGCCCTGCCCAGTGGCTAATTTACATCCCCCCCCCCCCCCTTTTTTGTGGTCAGTCATGAGGCCTGAACTCTGGGCCTGGGCGCTGTCCCTCAGTTCTTCAGCTCAAGGTGAGCGCTCTACCACTTGAGCCACAGCGCCACTTCGGCTTTTTCTGCTTATGTGGTGCTGAGGAATCAAACCCAGGGCCTCATGCATGCGAGGCAAGCGCTCTACCACTGAGCCAGCCCCGGGTGACTGTACTTTAGATGTGTTCGCGTTTGTGTGTCCTTCAGCGGATCAGGCTGCCAGCCTTCAGCTGCTGCTTGTCCCTGTGTTCTCCTTACACTAAGCAGTCCCTGTGCTGTGGCGCTCTGCCCTTCTGTCTGCACATCTGCCGGATTTCCTCTGTACCACCTATTTTGGATCTTCTTGTGTGCTTGTGGTTCCCATGATTGTTGGAAACAATCTGTAGTTGGTTTTTTTTTTGTCGTGGGGCTTGAACTCTGGGCAGGGCCTGGGCGCTGTCCCTCAGCTCTTCAGCTCAAGGTGTGCACTCTACCACTTGAGCCACAGCGCCACTTCCGGCTCTTTCTGTTTATGTGGTGCTGAGCAATGGAACCTAGGGCCTCATACATGCAAGGCAGGCGCTCTACCACTGAGCCACCTTCCCAGCCTCTATACCATACTTTTATAACGTTGAACATTTCATATGAAATAAATTATACGCAAAAGAAATTCTGAAGCTGGGTGCTGGTGGCTCACGCCTGTAATCCTGAGGAGGCTGAGATCTGAGGATCGTGGTTCAAAGCCAGCCCAGGCAGGAAAGACTGTGAGACTCCTATCTCCAATAAACCACCATAAAACTGGAAGTGGCGCTGTAGCTCAAATGGTAAAGCACTCGCCTTGAGCTGAAGAGCTGAGGGACAGTGTCCAAGCCCAGAGTTCAAGCCCTACGACCAACCAAAAAAAAAAAAAAGAAAGAAACTCTGGGTCTTTAAGAAATTCAGGATGAAAACATAAATCTGTATCTTAAACATAAACAATGAGCCTGTTAAGGTAAGTTAAAAAATGCATAGGAAAAGTAAATAAGGAAAAGAAAATCTTAGCAGCCGACTGACATTATCCATCTCCCCTGCCTTTTTGTCGGTTGTGGGGCTTGAACTTTGGGCCTGGGTGCTGTCCCTCAGCTCTTCAGCTCAAGGCAAGCACTCTACCACTTGAGCCACAGTGCCACTTTCGGTTTTCTGGGGGTTTATTGGAGATAAGAGTCTCTCAGACTTTCCTTCCTGGACTGGCTTCAAACTGCGATCCTCAGATCTCAGCCTCCTGAGTAGCTGGGATTACAGGCATGAGCCACCAGCACCAGCTCCGCCCTCCCCCACTTTTGAAGTTGGACGACAAACTGAATAACTGGATAAGAAACTGAAAGGTGCACTGGTTTATGACTTCCCCAATCAAACTGGAGCCAGCAGTACACCACAGCGACCACAGGAGGCGCTGTGGTCAGATCCCCACAGGACCACGCACACAGCGGCTCTTCTACTTACGAGTGCTGATAAATGTCCAGGAGGTTCAACAGCATATTCAAAACAGCCTTGACATCCTAGGGCCAGGGAGAGGAGAGAAACAGCACAACTTAACAGCACCGCAGGGTGTCACAAGGCTACGTAAGCCCAGAGCGGTAACTCATTTATTCCCTGTCTAACCAACACTGTCCTCAGGGTACACAGGTACCAATCTGTCTTTCACCAAGAAAATTCAGGTTGTAAATTCTATCATCATTTTTAGTGGAGGCTGAAGGGTCAGGATGTTGGTTCAAAGCAGCCCAGGTGGGAAAGTCTGTGAGACTCATCACCAATCAAGCCAGAGATGGAGCTGTGGTTCAGCTAGTAGTACACTAGCCTTGGGCACAAAAGCTCAGAGACCAAAAAAACAAACAAACAAAAAGCAGAAGCAGAGCAGTAGCTCAAGTGATAAAGCGCTTGCCCTTGAGTGTAAAAGCCCAGATCCTTAGTTCAAGTCCTAAGACGAGCCAACACACACACACACACACACACACACACACACACACACACACACACACACACACACACACACACACACACACACACACACACGCCGAGATAAGAATCTACATCTATGTTTTTACAGGGCTGGGGATGGAACACAGGCCTTCAAAGAGCTTGGTGAGCACTCCACTGCGAGTCCTACCCACGGCCCTCCGGCACTTAGCTTCCCACCTCTTTTGCTGAGCAGGCCTTGTCTGCCTCCACACACACACCTTCATGTTCAGGGGAGCGATCTCTCGGAGTCTTTGCAGCTGGTAATGCGCCCCCACCAAACAGTCGAAGACTTGAGCTGGCTCCTGAGTCAGGTACTCAATGGTGTCTCCCATGTAGTCAGCCAGCTTTCCCAGAGGCAGCAGACTGAACCAGGATCGGAAGAGGTACGCGTCCACCTGCAGCAGGTATTTGTGGTTCACTGTGAACCAAAGCATATGTTTCCTAAGGAGAGAATGTCAGGCAGCCGTGAGTGACAATAAAGTAAAACACAGCCATAAGAGAAAAAAAAAAAATCCCAGGCTTTAATGCCTCCTGGGAAAAAAAATCACAAATCCAAGGAAAAGCAAACAGCGACACACTAAAACATTACCCACCCAAACCTGTCATCCTAGCTATCTGGGTGACAGGGATTGCAGTTCAAGACCAGCCGGGGAACAAAGGTCCTTGAGCCCCCGCCACAACCACAGGCTGAGCTCAGGCATCTGAGGCTGCCCTCCTCAGCACAGGTGGGAAAATCGCAGCCCAGCCAGTCCACACTTGAGAGACCTCACCTCAAAGATCACCAGTGCCAGCTGGGCACACCTAAAATCCTAGCTATTCGGCAGGCTGAAATCTGAGGATCCAAGTTTGGAGCCGGCCTAGCCAAGAGACTCTTATCTCCAGTTAACCAGCAAAAAAGGTGGGACTGGAGGTGTGGCTCAAATGGTAGAGTGCCAGCTTTGAGCACAACAAATAAGGGACTGAGCCCAGGCACTGAGCTCAACCCCAGGACCAATACAAAAAAAAAGAAAAAAAGCCAGGCCTGGGGATGCACAGCCTGGCGGAGCCCTTCCTGGGGCATTCCCCAAGACAGTGCATACAAAAAAAAAAAAAAAGCCCAGAAACCAGGCCTGTGGTAAGTTGTTAGCTACGCCCTGGATTAAACCATTCAGAAGACCGGCCCCGTGGGCTGCAGATCTGTACTGAACACCCCAAAGACTGGGAACACACAGAGTAAGGAAGAGACAGAGGCTACGAAAAATACCAAGGAAGGCTCCTGTTCTTTGTCTTTCCTTAGTGTTCGTGGTGCTGGAACTCAAGGCATCACACAGGCTGGGCGGGTGTGCAGCCTCTGAACACGCCCAGCACCTTCACCTTCCTACAGCGGTCACCCAGCCAGCACCAACAGCTTCCCCTCGCTCCTCTCTGTCTCCCCCCTCTCTCCATCTCTCTGCCTCTCTCTCCTCCCTCTCTGACTCTCTGTCTCTTTTCCTCCTCTCTCTCTCTCTGCTTCTCTCTATTTCTTTCTCTCTCTCTCTGCCAGTCCAGGGACTTGAACCCTGGGCCTAGGCACTGTCCCTGAGCTTCTTTTACTCAAGGCTAGTGCTCTACTACTCAAAACTACAGTGTCACTACATCCAACTGTTGCCAAGTAGCTTATTGGAGATAAAAATCTCACAGGTTTTCCTGCCCAGGCTGGCTTCACACTGTCATCCTCAGATCCCAGCCTCTTTATTATTATTATTTTTTGTCAGTTGGGGGACTTGAACTCAGGGCCTGGGCGGTCTCCCTGAGCCTCTCTCGGCTCAAGGCTAGTGCTCTATCATTTGAGCTACAGAGCCACTTCTGGTTTTCTGGTGGAGATTAACTGGAGGTAAGAGTCTCAGGGACTTTCATGACCAGGCTGGTTTCGAACCGTGATCCTCGGAGTAGCTGGGATGACAGGCGTGAGCCACGGGTGGCTGGACTGACCAACAGCTGCATTTGTTCTAGACAGATGCGTATCTTTGAAGGGCATTTGAAACAGATCAAGAAATCATTCTGATTTGGCTTAAATTTCATAAGATTCTAATACTAGTGAAGAAACAAGAATCCCCTTTAGCGCACGGCTTTACTCCAAAACTCTGCAGGTTCCTAGTGGATTTGGGGGCAAGCAGTAAAACACTGAACACATCCCTAGCCTCTCCACCCTTCTCTTGCTATATAGCCCAGGCTGGCCGTGAACGTAAGATCCTCCTGCCTCAGCCTCCACAGACCTGCAATTATAAGACTGCACCTCCATATGCAGTAACACATGTGCTTTGAACACTGTGAGATGGGGCCAGGGGGGTCAGCTCAACACCTCCCCCCACCCCAACAGCACGGGGCAGCCTGCACAGAACAATCTGGTCACATAAGTGCAGCAAGACTGAGGTTCAGAAACCATGTCTGCAAGTCACAGGAGGCAACTCTGTAACCTGACCTCCTGCAGGCTCACTGTGCGCATTACATCCACATGAGTTTGGGAGTTTGGGGTTTTTTTTTTGCTGGTCCCAGGACTTGAACTCAGGACCTGGGCACTGTCCCTGACCTTTTGTGCCCATGGCTAGTGCTCTACCACTTGAGCCATACCTCTACTTCTGGCTTTTTGGTGGTTCATTGGAGATAAGAGTCTCACGGACCTTCCTGCCCGGGCTGGCTTTGAACTGTGATCCTCAGATCTCAGCCTCCTGAGTAGCTAGGATGACAGGCGTGAGCCACCAGCACCGGGCACATTCACATGTTTTATAACAAAACTCCCAAATTCTTCATCTTCAAGTAGTTTGATTTAAAAAAAAAGTAGAGAAACTGATGTAGATGAGCAAAATGTTCCCTTCCAGTATGATTTTACAGTGATATCATACAATTGAAAATCTGTGAGTGACTAAATCGGTTTAACTCTGAGGGGCTGGGGGCAGCTCAGTGGTCCAGTCTTGACCTGGCATGTACACCAGGGTGGTTCCTGTTCCAATGTTCAGGACCGCAAAGAGGTGAGAACGGGGTATCTATCTAGCTGATCCCCAAAAACTCCAGCATCTAAGTTTTCCCAAAGACTTTCCTATCACAGTTCTCTGTCGTAAAGGTACGGGCATTTTACAAAAAGCCTTACCAGTTGTGCTTGTACGACTCTGTGCCATAGAACATAAACAGAGGCAGAGAAAAATGTAAGAAAATGCAAGCACCACAGGATGCACATGGCTCACGCCTGTCATCCTACCTACTCAGGAAACACAGACCTGAGGATTGCAGTTCAAAGCCAGCCTGGGCAGGAAAGTCAGTGAAACTGTTTTTTGTTTGTTTGGTTGGTTGTGGGGCCTGAACTCTGGGCCTGGGCGCTGTCCCTCAGCTCTTCAGCTCCAGGCTAGCACTCTACCACTTGAGCCACAGCGCCACTTCTGGCTTTTTCTGCTTATGTGGTGCTGAGGAATTGAACCCAGGGCCTCATGCATGCAAGACAAGCACTCTACCATTGAGCCACCTTTCCAGCCCTGTGAAACTGGTATCTCCAATTAATCACCAGAAAACCAGAAGTGGAGCTGTGGCTCAAAGTGGTGGAGCACTCACTCACCTTGAGCAAACAAACAAACAAATGAAAAAGAGGACAGCGCCCAGGCCCTGAAATCAAGCCCCACGATGGGGAGAAGAAGGGAAAACCAAATTTGAAATGGGCCCAAACCCAGGGCAGAACTGGCTACATTAGCAGCACACTCTCCAAACAGAACACAAGGCCAGGTCATCCTGAGCCCCTCAGAGCGTTCTGACATGGAATGCGAACGCAGGGGAACACCCACGGTGTACACCGAGGAAGCAGCGGACGATTGGTCGCTGCAGTTCACGTGCGCAGAACCACGTCTGCACCAGGAGGTTCCCCAGGCTCCCTGCTCATTCCTCCTCTCTACAGAGCCCTGCTTCCCCAATCTGAACATTATTAATAATGTTACTGTGATTTCTTCTGTCACCAGGGGCAAGGAGTCTGCCATGAGAGTCCACAGGGCTCTGAAAAGCAAAGCCTAAGAATCTCCAGTGGCTCACACCTGGAATCCTAGCTACCCAGGAGGCTGACACCTAAGAATCCGGGTTCAAAGCCAGCCTGGGTGGGAAAGTCCATGAGATTCTCACTTCTCATTAACCACCATAAAGCCAGATGTGTAGCTATGGCTCAAGTGGTAGAGCCATAGCTCTATTTTTCCAAAGTGGAAAAGTCAAACAAGAACACCAGGTCTTGAGTTCAAGCCCCAGTGCCGTGCCGTGGTCCGAGGAGAGCTGTGTACGCGCTCCACTACTTACTGATAGTCGTCGTGGTCCCAAGGCTGCGGGAAGGGGATCCCTCTGAGGGCCGCCCAGGTCTCCTCCGACTGGCTCAGGACGTCCCTTCTGGGCGGCGACAGCTGCATGACGTAGTGCAGGACAGGCAGGATGCCCAGCCCACAGACCACCTTCTCCTCCACACACCTCTTGCACAGGTTCTGCAGCCAGTCCTGCCACCTGCCAGGGAAGGAACGGGGGCCCTCAGAGAGCTTGAACAGGCGGGACAGGCCTGCCAGGCGGTCTGAGGCCACAGCCTGCACAGGAGTCGCACACCGGATGCGTGTGGACAGGAAAGGCAGGGAGCCAGGACACCCTGGGCCTGCTCCTCGTCCTCACGACATCCTGGGCCCTGGCTGAATCCCCATGACGGGCTTTGCCTACTCCAAACGCACTGGGGAGCACCAAGGCTCATGGGCCAGATTAAGGAGTCACCACGGGGGGGCTGGGAAGGTGGCTCAGTGGTAGAGTGCTTGCCTTGCATGAGGCCCTGGGTTTGATTCCTCAGCAACACATACACAGAAAAAGCCAAAAGTGGCACTGTGGCTCAAGTGGTAGAGTGCTAGCCTTGAGCTGAGGGACAGTGCCCAGGCCCAGAGTTCAGGCTCCACAAACCCCCGCAAAAAAAGGAGTCATCATGGGGCCCTGGAACCCGGGGTGTGTGTGTGTGTGTGTGTGTGTGTGTGTGTGTCTGTCTGTCTGTCTGTCTGTCTGTCTTGTCTGTGGGGGTGTATGTCTGTGTCTGTCTGTCTTGTCTCTGTGTGTGTGTGTGTGTGTGTCTCTGTCTGTCTGTCCGTCTTGTCTGTTTGTGTGCATGTGCCAGCCTGGGGGCTTGAACTCAGGGCCTGGGCAATGTCCTTTATCTTTTGTGCTCAAGGCTAGTGCTCTTCTACTTGAGCCACAGCTCCACTTCTGGCTTTTTGGTAGTTAATCAAAGATGAGTTTCAGGGACTTTGCTGTCCCAGCGGGCTTTGAACCTCTCTCCTCAGATCTGTCTCCTGAGTAGCTGGGATGACAGGCGTGACCACCAGTGCCCGGCTGAAGCAGCATTTTAAACAGAAGAGATGGAATGTTTCCTCCGGCTGTGGACTGCCAATGCTTCTGAACCCCACGCGCCCCCCGTGGGGGGCCCACGCACCCCCACCGCTACACCTCCTGGGCTGCAGAATTCACACAAGGTGGGAAGGTAAAACACAGGCGACCCACAGGCCAGTGCCGGCCAGGATCAGTCAGGAAAGGCGGCCATATCATCACAGCTACAGACAAGGCTAAGAACAGTCCCTGCCCTGCAGGCCCACAGGGTCAGAAGACCCTCCTGCCACGGCACAAGCCAATGCCATCTGTCACCCCAGCTACTCAGGAGGCTGAGATCTGAGGATCGAAGTTCAACGCCAGCCCAGGGCGGGAAAAGTCCATGAGACTCTTACCTCCCTATTAACCAATCAAAGGCCAGAAGTGGAGCTGTGGCCCACCTGGTAAAATGTTAGCCTTGCTTGAGTGAAAAAGCTATGGGACAGCGCCCGGGCCCTGAGTTCAAGTCCCAGGTCTGGCATACCCAGGCAGAGGTGGAAGCAGCAGCTGGTGGCCTGCGCCGATGCCCACTGACACACGGGAGGCTGCGCGGGACACAGGGAGCCTCGTAGGACTGCTTTTCACCTTTGTAACTTTTCGATGTAGGGTTTGGCTGTGTGGCCCAGGTTGGCCCCGAACCTCTGAGCTCTACCCGTCCTTCTGAGCAGCTGGAACTGCACGTGTGTGCCACCACGCTACACCATGGGGCTTGCAGGGTATTTGGGAGAACATAGAATAGAACATCAAGCTGGGTGCCGGTGGCTCACGCTTATATTCCTAGCTACTCACGAGGCTGAGATCTGAGGATTGTGGTTCAAAGCCAGCCTGGGCAGGAAGTCCATGCAACTCTTATCTCCAAAAAACCACTAGAAAACCAGAAGTGGCTCTGTGGCTTAAGTGGTAGAGCACTCGCCTTAAGCTGAAGAGCGCAGGGACAGCGCCCAAGACCTGAGTTCAAGCCCCACGACTGACCAAAAAAAAAAACAAGAATAGGGCTGGGAAGTTGGCTCAGTGGTAGAGCACTTGCCTTGCATGCTCGAGGCCCTGGGTTCGATTCCTCAGCACCACATAAGCAAAAAGAAAAAAGCCGGAAGTGGTGCTGCGGCTCAAGTGGTAGAGTGCTAGCCTTGAGCTGAAGAGCTTAGGGACAGTGCCCAGGCCCAGAGTTCAGGCCCCACGACCCGACCCAAAAAAAAAAAAAAAAAAACAAGAATAGAACATCAAAAGTGAGCTGGGTGTCGTGGTACATGCCTGTAGTCTCAGCCCCACTGGCTGAGACTGGAGGGTCGGGAGCTTGAGTCCAGTTTGGATACAGAGTGAGTTCCAGACAGCCCTGAGTTGTATCGCAAAACTCTACCTTGAAAATAATAGGGCTGGGAAGGAAGCTCAGTGGTAGAGTGCTTGTCTGGCATGCATGAAGCCCTGGGTTCGATTCCTCAGTACCACATACACAGAAAAAGCCAGAAGTTGCGCTGTGGCTCAAGTGGTAGAGCGCTAGCCTTGAGCTGAAGAGCTGAGGGACAGCACCCAGGCCCAGAGTTCAGGCCCCATGACTGGCAGAAAAACAACAACAAACCAAGCATACCTCGGGAATGTGTCAAGAATGTGCTGCAGGTCGTTGCGAAGGGCCTCTAGGGAGGAGTCGGTGGGGACAAGGAGCTGGCAGAGCAAGGCCAGGTCACTCTTGGCCAAGGTCAAGTTCATGGTTTTCACTTGGAAAAGCACGATCAGGCCCATCCTAAGTCTTCTCTGCACCGGTAAGTCTTGGGGCAGTGAGTCTTTGCTCCTTTCTTCTAGAAATGGTTTCATCTGCCTCTCCAAACATTCCCACAGGTGTTTCTTCACCTGATCCCAGAAGGAATGGAGATGAGTGAGCTCCCCAGGGGAGCAGGCCTCAAGCCGCATGACAGCTATGGGGAGGCCCAGGGCCGCAGGGCAGGGAAAGCTAGCTCGGCAGAGCCGCCCCTTCCTCCCCACTGCAGGCCAAGCCTGGGGGTGGGAGGGTCTCTGTCCAAATAGATGCAATGGGGGGTTCCACCATCCAGCCACTCAGCCCCAGGCAAGGTGAAAATCGGGCCCAACATTGGGCTTGGGGCTCAGAGCTGTCCCCGGAGTCAGCATGGGGAGGGAGGGGATTTCCTGATGGAAGATGGCAGGGTCTCCTCGTCCACCACGCCTGGCGCCCAGGTCCCGCCCCGTGGAGACTCCGTACCTCCCACTCATCATACTGCAGCGAAGTCCAGGGCTCCGGCGCCTCCTCATACACCATAGACACCCGGACGACGGAGAAAAACTGCTGGAACTGGGTGAAGAAGCTCTGCAGGTTGACCAGGCTCCAGGTCTGCAGGATGCTGAGGACGCGGTCCAGCATGACGGCGGCCGCGATCTGCTTCCCCCGCACCAGCTCCTTCTGAGACTGGTCTATGACCAGGTTTACGGTCTTCCTCACCCACGTAGGGTTCGTGCACACGATGTCATCGTACTGGTGCCAGTCTGCGAGTTACGGCAGGAGCCTCGTCAACCCACAGGCGAGGAGGGGGCGGGGAAGAGGACACTGGCCAGCATGCACTCCGTCCACCACCAGCGGCGGGCAGCCCAGAAGGCCATGGGCGCCACGTGCTCCGCACGCGCTCACCACGCTCTGCACCTACACAGCGGCCCTGGCCTGCACTCTGCGCTGCAACACTGAGGCCCTGCCCCCGCCCCCCAGGACAGCCGGGCCTTGGTGGGGGCCTGGTACAAAGGAGAGCTGAGTTTGGGGCTGCCTTGGGATGGGCTGGAGAAGATTCGAGTGCAGGTTCTAGTGATGTCAACCATGAAACAACCAGAAAGCCAAAGTGTGGTCTGATGAGTTCTCTCTCTGTCTCTCTCTCTCCCTCTCTCCTTCTTCCTCTCCCCCTCTCTCTCAATGAGTTCTCTCTCCCCTCCCCCGTCTCCCTCTCCCTGTCCTTCCTCTCCCTCTCCTACCATCTCTCTCTCACACACACACACCAGTCATAGATAAGAAAACCAAAGCCACAGCCAGACCTATGGGGGGCGCTGTTCCCGCACCAGCAGCACCGAGGCCTCAGGCTCACCCCTGACCAGTGATGGCTGACATGGGACAGGCCCCCTGACTCCCTGTGACTTGGCTTCAGCCCAGGGTCTCCTGACCCCAACCCGAGCAGAAATTCCATTCTTCTGGTGGCATATCCACCCCCCACCCCTCCTCGTTAAAGCTGAAGTGCTCGGCACAAGCCAGCCAGGCGTCTCGGAACTGCGTTTAATCAGAGACAGTCTGCTCCGAGCTACTCGGACAGGAGGCAGGGAGGACCCCCGGACTTTGAGGCCAGCCTGGGGAACACCAAAGGACAAGAAGAAAGAAGAAAGGAGAAGGCACTAAATAAAAACCCAAACTTGGGAAATTCAGTAGGATGGTCTTTGTCCAAGGTATATGAGGGATACCACCCTACAACCCTCTTCTGTGTCTGTTCTTGATTTAACAATGAAAATAATGCACAAGCCTAGGCGCCAGCAGCTCACACCTGTCATCCTAGCTACTCAGGAGGCTGAGATCTGAGGATCACCTGTTTGAAGCCAGCCCGGGTAGGAAACGTCATGAGACTCTGATCTCTAATGAACCACCAGAAAAGCACCAGAAGTGATGCTGTGGCTCAAGGTGATAGAGCACTAGCCTCGAGCAAAAGAGCTCAGGGACGGTGCCCAGGCCCTGAGTTCCAGCCCCATGACCGACAAAAAGTAAACGAATAAAATAATAATAGTGAACAGCCAGGCTCTGGTGGCCTATAATCCTAGCTACTCAGGAGGCTAAGATAGGAAGATCATACTTCAAAACCAGCCTAGACAGACAAAACCTGTGAGACTCTTTTTTTCTCTCAAGTACTGAGTTTGAGTCCTGGTTTCAGACAGAAAGAACAAGAGAAAGAGAGAGAAAGGAGAGGGAGAGAGAGAGAGAAGGAGAGAGGGGGAGAGGGAGGGAGGGAGGGAGAGATGGAGGGAGGGAGGGAGAGATGGAGGGAAGGAGGGAGACAGCAGCAGTGCCAGAGGCTCTAGAACATTTGCCAGGATGTCTTCTCTCCTCTATCTCATCTACAGTCTCTGTCTACACTCCTGGAAGAGCAGCCCAGAGGCCCTCGCCCACCTGCTCACCTTCTCACCGCCCCGCCCTTCCTGCACCTAGCTCCCTCCCTTTCCCTTGGCCACAGAGGCCCGCACAGACCGCCCGTCCTCCTTCCCAGCCGGGCCCTGTGCTGGAGCTCACCTCCCGAGCCCAGGAGGGTGGACCGCACACGCAGGCAGCGGTTCACATACTGGCTCTTCTTTGGAGACTTGTAGATGTACTCGTATTCCACGGAGCTCTTGCCACCTCGGTCAACGACGTACTTGTACGGGATGGAGGTGTCCAGGCTCTGCCTGGGGATGACCAGGCTGCCCTCCACCAGAGACCCATGCTCCCCCAAGTCCCTGTGGGTCAACAGGACAAGGGCGATTATCTAATCCCACTCTTCCTCTGTGTGTGTGTGTGCACGCGTGTGAGCGTGTGTGCTGGGCCTGGGACGTGAACTCAGGGCCTGGGCGCTGTCCCAGAGCTTTTTCGCTCAAGGCGAGCGCTCTTCCACTTGAGCCACGGGGCCAGCTCTGGCTTTTTGGTAGTTCATTGGAGATAAGCATCTCACCAGCTTTCCGCCCAGGCTGGCTTTGAATTGTGATCCTCAGATCCCAGCCTCCAGAACAGCTGGGATCACGGGCGTGAGCCACCCGCGCTGGGATCCGTGCACACACCAGAGATGGCAGGCACAGCCGTCACTGACACGTCACACACAGCCTGGCAGCTCCCAGCCGGCACTGAGAACCCGAGTCGACGTGGCAAGCCCATGCTGCGAAGCGCCAGCCTGCCCCATGCATTTCCCAGAAGTCTGGGGGGCATCGGCCGGGCCCCAGCACTGAGCCACACTCACACTCACTTGGTGTAGTGTAGCTGGCACGCATTCTCCCACGCCGGCTTCCCCAGCCCTTTTCCTCCTCTGATGAATACTTTATGGGCGTCCGGCTTGAATCCAAAGTGATTAGAAAGAATAGCGTGGAAGTAGACCGTGACCCCTTCTCCAGGGCTCAGGGCGCTGGAGAGAGCAGAGACAGGCGCCGTCACCAAGTCTGTGTGGCCTGTGCCACACACACGTACGTACGGACACACCCATGCACAAACACACACATGTGCGCGTGTAGGCACGCTGCAAACGTGCAGTCACATATACATAGTACAGACGTGTACACCCACACACACATCATCACGTCCAGAGTCCAGATCCTCCCCCCACGCAGCCTCTACTCTCCCTCTAAAAGGGAGGGCCAACCCTCAAGCCCTGGGGCCGTCTCTCCTGAGTTCCAGGGACCCATGCCAGCCCTGTACCCCAGGACGATCAGTGGAGGATTTGGGGCCCGGGCCCCGGTCCAAAGCTGAAGCTGGCAGAGGAGGGGCACAGCCCTGCACCTGCCCTGAGCCGGGCCCACGGCCCACCTGGCCAACCCTGAGCCGGGCCCACGGCCCACCTGGCCAACCCTGAGCCGGGCCCACGGCCCACCTGGCCAACCCTGAGCCGGGCCCACGGCCCACCTGGTCAAAGCCCTTGGCACTGCGGTGGTCTGGTTTCTCTGCTCCCTCTCATTTTTCACAGCAGCTGCATGTTTTCTGTTGCTTCCTTCCAGCTTCCTGTCCTCCGGCTTCGGCTCTACCTCCGGCTTCCTCTTCTCCGGCTGCTTCCCTTCTTCGAGCTTCCTCCCCTCATGCTTCCTCCCTTCTTCCGGCTTACTCCCTTCCAGCTTACTCCCTTCCGGCTTCTTCCCTTCTTCCGGCTTCCTCCTCTCCGGCTGCTTCCCTTCCTCTGGCTTCTTCCCTTCCTCCAGCTTCCTCCCCTCTGGCTGCTTCCCTTCCTCCGGCTTCCTCCCTTCCAGCTTCTTCCCTTCTTCCGGCTTCCTCCCTTCCAGCTTCTTCCCTTCCTCCGGCTTCCTCCCTTCCAGCTTCTTCCCTTCCTCCTGCTTCCTCCCCTCCGGCTTCTTCCCGTCTCCTGGCTCCTTGTCTTCTGGCTTCCCACTCCTGTTTTCACCCACGTTCCCAGGAACAGCCGCCGGGCCCTTGGTCTTAGCTTCCTGGAATACCAGATCAGATCCCCAGTGCTTAGAAGCACACTTCCTATTCACCCGTGTCCCTCTGGGCTCAGAACCTTCCAGGGTCTTCCAGCCCATTCTCCAAGATCCCCAAGAACCCCTCCCCTAGCCTCACTCAGCCCCTCCTCCCCTCACTGGCCTGGAGGCGCCGCTTCCTCTGGCTGAGGGTAGACCCACCATGGTTGGCCTCGGGGCCTTGGCACATGCCCCGCTCTTCCAGGGCACAGCGCAGGGACCCCATGGCTCACCCTCACTCCTGGTCTCTGTTCCCAAGGCACCTCACCAGAATCCTTGCCTGGGGCATCCCGGCCGCACCCCAGCTTTCTCACTGCCTGGCTTGCTTTCTGTGGCTCTCCCATAAAGACCAGAGGGGGTGGGGGTTGCTGGCTTGTTCACCTCTGACCCTGGAACCTCATAAACACTCACAAAGCAAAGGAGGGAAAGAAAGAAGGAAAGGAGGGAGGAAGGAAGGAAGCCAGGAGGGAGGAAGGGAGGAAGACAGGAGGGAGGAAGGGAGGAAGACAGGAGGGAGGGAGGGAAGGAGGAGAAAGGAAGGGAGGAATGGAGGAAGACAGGAGGGAGGGAGGGAAGGAGGAGGAAGGAAGGGAGGAAGGGAGGAAGACAGGAGGGAAGGAGGAAAGAAGACACAAGGGAGGGAGGGAGGGAGGGAGGAAGACAGGAAGGAGGGAAGAAGGAAGACAGGAGGGAGGAAGGGAGGAAGACAGGAGGAAGGGAGGAAGACAGGAGGGAGGGAGGAAGACAGGAGGGAGGGAGGGAGGGAGGGAAGGAGAAGGGAGGAAGACAGGAGGGAAGGAGGAAGGAAGACACAAGGGAGGGAGGGATGGAGGGAGGGAGGGAGGGAGGGAGGAAGACAGGAAGAAGGAAGACAGGAAGGAAGGAAGAAAGGAGGGAGGGAGGGAGGGAGGGAGGAGGGAAGGAGGGAGGGAGGGAGGAAGTGGCCACAGGGAGGTGGTCCCACAGAGCAGCCTAGCCACCAAGCCCCTACCTGGTGGGGTCCCTGGGAGGCAGGGGTGCTGTGTGGCAGTTGCTTTGCCGTCCGAGCCTCCGTGACGGGGCTGGCTGGCTCTGCCGGGGCACCAGGTGGCTGGGAGGAGCGAAGACCCCGTAGCCGTGAGCCCTGGAGCCAAGAGGAAGGGGCAGCCTTGGACCATGTCTGGAGGGGACATGGCAGTGCTGTGGGGGGGCAGGGGCACCCCCCCCGCCCGCCGCCCCCTCTTCCGACACTCACCCCCGGGGCCGAGGCCAGGGCGTCTTCCTGCTGCATGTCCACCTGCCGCGTGGCCGTCTGCCCTTCGGCCCTGGGTGCGGAGCCGGCCCCTTGGGGCTCTGAGGCCCGGGGGCCGCTCTGGGCGGCCGAGGAGGCTGTGCTGAGCCCCGCCTGGGAGAGGCCTGTGTCCCCAGAGGTCACGGAGGGCTTGTGACCCCCCGCTTCTGCGCCGTGCTGGGGCACAGGGCGGCTGGGAGCTGTCTCTGTTGCAGTGCCCCCTGGCTCTCCCACCGGCGGAGCCCACGGAGGGCTGCTGCCAGGCCGGGCACGCGTGGCAGGGCCGTCTCCCTCTGGCCCTGCGCCCAGGGGCCGGCCGCGTGGGCTGGCCGGTTGGACAGGGCTTTGGGACAGGCCTGGGACCTGGGACCCGGGGTCAGCAGCTGAACTGGAGAGCCCCGAGGGGGCCGGGGGGAAGGCGTCCGGCTCCCAGTCCAGCTCCGAGGAAGTGGAGCCCTTCTTCTTCTTGGTCTTCTTCTTCTTCTAAATGGAAAGAGAGACCCATCAGTGACTCAAGACTGTCCAGCTTGGTGTGGCCAAACCATTTACATGGGTCTCACCTGCGGGGAGGGGGGGAGAGGGGAGGGGGGGGAGTAGGGCCTTGGGCTCACTAGCACACACTTCAGAGCACAGGGAAGCCCTGGTCAGCACATGGGGGGCCGGGAAGGAGGCTCCGTGCCGGCCAGGTCTTCGTGCAGCTCGGTGCTGGTGCTGACAGCCAAGGCACCATGTTTAGAAGGCAGACAAGATTTTTTTTTTTTTTTTTTATCAGTAATAGGGCCTGAACTCTGGGCATGGGCGCTGTCCCTCAGCTCTTCAGCTAAAGGCGAGCGCTCTACCGCCTGAGCCACAGCGCCACTTCTGGTTTTCTAGTGGTTTATTGGAGATAAGAGTCTCTTGGACTTTCCTGCCTGGCTTTGAACTGCGATCCTCGGATCTCAGCCTCCTGAGTAGCTAGGATGACAGGCGTGAGCCACTAGCCGGGGGGCAGACAAGCATTGTGGGGCTCTCCTCCAGCCTCTGAGGCAAGACCGGCCAGAAGGGCTGCACGGGGCAGGAAGCCCGAGCCGGGGCTCCCGCGGCCTCGCTCCTAGAATCGGCTGGGCCTTGCTCTGGAAGGGCTCCTGGCACAGCTGCGGGGTGCTGGTCCCTCTGCCCTTTCTAATGGCCTCCCTTGTACAGAGCCAGGGGGTGACAGCCCACCCACAGGAGCCTGGCGGGAAGCAGGATGTCTGGGGTGAAGTGCACCCCTAATTAGGGCCGTTCCCCAGGAGCAGAGCAGGCAGGCTGTGCTTGGGGGGGGGGGCTCTGGGGGAGCTCAGCGTCATCGAGCTAGGCACCTCCAGGGCTCACTACAGGGAAGGGGGGAGGGGGGGGGTCCCAGCTTCCCCCAGACAATATCCACATTGACTTGTTTTTGTAGTGCTGGGATGGAACCTAGAGCGTGTGTGTGCCAGGCAAGTGTCCGGCCAGACCATACCCAAGACCGCCCCTGTCCTGTCTAATCATGCCAGTCACCATGCGGCGTGGCGCCGCGCGGGGCGGGGCACTGGCGTTCCTGTGATTCCGGGCACCGCCCGCACCGTGTGGCAGCGGCGGCGGCTTTGTGTCCATCTTTTTCACACACTTCCTTCCTCCGCCGCCGCCCACTTGCACTTCACGTGCGTACACTCCAGGATGTCTCCTTCAACTTCCCAACAAAATAAAACTCATCTGAACCTAGACTGCCCTGATCCACTGACTGGCTAATCTCACCTCGGGGAGAGCCCTCACCCCTGCAGGGGACGGTCCGGGCGTCCGCAGCAGCTCTCACCGGAGGAGAGAGCGCAGAGGAAGACCTGAAACTTGAAATCTACTACCAGAAAACGTAGGAAACCCTGCAAGTGAAGGCACAGGCAGCAATTTTCTGCAGAAGCTCCAGTGGCCCAGATGATGGAAGCGAACGATGACAAATGGGACTAGATCCAATTAAAGAATTCTGCCGGCGCCGGTGGCTCACGCTTGTGCATCCTAGCTACTCCGGAGGCTGAGATCTGAGGATCGCCGTTCAAAGCCAGCCCGGACAGAAAACTCCCCATGAGGCTCTTATCTCCAGTTAACTACTCAAAAACCGGAAGTGGTGCTGTGGCTCAAGTGGTAGTGTGCTAGACTTGAGCAAAAGAGCTCAAGGCCACTACCCAGGCCCTGAGGTCAAGCCCCATGACTGACAAAAAAGAAAAAGAAAGGAAAAAGATTAAAGAGAGGTTTCAAACTGCAAAACTAAACAGTCACTAGAACCAACAGACAACTCCCATAATGGGAGAAAATCTTCCACCTACTCAACAGGTGAAAAATTAACACCCAGAATCTACAAAGAACTCAAAAACATGAAATAGCAATAAAACAAATAATCCTATCAGGAAACGGACAAGCAAAATAAATTCACACAAACACAAGATAGTAGATGTATGGAGAATGTCTCAGAATCTGAGCCATGAAGGCAATGCAAACCAAAGCCACACGAAGACTCCACCCCTCCGCAATCAGAATGAAGCCCAGGGGGACGGGCAACAGATGCTAGGGAGGATGAGGATGGATGAAGGCGGGAGGTGAACCAGGGTGACCACCAGGAAGTCAGTATGGAGGTTCTCCAAAAAGCTAAAGGCAGACCTTCCCTGGAACCCGTCATGCTACAATGGGGCGCATATCACAGTAGGCAAACGATAGAACAAGCTAAAGTACCCAACAACAGATGAATGGATAAAGTAAACATCACACACACACACACACACACACACACACACACACACACACACACACCTATATACCCATTTCCTTAACTATGTACACACAGAACACAGACCATGGCTCTAAGGAACTACTTAGGTTATCGGGAAGGAGGGTAATTTTGTAGTGCGTTTTAAGCATGAACCCGGCATACAGACCCCCGTGAAAGCTGCTGGTCAGCAGGATTGTGGGGGATGGGGAGAGGGAAGTAGGCCAGTCAGAGGCCGGTACTAGAGCAGTACTAGCAGAGTGGGTTGGGTTAACGTGGGGGGATGAATATGGCTGAATTTTTTTTTTTTTTTGCAGGTTGTAGAACTTGAACTCAGGGCCTGGGCGCTGTCCCTGAGCAATTTTGCTCAAGGCTAGCGCTCTACACTTAGAGCCATAGCTCTACTTCTGGCTTTTGAGTGGTTAATGACAGATGTTACTACCTGGGCTAACTTTGAGCTGCAATCTTCAGATCTTAGCCTCCTGAATAACTAGGATTACAGGCATGAGCCACCAGTGCCCAACAATATATTTTTTTTGGGGGGGGGGCCAGTTGTGGGGCCTGAACTCTGGCCTGGGCGCTGTCCCTCAGCTCTTCAGCTCAAGGCTAGCGCTCTACCACTTGAGCCACAGCGCCACTTCCAGCTTTTTCTGCTTATGTGGTGCTGAGGAATCTAACTCAGGGCCTCAGGCATGCAAGGCAAGCGCTCTACCATTGAGCCACCTTCCCAGCCCAAAATATAATTTTTTAACTGAAAACAGAACAATAAAACCTGAAGATGTTTTGGGAGGGGAAGATTGGGAAGGTGATTTGGGCTTGTGTGGAGTTGGGGGTGGGGGTGGGGAATGGGTGGGGTTGATTGAAATATGTTGTAAATATTTGTGGAAATGCAACAATGAAATCTCAAACCCCAGGGTAGAGTGCTTGCCTAGCTCGCATGCATGAGGCCCTGGGTTCAATTGCTCAGTACCACCTACACAGGAAAAGCCGGAAGTGGAGCTATGGCTCAAGTGATAGAATGCTAGCCCTGATCACAGAGAAACTCAGGGACAGTGCCTAGGCCCTGAGTTCAAGCCCCAGGATTGGTTAAAAAAAAAGAAAAAAAAAATCCCAAACCCCACCCTGTATAACAAATACAAGCTAATTAAAAAGAAATAAACCAGCCACTGCCCTCCACTGGAAGATGACAATCATTTGGACAGAAAGCACCCCACAAAGCAGGCTCCCATATGGAGAGTTTGGTCCCCAGCTAGCGGTGCTGCTTGGGGAGTGTGTAGGAGGAACTTTGGGAGGTGGGACCTGGCTGGAGGAGGTCCCTCTCTGCCCCTCTCTCCCCTTCCTGTCCACATGAGGGTTTCCCTCACCAAGACACCACCACGAATGCACCGACGGCTGGAGACTGAGACCTCCAAGACCCCAACCTAACACAGCAGCCATCTCTGTCATGAAAAGTCACAGGAAGCAGCGGCTCGGTTCCGAGGCCCAGGCCTGTGTGCCTGAATGCCACAGGAAATGACAGCCAGGAACTGAACTCTCACAAGCACGCCCTAAACTGGAGTTGGGCGTTGGCCATAGCACTGAGCTGTGGCCGGGGCACGGGTCAGCCTGGCCACCCCCTCCGCATGCCCACAAGCCTGGCCTCCAGCTCTTTTCTGTGAGCAGCATCCTGGGTTACCAATGGAGCCTCAGACCGGGGAAGGACACCAGCGATAAAGGCAGCATTTCCAAAATGTCCTGGATCACCACCGCCAGGGCGGAGTAAGCCCTGCCACCGCACGGACCAGGCCAGGTGCCACCCGAGCGGGGTCGGCACACCAGCCCGGCCCGGCTGCCCTGGGGGTGCGGCGCTGCCCGCCGGCGGGCCTGGCTGGGGGGGGCAGGACAGCTTGTGCAATCGTGCAGCCAGTCTACCTGCTCCTCGTCTGCGAGCGCCACGTCCACACCCTCAGCCTCGGCCGTGACCCTTCTCCTCTTGCTGGGCGGGTGAGGCGCGGCTTGCAGCCCATCTGCCATGCTGTCACCACCAGCTATATAAACCTCTGGGGCCACTCCCTGTGGAGACAGGAGCTCCTCAGACACAGCCGGCCCGCGCCACTCCAGGCACCGACCACTCCATGCACCGCACCCAGCTCAGCACAGCCTCGGCCGGACCACCCTCCCAGCACCCTCAGAGGTCCAGGAAGACCAGGCTCCCACAGGGGGTCACGATGCAGGAGTCGACACCACCCCACCCACCCCCATGCAAACTGGGCCGCAGCAAGCGCTGCAGATGGACAGCTGCAGGTCCACGAGGGGCAGGCCAGCCCCAGTGCCCAAGGATGAGGGCGCGGAGCCGGGCCAGGGCTCCGGAGCCCGGCCCATCGGTGGACAGGCGTGCCTGCTTCTAGCCAGCTCCTGTCACCTCACACGGAACCTTCTAGCAGGAAGCCAACGAGGGAAACCCAGGATGAGTCAGCCATGCCTGGCCCTTCCACCCAGAGAGCTGTGTCCTCTTCCCCTCACTCTGGAAAGTTCTAACCCAGAGGCCTGGGAGAGGATGCAAGAACCTGCACCGCGCTCTGAGGGGCCCCAGGTGGGAGCGGATCCCCTGGTAAGGGGAGGGCAGCAGACGTGGCACGGCCCCCATCTGCAGGATGAAGCCCCCCCCACCCCCGCCTCGGGGGTGGGCTCACCAGCTGGGCTGCCACACCCCAGCACCCCCCCCCCCTGCGGGGATGGGCTCACCAGCTGGGCTGCCACACCCCAGCGCGAACCGGGCTGTTCTCCGTGCACATGTGTGGCTGGCTGAGGAGACGCACCGTGGGCCTTGGGCTGATCGCCGGCCCCACACAGCACCACGCGCACACCACGCGCTTTGCCGTCCACATTTCACGTGTGGAGAACACGTATCCAGGCTTGCTTCTTTTTTTACAGATCTCCTTCTATGACAATATCTACTGATGTGAACATCATAAAATGGACCTTTTCTTTGTGTGTGCCAGTCCTGGGGCTTAAATTTAGGGTCTGGGCACAGACCCTGAACTTTTGTGCTCCAGGCTAGTGCTCTACCACTTTTCCAGCTTTTTGGTTAACTCAAGGTAAGATAAGACGGCTCTTACTTCCTTGCCCCACAATGGCTTTGAAACACAATCCTCAGATCTCAGCCTTCTGAGTAGCTAAGGTGACTGGCGGGAGCCACTGGAGCCTGGAAGAACTTCTTCCTTTCCTCCTCTTCCTCCTTTTAATGATGGTGTAGACCCAACCCAAGGACTTACTCTAGGCCATGTTCTCTAACCCTCAGTAGAACACTCTTACCCCAAACAAGCTATTTTAACAGCTGTGCACCAGTGGTTCGTGGTTCGAGCTATGCCTGTAATACTAGCTACTCAGCAGGCTGAGCTCTGAGGACGTCAATTTGAAGCCAGCCCCAGCAGGAAATCCACGGGAGTCTGGGGTCTGACACACTGAAGGGCCCCCTGTAGGGCACCCTCCCCAGGCAAACGACAGCCCAGCCTCTCCCTCGGAGTACCAGACAGCCTGTGTGTGTCCTGAATCTCTGCCCCGGCCACCTCCAGGCCCACCCTTCCCATCCTGGGACACAGAGAGGCCATGTGCAATGGGAGCTCAGGCCCCACCGGGCCCCACCACAGTTCCTGCCAGTGCTGGAGAGAGGGCTGGATGTGGAGGAGGGAGGGGAAAGCCTGGAGGAACCAGACCAAGCAGCAGCTCTGCTCCTGCAGGGAGGGGGCGCTGTGGGCTGACGCCAGGGATGCTGGGCAGAGGCTTTTCCCAAAGACCCAGGATCGCCTGTGTGGGGGAGCCTGGGAGGGGCAGAAGGGGTGGCAGGGGCTTGGCTCACTCACACTCTGGACTATGATCCACGAGGCGTCGGAACTGGGTTCCTCAGAGTTTCTCACATTCTGGACCATGATCCAGGAGGCGGCGGCGGAACTGGGTTCCTCAGAGTTTCCTTGCCAGTCACCAGAGCTAAGGGACAGGTCCTGGGTCTCCTCGGCCTTGAGCGCTTCTCCAGTCTCCATGTCTCCCTCTGGGACGGTGGCAACATCCTCAGGGATTTTGGCCTCAGAATCTACACAGGTGGAAGGGGTGCGGGCAGGTCAAGCGTGGCTCTGGGCGCTGGCTATCAGCCCCGGCTCCCGGGGCCCTGACTGTGCAGGCCGGGGGGGGGGGGGGGGGGTCGGTGGGCAGCCGAACATTGTGCCCCATGCCCACAGCGCCGCCCACCCATCCCAGCCAAAGCACCTTCCTCTTTGCGGAGGGCCAGCACCCTGCAGGTGCCAGTGCCACTGTGTCACGAGGTCCTGGAGCTTGCTCCAAATTGCCCACTGGGCCAGACCTCGCCCTGGGGGCAGGGGGCGGGTCTCTACAGCGGCCTGGGTCCCGTAACCCCGAGTCGCCCTCATACCTGGGCCGTGGGCCACTCCCAGACCTGCTTGTCTGCTGGGAAGCTTCTTGTCAGCCTCGCTCGCCAATGGGGCCCCATCCTGCCACCAGGAGCGCCCCTTTGGGTGTTTTCTCCCCACCCCTGTTCTCTTCCCTCACCAGCACTAAGCTGGGTCACTGCTCATCTCCTCTTGGGAAAGCTCTGGATGGCAAGGGCTGCACAGATCGGCCTCGGCCTCGAGCAACTCAAGGACTAGCAACACAGCCATCAGCTCGCACACCTCTAAGTGTGCACCACATACACTCACTCACTCTGTAACACACATATACACTACCACCCTCCATAACATACTATCACATACAAAGGCCAGGCGCTGGTGGCTCACGCCTGTCACCTGAGCTACTCAGGAGGCTGAGATCTGAGGATTTCGGTTCAAAGCCTCGGCAGGAAAGTCCTGAACGCTCTATCAGCAAAAAGCTAAGCTGGAATATGGTTCAAATGGTAGAGCTCCAGCTGTGGGCAAAAAAAGCCTGGTGAGAGGCTCTGAGTTCAAGCTCTAGTACTGGCACCAAAAAAAAAAACCCACAAGTTTTGAAACCAAGACTGGGGTCATCTGCAGAGATGGAAGGTCCTGACTTTGGACAGACCACAGGGACAGAAGGGGAGGGTGCCAAGGGCTGGGAGGTAACTGGAACAGGAGCAGGGACTCCCTTTGAAAAGAGGTGTGGTAGAGCATGCCCGTAATCCCAGCGCTTGGGAGTGGAGGATGGTGAGTTTGAGGTCAGCTTGGGTGACAGATAGCTGGTAGTGATGGGAATGTGTGTCATGCCCCAGGCAATTCACTTAGAGAGGGTCAAAATGGCCAACCACGCCCTGTGATCGAACTCTTCCATCAGTCAATAATTCTCTCGGCCTACAGCATGTGTGCTCTCTGACATAGCAGAGAGCAAATCCTGGAAAAGAGGTAACAGCCTGCAGCCCTGCCCAGGCAGGGACCAAGTCCACAGCCTCCCACACGGAGGCCGGGCACAGTGGGGGGCCTCCGGGCACACTGGGGGGCCTCCGAGCACAGGGGTGGGCCTCCGGGCACAGTGGCGGGCCTCGAGGCCCAGCCTTCAGTCCTCTATGCCTGTGCCAGGGGCCAGCTGAACCCAACAGCCCCGGCTCCAGAGAGGAGACGGCTGCTGCTTCCAGGAGGAGTGTGCAGGTGTGCCTGAACACCCCCCCACACACACACACACACACGCGTGTGTGCACGCAGCCTCCCTGCCTCCCCAGCCTCAGGGGCCACCAGACAATCTCACTCGCCTTCCTCATTACAAAACCACGCAGCCTCCAGGGAAAGGTGGGAAAATGTAAGAAACAGATGGCCCAGCGCTGCAACCCTTCTCCCACAGAACCTTCTAGTATTGGAAGACAACAATCCCACCCGGCCCCAGGGCTGTGGAGGGGATTCATTTGTGAGGGTCACTCCCCCGCCCCCTGCTGGCCACAGAAGAGCTCAATCCCCCAAACGGGGCGCTCCCCCCACCCCTGCGCCCCCATCCTCCGGGGCCCCAGGACCCCCCTCCACCCCCACGGCCCACAGGTCCCCATCTTGTCTGAAACTTCTGGGAAGCCGGGGAGGGGCCACTTCCTGGTTGAGTTCAGAGGGCACGGAGGTAGCCTGCTTTCAGTTTCTGTTCCTGTGGTCACAGTGGGGGTGGGGTGAGGAAGGGGGGGGCTAGGGTCGGGGTCAGCTGACTCAGCAGAGAGCGTGCACGCCCTCCCCCCCCCACCCGGGCATCCCCTCCTGGGCAGCCAGCTAAGAGAAGACTTCACAGCGCTGCGGCCCACCCCGTGCTCAGAGCTGCAGCCCTGCCTGCTCCCCTCACCGCCCCTCCTCTACCAGGAGACCCACCCCACGAGGGGTGGAGCCCAGGACCCCATGAAGCCCCTGGGGTCTGGGGTGTGCTCCTTCTCGTTTGGTCCCAAGACATAAATTGCCTGGAGTCCCTCTCCTGGACAAGCTTCTGAAGACAGGAAGACAGGACTACAGACATCACCTGAGCCCGAGCAGCGCCGGCTCTTCCCTCACGCTGAGGCTAGCCACGCTCCCGCCAAGAGCCCCGGCCAAACGGTTCAAAATCCCCACTCTGCTCAGGCCTCAGTGGCTCACACCTGTAATCCTAGCTGCTCAGAGATGAGATCTGAGGATCGCAGGTAGAAGCCAGACCTGGCAAGATCTATGGGACTCTTCTCTCCAATGAACCACCAAAAAGCCACAAGTAGAGAGCTGTGGCTCAAGTGGTACCACACCAACCCTCAGCCATAAAGCGGGATGGTGGCCTGAGTTCAAGCCCCATAAAGCAAAGAAAATCCTGGCTGCCGCATGCGGGCTGAGTAACTGTGGACAAGTGGTCCAATCCGTCTGTGCCACACTGTCAGCATGATTAGGGTGGGACTGGGGCAGCTGGGCATGTCTTGGATTAGCACACCGCAGACTGCAAAACCCACTTCTAGGGCCACTATGCCAGCAGGGATGCAGGGAGGCTGGGAGGCAGGCAGGGAGGCAGGGATGCAGGGAGGGAGGCAGGGAGGGAGGCAGGCAGGGAGGCAGGGAGGCAGGGAGGCTGGGAGGGAGGCAGGCAGGGAGGCAGGGAGGCAGGGAGGCAGGGAGGCTGGGAGGGAGGCAGGCAGGGAGGCTGGGAGGCAGGGAGGCAGGCAGGGAGGCAGGCAGGGAGGCAGGCAGGCAGGGAGGCAGGCAGGCAGGCAGGGAGGCAGGGAGGCAGGCAGGGAGGCAGGGAGGCAGGCAGGGAGGCAGGGAGGCAGGCAGGCAGGGAGGCAGGCAGGCAGGCAGGGAGGCAGGGAGGCAGGCAGGCAGGGAGGGAGGCAGGCAGGCAGGCAGGGAGGCAGGGAGGGAGGCAGGGAGGCAGGCAGGCAGGGAGGCAGGCAGGGAGGCAGGCAGGGAGGCAGGGAGGGAGGCAGGCAGGGAGGCAGGCAGGGAGGCAGGCAGGGAGGCAGGGAGGCAGGCAGGGAGGCAGGCAGGCAGGCAGGGAGGCAGGCAGGCAGGCAGGCAGGGAGGCAGGGAGGCAGGCAGGCAGGGAGGCAGGGAGGCAGGCAGGCAGGCAGGGAGGCAGGCAGGCAGGGAGGCAGGCAGGGAGGCAGGCAGGGAGGCAGGCAGGGAGGCAGGGAGGGAGGCAGGCAGGCAGGCAGGCAGGCAGGCAGGCAGGGAGGCAGGCAGGGAGGGAGGCAGGCAGGGAGGCAGGGAGGCAGGGAGGCAGGGAGGCAGGCAGGCAGGGAGGCAGGCAGGGAGGGAGGCAGGCAGGGAGGCAGGCAGGGAGGCAGGGAGGGAGGCAGGCAGGGAGGCAGGGAGGGAGGCAGGCAGGGAGGCAGGCAGGGAGGCATGGAGGGAGGCAGGGAGGCAGGCAGGGAGGCAGGGAGGGAGGCAGGGAGGGAGGCAGGGAGGCAGGCAGGGAGGGAGGCAGGGAGGCAGGGAGGCAGGGAGGCAGGGAGGGAGGCAGGGAGGCAGGCAGGGAGGCAGGGAGGCAGGGAGGCAGGGAGGGAGGCAGGGAGGGAGGCAGGGAGGGAGGCAGGGAGGCAGGGAGGGAGGCAGGCAGGCAGGCAGGGAGGGAGGCAGGGAGGGAGGCAGGGAGGCAGGCAGGGAGGCAGGGAGGCAGGCAGGCAGGGAGGCAGGGAGGCAGGCAGGGAGGCAGGCAGGGAGGCAGGGAGGCAGGGAGGCAGGGAGGCAGGGAGGCAGGCAGGGAGGCAGGCAGGCAGGCAGGGAGGCAGGGAGGCAGGCAGGCAGGCAGGCAGGGAGGCAGGCAGGCAGGGAGGCAGGCAGGCAGGGAGGCAGGGAGGCAGGCAGGCAGGCAGGCAGGGAGGCAGGCAGGCAGGGAGGCAGGCAGGCAGGCAGGGAGGCAGGGAGGCAGGCAGGCAGGCAGGCAGGGAGGCAGGCAGGCAGGGAGGCAGGCAGGCAGGCAGGGAGGCAGGGAGGCAGGCAGGCAGGCAGGCAGGGAGGCAGGCAGGCAGGGAGGCAGGCAGGCAGGCAGGGAGGCAGCAGGCAGTGGGGCTGGCCGCCCGGTGGTGGGAAGTTCGGCTCGGACCTGGTCCGGCCGGGGCCTGCACCCCAGCGTCCCGCCTCCCCATCCCGGGCTTCCCGGAAATGCTCCCCGGGCCCCGCTCCGCCGGCCTCCGGAGGAAGGAAAGCCTGCGCCCCGAGAAAGGAAACTGAAACTTAGCGAAGAGCCCCAGGGCCCGGGGCTGCGGGGCTGCGGTGTCCGGGGCTGCGGGGCTGCGGGGCTGCGGGGCCCGGGGTTCCGGGGCTGCGGGGCTGCGGGGCCCGGGGTTCCGGGGCTGCGGGGGTAGCGGGGCCCGGGGCTGCGGGGCCCGGGGTTCCGGGGCTGCGGTGTCCGGGGCTGCGGGGCTGCGGGGCCCGGGGTTCCGGGGCTGCGGGGCTGCGGGGCCCGGGGTTCCGGGGCTGCGGGGGTAGCGGGGCCCGGGGCTGCGGGGCTGCGGGGCCCGGGGTTCCGGGGCTGCGGGGGTAGCGGGGCCCGGGGTTCCGGGGCTGCGGGGCCCGGGGCTGCGGGGCTGCGGGGCCCGGGGTCCGCCCCGGCGCTCCCGTCCCGCCCGGCCTCACCTGCGTCGGGGGCCGCGGGGCGCAGGCGGCTCCCGCACTCGCTGCAGAACCGGTCCCGGGGCCCGCGTCCGCGCCGGCACGCGGGGCACTCCATCCCGCGCCAAGCGCCAAGCGCCGCCCGCGCCGCGTTTTAAGCCCGCGCCCCGCGGCACGTGACCGCCGCCCGCTTCGGTTTCATTTTCTGGGAAAGTGACCGACGACGTCCGCGGCCCGGCCGGCGCCCGCCCCGCGCCCGCCCCGCGCCCGCCCCGCGCCCGCCCCGCCCCGCCCCGCCCCGCGCCCCGCGGCCCGTGCTTCTGGCCCCGCTCCGCCCCGCGCCCGCCCCGCGCCCCGCCCCGCCCCGCCCCGCGCCCGCCCCGCGGCCCGTGCTTCTGGCCCCGCTCCGCCCCCGCGCCCGCCCCGCGCCCGCCCCGCACCCGCCCCGCGCCCCCCCCCGCCCCGCCCCGCGCGCGCCCCGCGCGCGCCCCGCGCCCGCCCCGCGCCCGCCCCGCGCCCGCCCCGCGCCCCGCCCCGCGCCCCGCCCCGCGCCCGCCCCGCGGCCCGTGTTTCTGGCCCCGCTCCGCCCCGCGCCCGCCCCGCGCCCGCCCCGCGCCCGCCCCGCGGGGCGCCGCCCTCGGGGAAGAGGCGGCGCCCGGGACGCCGGAGCCGGGGACGCGCCCGGGGGCCCCGCGGTGCTGCCACCCGGGCCCGGCCCGCGCGCCCCAGGCTTCGCCCGAGGGGACCCCCGACAACCCCACAGGGCGGCTGCCGGCGGGGGTCGTCGCCAGGGAAGGGGGCGAGCTGTGTGCGGGCCTGGGGGTGCGGCCTGGGGAGGGAGCCGCTGGACGCCGCCCGCTCCCCGCCTGGCCCAGGCAGGTTCAGGGGCGGCTGCGGCTGTGGCCAGGCCCGGAGGGCGCCCGGTGTCCACGGCCTCTCTCCCCAGACCACTTTGGGTCTTGCACCTGGGACGGCGGAGGAGAGGGGGCGGAGAGGCCCGAGCTGTCCAGTCGGCCACCCTCCTGACCGGCCCGGGCGTAGGTTGGTCTACAACAGGGCCTCATAAAATAGCACCCCAACAATAGGGTCCGAGATCCAAAGAACGAGACTGGAACAAAAGTGAAAAGCAAGCAAGCTTTATTCTTGCACCTAGCACCGAGTAACAGGTGGCAGCAGACCCAGGCCCCGGTTTGCATCGGAGAGACACACCCCAGCTACTGTCTGACCCCGTTTTTATAGCAGATGGACCACGAGGGACAAGCTGGACACACGCAGGTGACCAATAGGGTTGTGACATTCACACAAAACCGTATAGTCCTGTCGCGTCACGCGCAGGTGACCAACTAGGTTGTAACCCATCTCTGGGCAGTTGTTCAAACAAGCCAACCCTTCTGGCCGGCTTCGGCGCACAAGGCGGGGGTCAGCAACTGTGTGGAAAGGGGGCATGTGTGCTTGTTACTGGTTGGATGCCTCCACCTGGCTCCTAACCGTGGTTCTCTGAGCTCTGTTACCACATTTACAATCCACAGCTTGCAGGAATTTGCGCCCGCAGCTTGTTGGCTTGGTAATTGGGGCCAATCTTACTAGATGGATGTTTAGCAAGCTGCGCTGCGTACTGCTTGTCACTGATTTGAAAGCAGGAGAAGCAAGTACAGTCTACGGGAGTGAAACAGGATAGGCGGGGAAGGGAGGCGTGAACTCAAGCCTAGAGCTGGCCCACTGCCCGCGCCGGTGGCTCAGACCTGAGGCTCACGGTTCAAAGCCAGCCAGGGCAGGGCAGGAAACCGGAAGTGGCGCTGTGGCTCAAGTGGCAGAGAGCTAGCCTTGAGCTGGCGCTGGCTGAAGAGCTGAGGGACAGCGCCCAGGCCCAGAGTTCAGGCCCCATAACTCCCTCCCCCCCCGCCCCCCCCCCCCCCCCCCCCGCAAAAAAAAATCTGGTCCATCTACTTCCCTTAAGATTAAGGGAACAGGAAGTGTCGCTGTGGCTCAAGTGGTAGAGAGCTAGCCTTGTGCTGAAGAGCTGAGGGACAGTGCCCAGGCCCCCTGTTCAAACCCAAGACAAAAAAAGAGAAAGATTAAGAGAATAAAGTCATTTTAGGGGGAAATGAGGCAGAATAGACCAGGGGAAAATGAGGTATTTTAAGTTTACAGCAAACACTGGAGATAGTCATCTATTTGCCTTAGGATTAAGGGACCAAAGTTATCTAGGGGAAAAACAAAGCAGGGTAAATTGAAAATGAGCTGGGGAGGCAGGTATTTAGAAGCATCAAAGCACTTCCGGAGAAAAGCAACTGGATGCGCTCCTTCCTGAGAGATGCATTTCTCACCCCTAGAATTAATCTTTGTTTGGCAGGATGTATGCCTTCCTAAAAGAAACACTTCCCCCAAATGAAAGCAGCTCCTACCCAAATACCCAAAATGCAGACAACAGAATGCTTTATCTGTTCTGTGGCAGGATGCATTGTGACCTGGAAGGAATGCCCAAAACATCCAGCCTCAGCAGCAGGAGCGATTAAAGCTAAAGCGAAGATGAAACACCTATCTTTGCGTAGCTTTGACTCCCTTCCTTTAACACATCAATACCCTAACTGCCCTTCCCGACTGCTTGTCTGCTCGCTGGCTGGGTTACTCAACACCATCATGACTGGTCCAAAAATTCTTACTCTGCTTCCAGAGTCAAGGACCCTACTTTTAGAGGGGAACGTCCCTAGCCCTTACCTGCTGGTGGCGACAGGACCCCCCCGTGGGGTGTGAGCTGGCTGCTTCGTAGCTCAGGATGAGTAGATGGGGCCTGGTTGGAAGTGGGGCTCCCCGAGAGGGACTTTGAGTCAGAAGACTTTACCTCTCAGTGTCAACTTCTGGACCCGAGGTGTTCACCTCGCAGGTGTGAGAAGAAACTTCCCCAAGAGAGGCAGGTTCAGGCCAGGTGCACGCACAGCCACCTGTGAGGATGAGGTTGAGATGCTGGCAGACAGCGGCCTGCCCTGACCCCCGGCCTGCCCTGACCACATACAGCCTGTCCTGACCCCCGGCCTGCCCTGACCCACGGCCTGTCCTGACCCCCAGCCTGCCCTTACCACATATGGCCTGTCCTGACCCCCGGCCTTCCCTTACCACATATGGCCTGCCCTGACCCCCGGCCTTCCCTGACTCCCGGCCTGCCCTGACCCCCGGCCTTCCCTGACCTCCGGCCTGCCCTGACCCCCAGCCTGCCCTGCCCTGATCCCTGGCCTGCCCTGACCCCGGCCTTCCCTTACCACATATGGCCTGCCCTGACTCCCGGCCTGCCCTGACTCCCGGCCTGCCCTGACCCCCAGCCTGCCCTGCCCTGATCCCCGGCCTGCCCTGACCCCGGCCTGCCCTGACCCACTGCTTGCCCTGACCACATACAGCCTGCCCTGACCTCCGGCCTGCCCTGACCTCCGGCCTGCCCTGACCTCCGGCCTGCCCTGACCCACGGCCTGCCCTGACCCTCCCGCCTGCCCTGACCCCCGGCCTTCCCTTACCACATATGGCCTGCCCTGACCCACGGCCTGCCCTGACTCCCGGCCTGCCCTGACCCCCAGCCTGCCCTGCCCTGATCCCCGGCCTGCCCTGACCCCGGCCTGCCCTGACCCACTGCCTGCCCTGACCTCCGGCCTGCCCTGACCCACGGCCTGCCCTGCCCTGACCTCCGGCCTGCCCTGACCCCCAGCCTGCCCTGCCCTGACCCCCGGCCTGCCCTGACCCCCGGCCTGCCCTGACCCTGGCCTGCCCTGACCCACGGCCTGCCCTGACCCACTGCCTGCCCTGACCCCCGGCCTGCCCTGACCCCCGGCCTGCCCTGACCCTGGCCTGCCCTGACCCACGGCCTGCCCTGACCCACGGCCTGCCCTGACCTCCGGCCTGCCCTGACCCCCGGCCTGCCCTGACCACATACAGCCTGCCCTGACCCCCGGCCTGCCCTGACCCACGGCCTGCCCTGACCACATACAGCCTGCCCTGACCTCCGGCCTGCCCTGACCCACGGCCTGCCCTGACCCTCCCGCCTGCCCTGACCCTCCGGCCTGCCCTGACCCTCCGGCCTGCCCTGACCACATACAGCCTGCCCTGACCCCCGGCCTGCCCTGACCACATACAGCCTGCCCTGACCCCTGGCCTGCCCTGACCCCCGGCCTGCCCTGACCCACCTCCTGCCCTGACCCCCGGCCTGTCCTGACCACATACAGCCTGCCCTGACCCACGGCCTGCCCTGACCACATACAGCCTGCCCTGATCCCCGGCCTGCCCTGACCCACCGCCTGCCCTGACCCCTGGCCTGCCCTGACCCCCGGCCTGTCCTGACCCACGGCCTGTATGGGTTGGGAAGGTCTGGAGATTCCTTTTCAAGCCAGAGCTGAGCACAGCAATTGTCATCCCACGCCACATGCGGGGCTGAGACCCAAAGGACGGTGGTGGCTCCTACAGAGAAGTCCAAGAAACCTTTTCCACCAAAGGTAGATGTGGGAGGCGTGGCATGGGCTGGAAAGGAGATGCTAAGGCCTGAGTAACCAGTGGGAAACAGGCCTGGAGGCCTGGAGCAACAGTCCCATGGGGGGGGGGGGGGTAGGAGACAGATGGGAAAGGAACGGGAGAGAGGAGAAGGGAGAGGGGGAGAGGGCAGCTCAGAGCCAGCCTGACGGGTGGCCTGTGGGCCAGGTGGGGAGTCAGTATCCTGCACAAGGGCAGTGTTTTGGTCCTGGCGGGACTTTAGAATACACTGTGACAGGAGGGATGGGTGAGATGAGGAGGTTACAGCCTGCTTAATAAACACCAAATAGGGTAGGCCGTGGAAGTTGGCCCAACCACCAAAGTGGCTAAGCTTCCTTCCATTGAAATGCCGTTACCCGGCCGGGAAACTGCAGTGAGATAAGCCTGTCAAACTGCCCTCTCAGCCAGGTGCTGGTGGCTCACGCCTGTCATCCCAGCTACTCAGGAGGCTGAGATCTGAGGAATGTGGTTCAAAGCCAGCCTGGGCAGGAAAGACCATGAGACTCTTATCTCCAGTGAACCACTAGAAAACCGGAAGTGGTGGTATGGCTCAAGAGGTACAGCATTCACCTTGAGCTGAAGAGCGCAGGGACAGCGCCCAGGCCCAGA